GATATTGTACATTACTTTGCAGTTTGTCTTAAACATTACCTTTATAAGCTGAGAATAGATTACTAGGAATGACATGTCTTGTGTTGGACAAAAAAAAAACATGAGGAAAGTATGTAGGGACCAAGTAGAAGTTAATGATGTCATTTAGGACAAAGAGAATTGAGATGGGGCTGGGAAAAGGGCATTCATGGTTAGAAAGTGACAGAAATACGATTATCATAAGTTTTTGTTGTTGCTTGATTTCTTATTTCCAGATACTCCTTCAAGCTTTCGATGGCTAACGTTCTAACTGACGTAGAACCATGGCAGATTATTGCCCCACACTACCCTGTGAACAGTGAAACTCTTGAACGCTGTATGGATCTGCAGCTATGGATTATTGGTAGGTTTATAATGTTTGTTTGTTTTACTGACGACCCAAATTTATGTATCATTCATAGTCCTTGCATAACTCATTTTTGCATAACTGTCAGCAAGTTTTTTAGTTTGATGGTGAAGATGATGATGATGATGAGTTGATGACGAGGACGATGTTGATGTTGATGTTGATGATGATGATGATGATGATGATGATGATGTTGATGTTGATGACAGGCGCGGATCCAGGATTTCTTAGGGGAGGGGGCCCAACTTTTTTTTTTTTTTGCTCCCGAAAATTTGAAAATCGCGCCGGCCGAAAAGTCGCTCAGTTGGGGGGGGGGGGGGGGGGGGGTACAGAGCACAATTTCTTTTTTTTTTTTGCTCCCGGAAATTTGAAAAACGCGCCGGCCAAAAATTTGCTCAGTTGGGGGGGGGGGGGGGGGGGAAGTGAGCACATTTTTTTATTTTTGATCCTCAAAAAAATTTCAATTTGCACCCCTCCCCCCTTGAGCGCCAGGGGGGGGGGCCCAACCCCCCAAAAAGGTAAAAATCACGTGATTTTACATGATTATTTCTCAAGGGGGGGCCCGGGCCCCCCGGCCCCCCCCCTGGATCCGCCACTGGTTGATGATGATGATGATGATGATGAAGATGATGTTGATGACGAAGATGATGATGATGATAATGAAGATGATGATGATGATGATGATGATGATGATATTGATGATGATGATGATGATGATGATGATGAAGATGATGATGATGATGATGATGATATTGATGATGATAATGGTGATGATGACGATGATGATGATAGTTATGTTGATGATGATGACGATGATGATGATGATTATGATGACGACGACGACGACGAGGATGATGATGATGATGATGATGAAGATTATGAGAAGGAGGAGGAGGGTGATGATGATCATATAAAATATTGATGTTTCCCAATATTTAGATGACAATTATTTATGAAGACATTCACAGGCATATCTTTTTTTTTCACGGAAAGTTCTAATTAAAAATGCTGGGTTGACTTTCAAAAATACAAGAGTTGGTTTGACTTGTACCTTGGTCATCGAAATAAAATCAAGCTTTTTGAAAAACGTTCTCACAGCCAAATCATAAATGTATATTTTAAGTTATTTGTATCAATATGTATTTTCTATGTTTGTGATGACAGGTGAGAATGCTGAAGCAGCCTCAGCTGAACTCATACTGAAATCAGCTAACGATGAGCTCGGAATCTACTCCACGACAGATAGATGTAGAGGAGATGGTAAGAACATTATTATTACGTAAACCACTGACATCTTTTCATTTAACTCAAATGATTATAAGCTTAATGTAATTAGTTTTTTGTTGCATGCCTGAGGTAGTTGCGTTTTCTGTAACCATTGAGGAAATGAAACGTCTTACCCAACATCGTAAAAAAAACAATAATTTAATTATGATAATGATGATGATGATGATGAAGATGATGATAATAATATTTGTCATAGAAATTTGTAATAAACTATATGCCCATGCACAGATTGTATCTACAAATTTCTCTAGCTCTGTGTCTGTTATTCAAGTAAACAAATGCAATGTTATAAATTGGTATGGCAAAGAATCGGTACAAAATATGTGTAAAAATCAGTACATAAACTCGTAATATTTTGTTAACTTAAACTTGTTAAACGATCTGTTATAAAGGGTGAAATTGTAAAGAAATTGTAAAAAACACAAAAGGGTGAAATTGTAAAGATACGAATAACACATTTGTTTGTTGTTGTTTATCATTCAGGCACTGGTGCTGCTGATCAAAGTTTGCCCCTCCCAGCCCTCACGGTCGTGTTCATCGCTGTCATCACATCTCTATGGCAACACGTTATGACGTCATAACTCCAAAACCTCATTAAAATTTAGGATATTTTCCACCTTATGTTTTTCTTTTAAATTTCGTAAGAAGGAGGTAGAGGTACTTAATTTTCAGATGGCACAACATACTGATAATCATTGATAGCTGTAAACAATATAATTGTGTAATTGTACAGGGAAATCATATTTAGAAACATTTATACTTCATCACTGCAATGTTTATTGTAATGCAAGATTTTTCATTTCATACATGACAAGAAACATGTAATGTGGTTGAAAAAAAAGAACCTTGAGTTCTTTCAAGTAGTATAAACAAAGTTTATTTGGTGTAATCAGGGATTTAACTCACATGCCCTGGTGTAATTGTCCTTTCAAGTCTATTTTCTCCTTAGAATTTGAATTTGACTTACTTTATATTTTTCTTCTTTCCAATGGGACTCTGTTTCGTAAACTATTGGAACAATATAAGTAAAAGCTTATAATGAATTATATATTTTTGTTGCTTTACAATACACTTGATATCATAGAATATATATAACTGTACTAATTTGTTATTCATAGATATCTGGTATGCACTCTCTATGGAATAAAATGAACCAGGGAATGAACTGGTTCCTAGAGATTGTTGTTATCATCTTTTCTAGGTTTACAGCATGATCAAAAGTGGAAGTTGTCTGTGTTCTTTTGCTTTGTTCCATGAAGTGGGTTCCTATAAGGCTTTAGGATACGGAGAACAATGTTCAATTTTTGTCTGTTTTCTGGTAGTTTAGGCATGTGTCCAGACGAAGATTTAATGTGATTTTTAATTATGCATGATGTGAATATTTGCTGTCCATACTCTGTGCATTTCTCGGTGTGATAAAAAAACGTACGCCACTTGAAATGTGACATCACATGGACAACCGGACGCTTGTCTCGGTACGCTGTACGCTGTCAATTAGTTGTTAGATGTCACGGTCAATTCCTTAGCTTTGAAGAGATTATGCACAGAGTATGGACTGCATATTTCGATCAGAATAAAAAACAAAAAAAGAACAAAAATAGTACACAGTGCAGATTTGCAAAATTAGTTGAGTGCATTTCATATACAAAGTTGATGTATACTGCACAGTCTAAATATATAATTAAAGTTATATAAAAATGTTATTAAGCATGAAAGAAAAAGGAATTATGAAAAAGTGAAGGATTTTGCTTGGGGAGAATGTATTAGCCTATACCTTTCAAATTTATTTGATAGTATTCATTTGTTTTGTACTATATTTACATTTCTACAGAGATTTTATGATGCTGTTTCATTTTGAAGATACTATGTATACACAAGCAATTACTTTATAGTGATGTACGCACGTTTGTGGCTGTGTGCGTAATATGGTGTGGGTGCGTGTGTGTGGGTGTGCGTGAGTGTGTGTGATCATGTTATCATGTGTTTATAATTTTAACTGGGTTATATAAACTATCATAATTCTGTCATCTAAATGAAATTTTTTCGGTTTCTCTGATTTATTGATAAATCATACAATTAGTTGCTTTTTCCTTCTTTTGATAAATTAAGTAACCATTGAAGTTGGACTGCATATCAAAACGAAAGCATTGCCTTTGCAGACAATCATGTTATCGTTGGAGAGGGCAATGTTCGGGTGCTAAAGTCTAAACTTGTCCTTGTCTATCATGTACACAGCAAAGCAGTATCGTCATTTCATTTAAAAGAAAGAGATATGAAGTAGTCAATATTGATACGGATAACAATTTAATATGGATGATGTTGTATGTTCTGTTTTCTATGGTGAAAAACAAAATTTATAATAATCAAATGTGCAGTGTTTTGTCTCAACAATTCCACTTCCAAGACTCAATTTTGAATGTCCATCACAAACGACATATTTATCATATTATATATTGATTGTCATTTTCTATTTGATACAACATGTAGTGCTACAACCGTAACTCTTTCCACAAAACAAAACAAATTTGTCAATAATGAATGTTTGAAGTGGATTGGAATTGACGTGCGGAGAAAAAAGAAGGTTTACAAAAATGTCTACTTGTGGCACTGTGTAGGCAAACTATTGTCATGAAGTTATTGTGAATGATACCCAAAATAATTGTACTTGTCAAATATAAATGATTGTGAGCCTACATGCATGACACTGCGACACAACTTCGTTTATTGTATAGTCTGTTAATCACGTCGTTTCTTCGACATTTATTTCATTTATTTCGTTTCAACATGAATAACAATGAACATTTAGAACTAGAACACGAAAAGACATGAATCGAAATGTATAACAATTTACTTGTATAGTTTTTTTTTTTTACCTTAAACCACGCAGAATAATATGTTCACTATGAGGGTAAAGGGGAAAGCACATTAAAATAAAACTTTTTGATAATTATCTTGATTAAATATGTGTGAAACTGTCTTAATTATTACTTGTGGATCGACCGAGGGTACTTATCTATCAATCATAACAAATGCTTTTCTAATAATCGCTTTTGATATGACGGAAAATCGTTATGCGGGACCAAGGGCGAACTGTACATGGCAAGTTTGGGAAGTTTTCCCCACTGACCGCTCGATATTTTGGCTTAAGAGCCGGTCGATTTGTGGTCTGAAAGCCGGTGGCATCGAAACGCCCTAACAGAATTCCAGTTCCAGTCCGCCCCTGGACGATGAAGTGACGGAAAGAAAGAGAGAGAGAGAGAGAGAGAGAGAGAGAGAGAGAGAACAAAAGCATAGCGAATGTGGCGTAATGGACATTTTTTTTTGGGGGGGGGGGGAGGGGTTCAAAATTATCTTCACAACAACACGACAGGCAATTTTATAGATTCAAAAGAAGAAACCAAAAACACCTTTTCAAAATTTGACAATTTGACATGAAAGAAAAGTGTTTTCTGAGAGTCCAAACAGGATTGTACATTATTAACATCCTTCTTCCTCTCAGAATATGAAATGTCTTTCGACACTCTGAAAAATGAACTCCCTTTAATTGCTTCTTCCCATGTCGCATGTTGCTCTATACCTTCTAGTTTCATTACATCATTTATAAATAGCATACGAATCTAAATGACATTCATATACATCAAATCATCATTTCGTAGCTGGATGATAATCATTAATTAAAGGCTATGCAAACAGTGATTACAATATACAGCTCGCAATCATTACTGTCATCAAATTATTGAATACAAAATAGATAATGCATAAAGAACACTGGCAGCAATTGGCTTATGCTTTTTGGTTAAGCTGTATTAAGCGTTCAATTGCACATTAATCTTATCAGTATACATGTATTTTAATGAAAGAATGAATGAGGGTAAAAATTAAAAACTTGGGAGGGGAAAATAAAAAAATGAACACGATTGTCAATCTTTACAACTCAAGTAGTTTTGAATAAAATGTATCGCTATCTTTCTCTGTAAAAGCAGTAAAAATGGTAACATTAACTAGTCAAGTTTCTCTCTAGTAACACAATAAATGATAATCTTTAGCATTTACTTGTATTTTAAAATAAATCTTACAAGGTGTAGTGCCTTTCAATGATGTAAACGCTGAAGTAGTGTAACATTACAACCTCCAAGTAAGGTTGGTCCATTTCTAAAAGTAGGTGTTGACATATTCTATTACATATACCAACTTTACGAGAGGTATAGGTAATATTTCGAAATAGATTTAATTACAACGAAAGAAGCCTGATCAAAGTGCAGTTGTAGAAAAGACGATCCTTTCAAAGAGTGTACTTTTGGGGCGTCTTAATTCTGATAAAGATTCGAACATCGACTTGTATTACATTTTTATTCGATGCACTGTAATCATGCTAATTATTTAACACGAGAAACAGAATTAGAGTCTAGACACTTCCATGTCGGATTATAATGGATACAGCTCGAAAGACGTGAATGCAGAGCGGAAATGAATTTGAAATAGGAAGCGTTTGATGAAGCTCAAATTATCATTACTCATCAGGCAATTAGAAGACACCGAGGAAAGACAAATGATAATATAATGAGATTAGGCCAAACATTAATGCGGGGTATCATACAGGTTATGAGGAATAGACCATTTTCGTAATGTACATGTAATAACATTTAATGCACAAATCTTTGTTAAGTGCCATGTTACAAATTATTTCATTCATCATTATGATACAAATTATTGTATTTCAATAGTCAGAATGCGAATCACATACATTAATTGTTGCTAGGTAGGGTAAACACTATGGGTTCTTCTACCTAACGTAATTCGCATTCTGACTAATGAAAGATAATTGTTTGTAACAGATGAATGAAACAATTTGTAATAAAATCATGTGCATTTAATTTTTATTGCATTACGAAATGACCTGTTACCACAACTCTCACTGTATAGATCTCCAATGACTGTTGCGCAAGAGGCGTTCTTTACGTGACGTAGGACTGCGTCAGTATAACAGGTGCGGTTTTTACGCACCATGTACATGTGACATCAATACCGTCGCAAAAACTTTAGAGAAATCGACCCAAGGTCAATTTCAATGCAATCATGTAAAATCCATAGAAATCGTATTAGGATCACGTAACACGTCTTTGTAAAGTTCGATCATTTCAAAAGATGACGGACAAGGCTATTGGAATTGGTTTATATAATTATGGTTGATTTTTCGACAGTCTTTGCGATAGTGGTCATGATACAAAAAATGGATGTGAAATGAATCACTGGCGCATGGACATGACTGACGCAAGTATGACGCAATCGAAGCAACGCTTCAAGTGCAAATGGGATTACTATAAAGTTATCCAACACTGGTAACTTAAGAATCGTAAAAATGGCAGACGGGGCAGAGTAAATTTGTCGTCTAGCTTACCGACAAGTGCTTTGTCTGATGGCATTTTCTCTGTTGCTTATTGGCCAATCTGATCTTAAGAGTTAACGTACAAGAACAGGCTTGATAGACGCTTATCGAAAGTGGATCATTTCATGTATGAGCACAATATTAAGAAACATTTAGCAAAAATCAATAATTTGTTGTATAAAAATAACTTAAAAAATGACTATATACATCATTTAACATAAACAATCCAGCTGTCATTCCAAATGAATTGATAAGGGGAATATATGATATTGTTAGTCTGCATTCCATATATAAACTATAGCACAATCGTATCGATGATATCTTAAAAGGAGAATTGTAATTCTGTAAATTTGTTGAGTAAACATACTTTCCTAATAACTTTAGTTCTTCTAATTTCTACAAATAGATACATCCTCTGGTAAATACTAAATGACAATACGCATGATAATCGTGCCCGCACTTGTGTAAGAAGTTAGAGCTTGTGTATAACTCGGCACGTTAATACAGTTTTATTTTAGTTTTTTTATTTCACTTGAAAAATAACACAAACAAAACAAAGCATATTAACAAAATTTAAATTCATGAACAATAAAGATATCTACACAGCCTAAGTTTGTATTGCATTTACACTAAATAATTTCGAAATTACATGTAACAAAAAGCAACTTAATAAAAAGCAAAAGTTGTAGAGTATAAGTTCCTCAAAATCCTTTTGACACAGTGTCATTCATTTTTAGGTAGAAATGTAATAATTAAAAAAGAAAAAGAAATACCTTTGTCACACCGCCAAACAAACTCCAAACCGACTGACCTTTTTGCCATTGGATTTAATAGAATTGTTTGATCGATCTGGAGTCAGTCTGGTGTCGGTCTCGTTGGTATGACCGGGGTATTAATCAAATCACATTCTAATAATTTCATTCTTACGAATACCACTATCTTCTACTCTATGAAAGGATAATACATGAAATCGTAAACTAAAATCGAATCAAATCATACTATACTGAACATCTTAAATAGTGACCGCACTAGTTCACGGGATATGGCTATTTTGAGGGTGATACTAAATACTCGAATCCTAGTTTGTGTTTCAGGGCGTCGACTTTTGGTGTATCCGCGAATATTCTCCGTGGAAAGTTCGAAGATCGAAGAAGTGTTGTTCGACGTCATCATTGACTGCGATGACAGGTGCAATATGAAGTAGGAATTACAGTCAACATGTATCATAAGGCCAGCCAAGGGAAACAGTAGATATGTGGCTTTTCTCAACAGATCATACAACACTCATTTCTTTCTCATTCTCAAAGGAGACAAAATGCATTACTAATATAGACAAGTGGCCTTATAAAGAGGTTGATAATAAGGCAGGTTTCACTATATTTGAAATTTTACAATGCGACTTTGAACAGTTGAAGCGTTGAAGCGAGAGTCTTTTTGCTTTGAATGATTGAATTTCAGGTTTTCAAAGGGATTCCTTGCTAATTAAAGCGTCCATTTTGTCCGTAAGTTTGAAAGTTGACTCCGGTGCGAAGTAATGATTGCCGGAAAGCTTTATTGCTAAGATTGATGCACTTTCAGGTCTTCAAAGTATTTTCGCGCTGTTTGTACGTACTTTGAAAGTTGACATCGGTACAATGCACTATGAATTATTAATTGAAAGGCATATTGCGACTTTTACATATTGAAGACAACATTAGAAGGAAACCTTTGTTGATTTAAATGGTGGATTCTGAGGTATTAAAAGTAGTTCCTCACTGATCAAAGTACCCGCTTTATCAGTAACCTTTGAAACTTGACAAGAGTGCAATGCAGTATATGAATCGACTGAAAGACACACTGTAACTTTAAGATGCCCAAATACACACATAAGCAGTGCAATTAATGGTCTCCGGCTTAAACAAATCATGGGTTGTAAATCTCCAAAGTAGTTGTAAGTAGAGTCAATGCTGAGGATATGTTGTATTGGCTTGACCTTGGAAGATCAGAAGAGGTTCGGTTGTATCTCATTCAGGATTCCTGGACACATCAGAACATGGTAATGTTTTAGAGCTCGATGAAGCTACATGTAGTGCCGTTTCCTGTTTGTCTTGTCAGTATAAGGGCTGTAAAGATAAAACAAATTAGAAGGGTCAGATAGAGGAAAGACAGAGGGGAAGCGGGGGAGTGACATGCAAAAGAGAGGAAGGCGATTTAAACAAATAATAATAATATTGACAATGGTAGCAAAGGAATTGATAGATGGGAAGATACATAATTGAAATTTAAATGAAGAGAGAGAGAGAGAGATTAACAAAACAAAAAAGAGGTAAAAGAAAAGAAGGGAGTGAGAAATTTCAGATTGAAAAAGAGAGATAATAAAAACAGATCGATAGAGAAAGAATTGACAGAAAATATTGAGAGAAAGAGAGAGAAAGAGAGAGAAAGAAAAAAAAGAGAGGGGTGTAAATGAGAGGGCAATGGGAGCGATTATAGAGATAGAGAGAGAGAGGGGGGGGGGGACAGAGGGGAACAGTATAGGATATAGAGGATATTAAAGAGGGAGAGGGGGGGGGGGGGGACAGAGGGGAACAGTATAGGATATAGAGGATATTAAAGAGGGAGAGGGGGGAGGGACAGAGGGGGGGACAGAGGGGGAACAGTAGGATATAGAGGATATTAAAGAGAGAGAGAGGGGGGGGGGGACAGAGGGGGGACAGAGGGGAACAGTAGGATATAGAGGATATTAAAGAGAGAGAGAGGGGGGAACAGAGGGGAACAGTATAGGATATAGAGGATATTAAAGAGGGAGAGGGGGGGGGGACAGAGGGGGGACAGAGGGGGAACAGTAGGATATAGAGGATATTAAAGGGGGAGAGGGGGGGCAGAGGGGGGACAGAGGGGGAACAGTAGGATATAGAGGATATTAAAGAGGGAGAGGGGGGGGGGACAGAGGGGGGACAGAGGGGAACAGTATAGGATATAGAGGATATTAAAGAGGGAGAGGGGGGGGGGGGACAGAGGGGGGACAGAGGGGGAACAGTAGGATATAGAGGATATTAAAGAGGGAGAGGGGGGGGGGACAGAGGGGGGACAGAGGGGAACAGTAGGATATAGAGGATATTAAAGAGGGAGAGGGGGCAGAGGGGGGACAGAGGGGAACAGTATAGGATATAGAGGATATTAAAGAGGGAGAGAGTGTGGCGATAACATAGACACACGGGGAATAGGGGCAAGGGCAAATGGGGGAAATGGGACGAAAAAGTGGATCGAGATTGAACAGGACAACGAGACAGGACACGTGCAAGGGGGAGAGAGAGAGAGAGAGAGAGAGAGAGAGAGTGAGAGAGAGAGGGAGAGAGATAGAGTGACAGAGACAGAGAGAGAGAGTGAGAGTGAGTCAAACAGAAGGAAGCTATATTAATCACAGAGGAGTCACTTCAGGGGCACTATATTGTCGATGGAGGACATAGTACTTACTCATGAGGTACCTTATGAACACGAATTGTTTCGGCCTACATAGCGAGGGAAATATACAGTGTGTGTACCTTTATTAACAGTTTTGCGACCTTAACTGTTAAACATATATATTCATCATATTAATATCATATCGATATCATATCAAAAATATATATTCATCAGAGCTTATCGGTTGTACGACATTCTCTGGCGATAACTGATCTTCGGTCAATATTAGCATGATAACCATATTTTTTTTATCTCTCAACCAATCATTTTACCTAGCCCTAACTCTCACTCTGACCCTTTACTTCACTTAAAACCAATTGCAATCACTATCCTAAAAATATGTCTATCTCAAAATAAAGCCCAGAGCACAACCAAAGCAAACTGACGGATCACTCGCGATTCGCTAAGATATACTCTATCCGACATCCAATTATCGGGTTTAAGGAAAATCTCTTAAATAAATTTAGGCGTTGTTTTACCAAAGTTTCTCATTGTCTGAGCATTCAATCCCAATTGTAAACCTGTTCACAATTACTGTTGCTACGCGATTACTGTGAAGAGGTAGATTCAGAATGAATTGATTGACGTCTCCCCCCTCCCCCCCTCCCCTCCTCCCCCCCCCCCCCCCCCCACACACACACCCGGCAGCCGTTTACCCTTATTGATATATTTTCCTGTCGACAAACTTGCTTTATCGTGTCAGTGTTATTAATAGTTACAAGAAAAACTTTAACCTTGATCAACATTTTCATGAACTTCGGACTCATGTTTACAGATCGTAAAGCATTGACATTAAAGCGATTGCACACGAGAGGAGTCGGATGTATGAAACCTACACGCTGTTATGCCCAGTGCACACGAGGCGTTGTTTTTACTAACGTAGCACTGCGTCAGCGTCTGGTACGGTCTCTTTTGCATTTAGGTGTTTCATTATGTTTAGGGTTATGAAAGTGTTTGATCTAAGGGTTAAAGTAAGGAATTCAGTTAGTGCAGGATATAAATGCAGTGCCATTTCGAAGATACAATATGCGCATGGGCAGATAAAGGTCATTTGTACCAAAATTGTAAATACAGGGTATGTGATTATTATTAAATCATTATTCATTTATGGCACATTCTATGATACACAGGTAGAAATATTCTTTTTTTAAGAGGGCAAACAAAAGTTATTCATGAAGTAACTCCATAGCAGTGATTATTCTCGAATGCATGAAGTGGGATTTATCCATGTTTGATATTTGGGGTTATTAATTTGTACAAGTGCAATACGGTTGCCTATAAAAAAGAAAAGCTGAATAATTTGTTTACCTATTTTCATGAAGTCATTTTGAGAACATGGTTTATTCTTTGATAGATAACGTTTATATCTTCTCAAAACTTTATTGATAAATTTAGTGAGTCGTATAAGGTATGATAAGATAAGATAAGATAAGATAAGATTAGATAAATAAGGTTCTCTGAGAATATATAAACTTTATCTGTCAACAGTAAACCATATTGTCACAATCATTAAATGAAAAGAGGAACGAAATAACAAATATTCCAAATTTATGGGCAACAGAGTACCTATTTCTTACATAATTATAGGGAACCTACCTTAGTATCGGATGCGTCTGTAAAGAGCGGATTGGAGAAGGTTGGCCAAGGGCTCTCTTCGTTAGACTCACTGTTCAGGTACCCGTAGGAATGGTATCGATGCATTCGCTTCCTACCATGAAAAGAGTAATAATGGTTTTTAAAACTGATAATGATACTAATAACCACTTTTTAAATGACTTCTACGCCTAGGCCCTATTTGTATTTATATATCAAAGGAATGACATAATTTCGTTTATTTCTTTAGAGAGGGCTACGAATATTGCAATTTGGCATAAATGCGGGTACAATTCGCCAACGGGATGTCGTTTATGTCTCTTCCCAGAATGATAAACTTTTCGTTAACTATAAACATTATTGAGCGAAGAATGTGACATTTTTACTGGTTAAAAATAGGGCATACATTGGATGAGAATAAATCAATTAAATTAAATTTAATTCGAGTCGATTCAACTCAGGACAAAAAAAACAACCGAAAAATTGTTAGTTTCGAAATTATCGTAAGGGGGGGGGGGGGGGGGTGCAGTCTTTATCTCTCGTATCCTTCTGATGCTGTTCATAGACTTTCAATATTCATCATATTAATCATGGTAAGGTGAATCTATCACAACCTAGGCTAACTGATTGAATCTCCAATAAATGTGATGAAAAATGTCTTTTTAATATATCCACAGGTTCTGATTTGCTCAATTTTCGATGGAGATCAACGTATTTTATGCAATTAACATTAACTTTGTTTAACCACCCAGCAAACAGACAGCATTTGTAATCAAACATGTGATTAGGATATTTACTATAATTAGGTACAGTGTCAAAAACTAGACAGCGTCGTTAGTTGAGTTAGAATCATAAAATTCCATTTCCTGTCATGCACTGTATCATTAGTAATCTTGCCAAATATTCAGCTGCAAATTAAAGCACAACTGACCTTACATTTAAAATAACTGACGGGTTATACGCTTTGACATGTGATTTGAATTTACTTAATTAAACATATATTGAAGCTGTAATACCCAGTGGTAACCCGGTCATATCGACAAACAGACAGCTTAAAGCCCCACTGCACTACTTATAGCTACTTATAGCCCTCTATATAGCAAACAATGCCTTATCGGTGCCCCCATGATCCCTTTTTCTAATGTTAGTTGAGAGCTGATTTGATGAGATAACCACCTGTCAGTGACCTTGCAGGGAGGTCTACCCCCCGGTCAAACTAGTACAGACGGGCATTAATGAAAGAAGTTCGGTCAATCGGACTAACAATTTTTGTAATGGGTCTTTTGTAGGTCAATGGTCCCGCGTCGCTCATAGTGGTGTGACTTGCGGATTGCTGTAATGAATCCGTTACAAGACTCACGAATATATTCAGCAAAGATTTACATGAAGGTTTTGTCGATTTTCTGTCGGTTTGGATTTGATTTGCGGTGTGACCAGGGCATGAGCGGGGCTACGCCACGGTAGATATACCCTTATCAAAATACCGTGTCCAAAATCAAAAATATTATCTGACATAGAATTTAACTTAGAATATGTCATAATTATAGAAGCAGATGAATTTTGTTAGCAGTTAATTAAAACAAAAAGTTATACTTTTAACATGAGAGCCCATTTCTTTTATCTATGTTGTTTGATCAAGAAATATTCAAACATACTCCACGAAACACATAATCCCATAATGGCGAATCGTACTGAAAATGCCATCATGAAAGATGAAATATAATTATAACGAACTGTTGAGTACATGAATGATTCAGTCCATGAGTTGATAAATGATTGACGACTTTACAGAAATGAATGTTAAGAACCTTGTGTATTACGAAACTTCAGATACATCTTGCCTTTCTCAGCATCTTCGAATGAAATGGATACAATATTCACTACGAACCTTTTGTATAGTATAGGTTGGAGTTTATTCATTAAGTTAACAAATAAACAGTTCACTCTTGCTGTTGTATTTCATAAGAACATTTAAGTTTTAAGCTTGGCCGACACTTTCTAGACTTATAGATAGGTAAAGTTGAGTACAACAAAAAATGTTCTTTTACACATTCCATAGTAAATTAGGGTAAAAGATAAAAGATAGTAAACTGGGGGATTTACTAAGTAATTTGACATCCCCAAAACAACAACAAGCAAACAAATAAAAACAAAACAAAAGAAAAGAAGGCTTGTACTTACTGTATTCTTTTCCGTTTGGACAGTAGGAAGACAATGACAACAGAGAGGACGAGTCCGCAAACCCCGCAGGTAACCCCAGCAATTAGTGGAATGTTCACGGGATGTCCAGGAGATTCACCAATGTCATTTGTTGTTCCTGTGTCAGTGGTGGATGCCATCACGGATATCGGGTGTCCTGGGCCTTTGGACGGTGTCTTTGAAGCGTTCGAGGAGAGTGGAGATGATGCTATCTTTGAGGTTGATGACACGTTGGTTGTGTTGCCAGTAGTGGTTGGCATCTCCGGGGTGGACGCCCCTTCTGAGGGTCTTCCTGATGCTGTCTTCCCAGACGATGAGGACTGCTGCACCGAAGTCTGGACTAGCGCTGGTGATGTCTTTCCTAATCCCTGTGTCGTGTTTACTCCCTGCGTAGTTTCTACGGGTGTTGCTGTTTGTTTGGCAGTGGGTGAAGTCTGTCCTGCAATTGTTGTTAGAATATCTGTGGTACCTTTGGTCTGTGGGTTTTCTGTCGTTTGCTCTGGTAAAGTCTGATTTTGCATTCCGATAGATGTTGCATTTCCTGCATTTGTTGACTGGATCTTTGTTGTACCTACTGTACTTGTACCGTTTGCTGTCGTTTGTCCAACGGTACTTGGTACAGTCTGATTTGTCGTAGATGACGTTGGCCCAACAGTACCATTTGTCGACAGAGACGTTGTGGTACCTAGAGTAGATGGTTGGTTCGATGAGAGTTTCATCGGAGGGATTGAAGATTGTCCATCAGTTTGAGAGACTCCTGTTGTAAATTGTACAGTCTGATTGGCTTCAGGTGACGTTTGACTATCAGTGAATGTAGTGTTTCCTATGTCTGTCAACAGAGACAATGTAGTACTTGCACTCTCTCCAGTAGGTAGGGCCTGTGTACCATTTACTGTCGTCGGTCCTCCAGTAGTCAGTACAGTCTGATTAGCTCTAGACGTTGTTAGTCCTCCAGTAGATGACATGTTTCCTGCATCTGTGGTGCCTGCGGTATATGCTTGTTTGGTTGAAGATTTTATAGGAGCTGGTGATGGTGGTCCTGTAGATGGCGCACCTCTTGTGTACTTTGTCCAGTCTGTCCAGGTGTAGGTGGTTGGGTTTGCCCTGCGTTTGTTGACATCCCTACAGTAGTTTGAGCTTTTGTTTTAGTTGTTAATGGAGCCCCGGTACCAGGAATCGTCGGTGGCACCGTCCTACCTGGAGAAACTGAAGATGGGATAGTTCCTGTCTGTCCTGCAGTTAGCGTCGATTGCAGGGTTTGACCAGTCGGGGTTACAGTTGCACCTCCAGTTAAGGTCGGCTGACCTGACCCAGTTACAGTGTTACCTCCAGTTGGTGAGCCACTCGGTGAAGCATTGCTTACAGAAGGTGACACAACTCCTCCAGTAGACGTCACCCCACCAGTTGGTGAAGCTGCTGAAGGTCCCGACGGTGACCCTCCAGGGGATGAAGATACCAACTTCAACGGAGCTGGACTACTCGTAAACGGTAGAGCAGAAGACGTCATTGATACAAATGCCGGTGAACTGAACGAAGGCGACATCGAAGGTGATACCGAACTCATGGTCATCGTTGGACTTCCCGTCATCGTGACACTTCCAAATGTCTGAGAGGGCGTTGAAGACATCGGAAACAGCGTTGATGATTTCACCGTAGTTCTTGCCGGTGTTGTAACAGCTTTAGTCACAGATCTTGTGTGTGTTACAAAACCCTTTGTTGTCTGTCCCAGCTGTGTGGTAGGTGTCTGTGTTGTACCATTCTGTACTGTAGGTCCCTGTGTTGCAGGCATATTAATTTTTGTTGTTTGGAAAGCCAGAGTAGGCTGAGTAGTTGCTGTTCCATTTGCCCCTGTTGTTGGCGGATGTGGCGGATGCGTTAGTAATTGTGCACTCGAGGGGTATTCTGAAGTACAAGGAAGACACATATTCCTAGGGTTAATACTTCTGTTTATTATAATACTCAAGACAATAAAAATGATGATACTAATATTCGGTTCTTGTATAGCGCATATCACATGATACCGTCTCCATGCGCTTCCAAAGAGATTTGGGATGATCAAACACTGAATATTAATATTCCAAATTTTTATATGACTTGTTAAGGTCTACTCTTGGACTTGATGTCCCTAATACATGAACACATTTTGCCATGGTAACAAATTGTTTAGCTCCCGGGTATTCAAACGTGACTAGAGGATAGAGGAAGGTGATGGCCAGTGAGTGAAATAGAAAATTGACAGAAAGAGAAAGAGAGGGGGGGGGGGGGGGTGAGGGGGAGGAAAGATGGTTGCCCGACCCAAGTAACAATAGGCCCCTATCAATAAATGATATAATCGAAAAATAAACCATTGTTTGCTATATAATCAATCAATCACAATGACTTGCTTTGTTTTATGATAAAATAGCAAGACTATAGAACTCAACCGACGTCAACAGAGAGTTAGTTTTAGGAGAGAGAGAGAGAGAGAAAGAGAGAGAGAGAGAGAGGGAGGAGAGAGAGAGAGAGAGGGAGGAGAGAGAGAGAGAGAGGGGGGGGGGAGAGAGTTTCATGAGGAAGGAGACAGGTGTGAAGGAGCTAAAAGAAAAGGAAATGTTTAGAAGATAATAACATTACCCTGTGAGAGCAGGATGACAGCGATGATAAGGATGCACGTTTTCACACTTGTTGAATACATCACGCTGGTGTGCAGTTATCTTTCCAGACAGCAGATGACGAACAAAAAAATTAGCAGGAAATCGCTGGTTACACGGATGCACGCACGTTCACAGGCAGTGTGTGCTGAGACGACGTGAATTTTTCTTCCCAAGCGTTCACTCTAAAACTGTGAGAAAAAAAGCGTATCAATCGTACATTATTGAGCTACTTTTCAACGATTCATGAATCTTTGAGAATGGATGGCAAGAATGTAAGTTTCGGCCCTCATAATGTTCAACTATAACATTAGCTTTGATGACTAAATACCCAGGATATTGCTTTGACGGTGAGAGGGACTTGGAGACCGACCCTTTTAAACGCATGACAATGAATCATCATAAACCCCATGACATTAATAATGATGATTGTTATATTCTCAAAAGTTGTATGCTCCGTTGCTGCAAATTCCACTGCAAGGTAACATGGCACTGTCTCTGGAGCACAGTCCTTCGTATTATTTACATAGAACCTTATTTACATTTGACGTAATACGTATTCAATAGGATATTTTTACCACACAGATATTCAAAGACAAATTGTAGTTATCATGTTTGATAAACCTTTAAAAGTTCCTCAAAGTGTCAATACCGTACTAGTCGTGTGTAGTTGACAGGTTTGACGGGATATGGCATGGTGTCGGCACATTTCACTTACTGCAAGCAAAAGTAAGCTGGCTACACAATTCTATCATAGTGAATTTCTGTGGTAGCAAAATACTTAAGATAACTGAGGAGCGTCATTTTTAATTTCAAAATTATTGAACGACAGAAAACCATACATATTGTTAATTATACACAAAAATACACATTTATCAAAAATAATATGACCAACTAAGAAATAATATGACGACATAGTTCTCGAAACACTTAATATAACCTTGCATTAATATTCGATTAGGTTATATTGAGTCAAATTACAAACTATTACCAGAAACATCGTAACCACATTATCGCTGTATATTATTCATGTAGAAATTGAACAATGTTAGTTGAAATGTACTTACTCTTAATGGTGCTAGAAACACGAAAATGGCATATCGTCTCCTCTTCCCCTCTTTCTAATTAACACAGTTTTCTTCGGCACGCGATTGAGGTTGGGGATCCTGTGAAAAGTCGTCAAAAATGTATACAGGAAACGAGTTGTAAAAGTACACCGAGCAGACTTAATCCCCGTAAAAGACGCGTGACTCTTTCAAAGCAAATACGCCGATGAAGTATTAAAGATTTGACACTTTCGCGTGAAAAACGATCTGAAATGAGTCTCCTATTTGGGAGTTGTCTCGTCAAGTAGTATAGTTTTACTCCTTGGTTTTACTTGCTTTGAGAGCATGTGGAAAGCATAGAGCTGAAGAGTTTGATAGAGACCGGAAAACTGACCTTCGCAAAGCTTTGGAACTTACTGCTTTATGCCGCCAGTCAGGCGCGGGGTTAGATATTGAGAAGTCTGTCTTGCACCATGCATCCAAGAAGTTGACTTTGCGCAAAATGTTTGTAATTTATCACGTAGAGCGATAGACTTTGGAATCAGAAGATATACAAAGATTGTTTAATGATATTAAGGTTCAATATTCCGTAACTTGACTCTTTTCATTATCACCTTTTAATGGTTGTCTGCCCGTGTGCAATCTGTGTATTTCCGGTTAGGTTCAATGTTAAAAGGGGGCATGGATGCACCTTAAGAGGAAGGGGGGGGGGGGGGGGTGCAAAAATGTCGATCGGGAATACACAGGAAATTAATGAGGGGATGGTAGTCCCCAAATCAATGCACACTTGAATTACTATGACAATCCTAGTGTATATCGAGCAAGTTTGAAATCAATCCGCGATATCATAAACAGTGTGTGTGGGTGTGTGTGTGGGGGGGGGGGGAGGGGGCTGTCACCAAATGGTCTTTGGTAACGGAATTGTCTATCACATCGCCTCATTGTCTCTCTGTTTTGATCACGGGGTCTTGAAAGATTCTTCATCGAATAATCCTTGGATTATATTCCTATGTTGGACGTATTATCAGCATGGCAACTGTCACTCAGTAGTCCATGGTAAAGCTGTAAGAACACACAGGGGAAATTCTTATAATTAGACAAGAGGACGAGGACAAATTCCCTTTTAATCTGGCACCATGCAGGCCTTTAGAGTAAAACAATAGGCTTAACTGAATTTTATACTTCATAAATAAACTGTCAAAATATAATTTATCCCTGGCCCCCTACAAAAGAAAGAAAACGTAATCGTGTAGGCGGACGGAATTAACTCATTAATCATTTAATATCATGATAATATTCCTATGATATTGTATTTATAACAATGATTATGTTGATGATAATAATACATGTAATAACAGTAATGAAAATAATAATAAGAATGATAATGATTATAAGAATAATTAAAAAAAATGACAATAATACTACTAATAATGATAATTATGACGATGATAACATTAAAAGCAATGGCAATAATTATAATAATAATATAGAGTATTTGTAATGGAGCCAAGGTGTAATGGAGGAGAAAAAAATACAAGTACACGAAAATACACCCCCAAAAATGAATAACAACAATGTGAAAGTCAATATACTGGAAAGCCGCTTTGAACAAATGACTTTTGAGGGCATTTTTAAAGCAATCTACTTTCGAAATATAACGAATATCTTGTGACAAGTGATTCCATAGGTAAGGTCCAGCGTGTGCAAATGACCTATCCCCCATGATAATGATAATAAATAATCAAATATACAGGAAGAAGAGACCCGAAGGTTACTGTGATTCAGTTCGCCTTTCGCCTACCAGCAAAAGTGACGCAAAATATTAATGATAATGATGATATTAATAAAAAGTAGGTTAAAAAAAAAATGATAATGATAATTATAATAATAATGACAATAATAATAAGATAATAGTACTAATAACAATACTTATAATGATAATGATAATGATGATGAAACTACTACTAGTAAGTTTTAATTTTCAATACGCCAAGGGTGATCTACGCCTATTTCCCAGAATCTATAGTCTTTTAACCATATATACCTATCATATTGATCCATTTACATTCAAGGATAGTTTGCATATTACCAACAGGATGTCAGTTTAAGACTAAACGATGTCAGAACTAATTGGATGCACAGTTGCTAATTTAATCCAGAAAAAAAATCACGATTAGCCTAGAGTCCTTTACTAAGCCTTCTGCACATTGATCCTAAAATAAAATTACTTTTCCTCTCTCTCCCCCTCCCTCTCTCTCTCTTTCTCTCTGTCTCGGAGACGGTTAATCACTGCAATCAAAGATATCAGAGGCTTCAAGATATGGATATGACCGGAAATTTTGTTGATGAAGAAGAGGAAGAGGAAGACAATAATTTCTCTGTGGGGGTACTAATATCTTGTCGATGGAGGAACAGCGGTGCCATCCGTAATTATAATATCCCTGTATCGATGTGGGCATGCTTTGATGAGAAACAGGAAACGATTGTTAATCGTCATCACGCAGGGAATCTTTAATGAAGAGGGGCACGCCATGGTAAAGAGAGAGAAAGGAAGAGAGAGAGAGAGAGAGAGAGAGAGAGAGAGAGAGAGAGAGAGAGAGAGCGAGCGAGCGAGCGAGAATGTGTGGTTGAGGGAGGGGGAGGGGGGAGGTGGGGCCCACAAGTAAAAAATGAAAAATATACTTTGATAGATATATAGATTTAAACATAAATATTTGTTTTGAAGATATATACTTAGGCAGATTATAGGTACGCTGTAGATAGATTGATCGTATCTTGAAAAATAGATAAATGGATGGGAGGGAATGAGTACGAGAGGATATCACTACGAAAGAGGAGACACATACGCGTGTGTAGAGAGAGAGAAAGGGAGGGAGGGAGGGAGGGAGGGAGGGAGGGAGGGAGGGAGAGAGAGGAAGAGAGAGAGAGAGAGAGAGAGAGAGAGAGAGATGAGAAGAGAGAAGGGGAGGGGTAGTAGAAGGATAGCATGAAAATGAGGGGGTCGGCCCAACAGCAACAACAACATCAAATTACAATGACTAAACTAATAACGAGTGAAAAGCAGAGAGAATTAAGTGGATCAGTTTTCTGATGGTCATAAGATGAAGGGTGTTAACGTACAGAGATGGTAAAGAGGGGAGAGAAGGAGGGCAGGGGGTTGGGGGCGGGCGGTGGCAAAGGAGGGAGGTCGGGAACAGAATGGAGTAGGTACTATACGGGCATAAGGAAACTACACATGACCTGTAATATGGGGGAATGTTATTCAGAACAAGGAAATACACGTAGAAGACAATACAATGTAATGTCTTTCACTGGAAAGACATTAAAGCAAAGACAGTAATGCAATTCAAAGAAGAGAAGGACACAAATAACTTGCCATACAAATGGGTGAACAATGTCGAAATATAGATGTAGGAGATAGAGGCAGAGAGGCAAGAAGTGGAATAATAAAAGACAGTGAGATGGAGGGAGAGAGAGAGAGAGAGAGAGAGAGAGAGAGAGTAGGAGAGATATAGGGAAAGTATGGTGGAGGAGGGAGAGATAGGAAGAGAGATAGGAAGATAGAGATAGAAAGAGAGGGAGGATGGGAAGGAGAGATGGAGAGAGAGATCAATACATAAATACAGCAGGGTTGGTACTAATTCTGAAGGGATAGATAGATAGATACAGTGTAGAATGTCTTTTGGGAAGTAGAATATACATCCATTATGAGATGCATGAAGAAAGGTGAATAGAGAGATTAGGTAGAATCTTCCAACCACACACTCATCATCATCTTCATCAACATGAACATCAAAATTTCAAATTATTATCCCCAGACATCATCATAATCACATTATCATTGTTACCATTCATATCAACACTGCCACCTTCATCATCATCATCATCATCACCATCACCACCATCATTAACATCATCACCATCACCACCATCATAACCACCATCCTCCTCCTCAGTATCCTTATCATCTCTTAACAATCTTCCATGTATCCTTTTGTATACTCTTTTATCAGTATAGTACCTGTACAGTATGTATGTATTTGCTTATGGTCAAACATATGTATACAGAAGAGATTAATCATCTAGAAGTCATAAATATTAATTTTTTATTTATTTAATCAAACTGTTGATTCAACAAAAAAATATATCAGCATTGCTTGTATCTATATAACATGTTCATGTCCATCATACAGGTTTTTCAGTGTTTCAATTTGGAGACATATGGCTTATACATTATATGTAAACAATTTAAAGAAAGGCTCAAGCATTCCCTAGCCTTCATGTATAACGATCAACCAATGATATACACATTTCTTTACAAATCCTTTATAAATAGCCATGCAAATCTTGAAGTATGTATAGGCCTTGTAGAGTTTTTAGAAATGAAATAATTTTCATGATAGCGACTTGTGAGAAAATAATAAACAAACAATTTTCAACCCTGTTTGGAGAAGACGAAAATTGTGTTAGTTTAATCCAGACAAAACATTGTATCCGATGTCACTTTGTTTTGGTCAAAAGTGCCAGAGAATTAGGTAAAATTGGCCAATCAATTCTAACGCCCACCCAAATCAAAAGCCCAAATCATCTAAAAGAATAGTCAAATTTGCCCTCAATCTAATGGAGCTCTCAATTTTCAAGGGACATATATGCTGGGCCATAAAACACCATCCCCAAGTGACTTTACTTACATTTCTAACTTGTTTATATCTACTTAAAAATTAGATACTTTGGATAAATTTGTCTGTCAAATAGATTTCATATGTAGTTATTTTGGTGCAATAAACACGGAAAATGTCAAAATCAAGTGAAAATCAAACAAAGAAAATGGCTTGCTTACATTTTGGGCTCAACTTCGACTGCGAATTTTTGATTTTGCTGAGTTTTTGAATTTTAAAATATAATTCTTTAATTTTTTCTTTCTTTATTTTAATTTATTTTTTATTAATTTTTTGGAACAGTCGCGCGCCACTCCGACTGACCGCAAGTGCCACAAGTGGCGCGTGCGCCGCCAGTTGAGAAAGCCTGGTATAAGGCATACCTGATCTCTAGTATTTCCACTAACTCATTTCTTTAGAATTTGGTTTAAACCACAAAAGTGTTTATTACATTTGTACCATGTGCATTTCACACATCCAATGACCGGGGTAATAGTATATTTGTAAAGCGCTTAGAGACATTTGTGATAAGCGCTATATAAAAATTAAATATTATTATTATTATTATATTGCCAACAAAATATTGGAATCAGCAGGCACCTTGAAGTAACACAGATTCACTATAGGTTTCAGGACTCCAACCAACCACAGATGTTCTAGTCTGTTTGCACTTGATTCTAATGCTCTTAGGATCTCATTGAATTCTCCTAGTCCATCAGCTCAGTCCCACAGCCGCATACCAAACAATGGTGTCCGTTCATTCATCCACACTCAGCTAAAACTTTTGAGTTTTGAGTCTATATAATCTCTCAGTCCCATTTGGAAGCTTTTGGCCTCATGATAGTCGTACCATCAAGTCGGAACTGTTCATACATGTCACTGTCTTTCTGGTTCTCTTTCTGTGCGTTGATATAGGCAATGTACGCGACACAGCCGGTGAGGGCAGCCAGACCAAATCCCATTATAAATTTGTTCTGAAGAAAAAAAAGAGAGGAAAACATAAAAGGAAAAGGACATTAAACTCAATGAACTTGATAATTGCCTGGAAACATAATTAGATAATATCCATTAATTTATAAAACATCCATTAATCAAGTTTTAACTATCAATATTATGGATAATGATGATTGTCACACATTTTGTGTGTATTTGTTTAATGGCCACATATTTCCATCACAAAATGTGATTGAATGGAAACTTTTTCATGAAATGTGTAATTTATTCACTGCTATTTCGAGGTATAAAATGCACAATTTGGGGGCATATTTTTCAATAGTAGGATACTGCAATTAACATTTATCTGGAAAGCAGAGAACAAAATCAAGGCTTTTAAAATTTTTGACCAAGATTTAGTTCAAAGTTGCTCAAAATGATGATATAGATAAGGTTACTTGAGTACGAGTGGGGGCACTGAGGCATACTGACGAGGGCTTGTGACTCTAATGCAAGAGGTCCTGGGTTTAATCTTTGCTGGGTCCATCTTTGGACAAGTTGTTTTAGGCGAGGTGTCAAAAATAAATATACCAGCCAGCGGCAGCTAACTGCACTTGTGCATCCTGGCTGCATTTTTTAAATTAGCTCAGCCGGCTACCGCTGGTGGTAGGAAATGGCATTCAAAAGCATGCGCCGGCTGCCGCCTTTCGAATGGAAACCGAGCCTCAGATCCCAGCCTGGCGCAAGCTGGCTGGGCTAATAAGTGAAAAATAATTGCCCCAGCCAGGCTTCGGCCGTAATTGCAGCCTCGATGCGCCAATACGTGAGGCGGCAGCCTGCTGGTATCGATATTTTTGACGCCTCGCCTTACCCACGTTTGACCCAGGTGTATTAAACAGGTAGTGAGCAATGCTGGGGAAATTATAATAAGTGCAGGACCCTCACTCAGTACTAATCGTAATGAGGCTTCCCTGGGTAAATTAGATTATTATTATTATACTTACAGGTTTAGCATAGAGTTCAAAGTTGACTGCTCTGAATAATGATGTAGATTTTATACTCCGGATGCCTTCTCCTGCTCCTGTCTGTCCTCCAGCCTTCACGGGAGGCTCTTTTCCATCTGCCATTAGATTCTTCCTTGCGTTAAACTTTCATATAATTCTGCACAAAAAATTAAAATACAAAATTTAAGACAAAGTCAGGGCAAGTTAAAGATATTCCTAGTCTTTCATCCAGATCTGTCTAAAATGACGAGGAACAAAATATATAGTATGTGTTATTCAAATTTGTCCACAATGTACACTTTCACCATGGTAATGGGTCAATTGCAGCATAACTTTCTTTCAATCCTTCCTTTGTTATTTCTCATATAGGCTAGGTCTAGTCTATGCTATCTATACGTATGCTAACAAATTATGCAATTTCAAGTTTCATGATTTTTATATCAAATCCATAACATACCCGCATATTCTAGAGGTGCTTAGCAATAACAATAATAAATCCTCTATTCCGAAACTTGTCAATCATCAGGCTTTCCAGTTTCCATTCAACCATAACATCTGGTGGTATGTCTCTCCGACTTGTCACCATCTTTACCTCTGGCATTGTTGTAATAAGATTTTATAATTACGCTGCGCGCTGCTAATCTATGCTAATTTTCAACTTGTTAATACTAGACTATATTAATTAAGCTTCAGTCTCTGATATAGGCCTAGACGATTGTTCTACTACCTCTGGCCCCTCTTAGTTACTTCTGTCTTCACACCACATTTCTATTCCCGATTTCAGTTTCTGTTCTCATAGTCTAGTTACTTCTAACTCAAACATCTTTTAAATGAAATATTCCTCATCCACACATCATCTGAACATTTCTAGCGATTAGCCTAGATTATTATTATTTATAATTTTAATAGGCCCCCTAGTAATTAATTAATATTTTGATTTGTTTTTTTCTCTCCATAAACAAAATCATGCTCTCCTAGCTATAGCTCCTCCCCCTTTTGTTTGATGCTAAGTCTTGTTATCTTACCTATGCAGCACTAAAAACTAACCGTGTTAGTGGCTGTAGTTCAACAATGATAAAGACTTTTTCAATCTTCACTCTTCACAATTCTCTCTCTAGCTAGGGTCTAGCTCTGCATTGCATTGTTTGCATGCGCATGCATATTGCAGTCAAAGTAACATGTATAATGAACGAAAGCAGACGATTTTCTCATGGCTCATGGATAACAGTTTTCTTTAATATGCAATTATAAACTTTTATAAAACATATGGATAATATTTCAAATTTTGTATATTTGAAAATAATTAATAAATATATTTAAATATTCTATCTAAAGAAGATTACATTAGTCTAATAAATTTTTATATTTTTCAAATAATTAAAGTCGAACGAGACTAATAATAAAACAAAATGGCAGCGCCCGAGCCAAAACGACGAAAGCATTCTCACAATGAAGATTCGGAGGAATTTCCGGTGAAATTTCCAGATGTCATCATTTTCATCGTCAATGCAAGAATCCAGAAAGTGCGACTGAAGAAACTGCGACACCTTGGACGATCCAAGGGATTCGTAATCTCATCTGAGCTGAAGTAGGTATTCTTAGAATCTAAACCATCGCGGCGGTACAGTGCAGTGCAGTGTGAATGAGTGAGAATCTATCTGTGATTGAGTCCGAGAGAGTGACGCGACGGTATCTTGTAAGGACGCCTCTCCGTCGGGCGCGTTTCCGTTTTACACCCTGCCCTAGGCTTTTCGTCAAGAAATTACACGAAACATGCTGTATCCGAAGTCTAAGTTTGTTTATATCGACGTCAAGAATAGCGAAGCCAAAGCTTATATACAATTTCAATTGGGGATGCGAGGGTCTTCTTGTTCAAGACGGTTTTCCCGATATATTATTGTTTTGTTATCGCTGGGCTAAATTTTGCGAGCTGATCACGCATCCTCACGCTCTTAGAGTATTGCGTATTAATGGATAAAAATAAATGATACGACTAGGAAGATCAACTAGTATAGAGAGTTAGCTAGCGCTACGTGACGTTTTCAGAGTTCTGGTGGTGTGCAGAGCGCCGAGGCAAGATGTGGACGACTAGACTCCGAATACCAGTCGGTTTGTAAAATTTTATTGGAGAAAAGCCTAGGGCAGGGTGTAAAACGGAAACGCGCGTCCGGGCCGTGTGGGCCTTGCCTTGGAGCTGGAGCTGGAGTGGGAATAATGCTTGGCTCTGGGTCCAGGGAAAAAAAAATTTAAACAATTTCGGGGGCTACTTTTCAAGCTTGCTTGCATGAAAATAACACTCTTTAAGACTTTAATTTGTTTTACATTGAACTCTAGTCTAGATAGGCAAATTCTAGACCGAATTTTCCGTCTCTTTCGTTCGTTAGCCTCTTATTGGGGTAGGGTCGGCTCTCTCTTTAGAGACGGAAACCGTCTATACACATTCCCTTGATAACGCCACGGCCATTTCAGGTCGTAGCATTTTGCCCCCAAAATCCCCCAAAATGTCATTTTACCTCATGCATTGATTATTTAAAATTAGGAGAAGGTTATAGAATCTACTACATCGGTTCCACTTACCAACTTGACTGAAATAATCTGTTTAATGGTCCCTTTTAAGGAAATTATGGGTCAAAATCGACATCCATGTTGAAATCTTGCAAGCCGTGTTAAACTCTCGCTGCGCACGGAGTCATCTAAATCAATCTCATCCCTTTTAGTCTACGCCGAAGGCAAAACGATTATGAAGGAAAAACTGTGATAACGCCATTACGAACGTGTAGATGGCGCACAGTTTTCCTTCATAATCGTTTTGCCTTCGGCGTAGACTAGAAGGGATGAGATTGATTTAGATGACTCCGTGCACAGCGAGAGTTTAACACTGCTTGCAAGATTACAACATGGATGTCGATTTGACCCATAATTTCCTTAAAAGGGACCATTAAACGGATTATTTCAGTCAAGTTGGTAAGTGGAACCGATGTAGTATAACCTTCTCCTAATTTTAAATAATCAATGCATGAGGTAAAATGACATTTTGGGGGATTTTGGGGGCAAAACGCTACGACCTGAAATGGCCGTGGCGTTATCAAGGGAATGTGTATAGACGGTTTCCGTCTCTAAAGAGAGAGCCGACCCTACCCCAATAAGAGGCTAAGGAACGAAAGAGACGGAAAATTCGGTCTAGGCAAATTCATGCAAAAAAATATATTAAAAAAATTGACTTGAAAACACATCAGACAATTAGTCTGAACCGAGTCAGGAGCAAATTTGAAGAAATTATATTTTTAAATGTTGTAAAACCAAAGATATAAGAAGAAAACTGACCAAGTATCTGTACTAAAAATCGTACATGTAAAATCGGTCGTATACATTGGACAGCTGAAAATGACGCGCACGGTTGCATTACGTGCATTCTCAAATCCAAAATCATACTTCACACACACACTCTCGCCATACCGCGAATGGTCCTTCGTGGGGAGCTAGCCGGCTGAGAGTTTGCAGCGATACCAACGCAGCTTCGAAGCTCCGCAGAGCGCCATTTTAGCGCAAACAACGCTAGATCGGCTGCTGGCAAAATGAAAATGACTAAGATCGAGAACATCGTCGGTTTCTTAACTTTTCAGTGAGATAATTCTGAATTCTAATTGAGACTATATAATCAATTGAATCGACAAAGAAACCTCGGTAGAACTCTTATAACTATACAAAAGCTTGTTTATTTCTTCATTTGACATTTTGTTTTCGACCATTTTTTCGTGCGCGAGTCAATGCAAACTATGTATTACCAAACTTTCAACACGCAAGGAACGGGGAACACTCGCGGACCTCGTATCAAATTCGTTGCAAAAAAAAAATTCAAGTGTGATTTTGAAGCAGTGTAGAATATTGGCGCTGCAATGCGCAGAAATATACTTGAAAGAAACTTAATAAATCATACCTGAATTTTCAGAAAATCGTATTTGTATTAGTGTACCTAGATGTGACTTGTTTATAACTCAGATTTTATGAAGATTTGTCGGGAAAAAATGTCAATTTTTTCCGTTTGGTGGTCATTTCTAGGCTAATATTTAAAAAGTTACTTCAGTAATGGGCCCGATGTTTCTCTTATCACACTCGCATGTTATTTCTACATAGATTAAACATAGGATGGTTAAGGGTAAGACCGGATAACATTATAAAAAAGATATATCCTTCCAACCTCCCATATCCAAGTTTTGGGCTGATTATTGCCGACCCACCGCAGCAAGGCCATTAAGATTGTCGTACGCGAGCGAAGCGCCCTCTAGTGCCCCATGAATGTGCCTAGTCTAGATCTATGCAAATTTTTTGGGGCTCTTCTTACTTCTATGACTTTTCGGGGGCTCTTTTAGCATTTCGGGGGCTAATTCGCCCTGAGCCCCCGTGTATTTTTCCCCCTGTCCGGGCCAGTCATCCCAGTTCAGCATTTTGCTCTGCGACTTTGCCATGCCACTGTAAATTTTATAACCTCTCACCAATATCATGAATATATCTTTAAAACACCAATGATCCAAAAAACACTGCCAATTTCACTTAAATCCGCTCTCCTAAATCTTCAACAAATAGTAACAGAGACCTGAAAAGGCTTAATCAATACGAATTAGGACTAACTCAGAAGATGCCCAGTGCAGGTATGTCTGTCTTTTATTGTAGGCTGCTATGCAGCATCATACTGAACTTTTTTAGGGAAAGTATATTCAAATGAAATACAACATAAGCCAATAGCAAAATAGGATTTAAGAGTAGACTCTAACTCTAAGACTGAATATTCAAAAGGAAAAGGAGAAGACTGAAGAGAACCAATGATAAGTAAGAAGTGGATCTTGCACATGCATCTTGTTTATCACTATTAAACTTACACTGTACCAATTTTCACTTTTAACTCCTCTGATGGTTTGCCAATGTGACTTGATTATTCTCTGAATGTGCAGTGAATCTGTGACCCATGTTGTGACGGAACTCAACTCCCGAGACCATGTCATCAGCGTCCTCCAGAGGATCTGCAAGTCTCAGCGGAATACCGAACTCAACGCCTTTGAGTTTGCTCAGAAGGCAGAGCTGCTTTCCCTGAAATGGTATACCTCATGCATGGAAGAGGACAAGCCGGTAGAAATCACAGATGAACATAGAGTATCTTCAAGAAAACCGGTAGGGTAGTAGCTTTTCTATCATCTTTTCTATCATCTTTTCTTCCCATACAGGACAACTGCCAATATCTTTATATTTTGTAATTTTTCCTTTTAATTAATTTGAATTCAGAGCCCTAAAAGTACATCAGTTGCTGGGTAGAACAGGCAATACAAATTAGGTTTTAAAAGCTGTGAGCATGCTGCTCTCAAATGGTAAAGATATTAGATTTTGAATTTAAGGTTAGTATCGGAAGAATCATAGTTTTACTCAAGTAAATTAATTAATTACATTACCGTACATTGAATATGTAGAAATGTTTTTTTTGCTGAATTCATGGCAAGTCTTTTGTTTTTTTTCATTCTTCTGTGCAGCTTGATCCTGATGCATTAGAAGAAGATGGAGAAGACAAACCCAAGAATCGCAGATTTGCTTGCCAGAGGATTACGCCTCTCAACCATCCAAATCAGAAGTTCACAGTAAGTCAAACTCAAAGCTATGTTGTGAATATTTGGCTGCTCCCTGACAGACTACTCTTGTACACTCGCCTCCTGACAAATATCAACGAATCCTTTTATGTATGGAACCCCTTGATATTTACACCCTAGACCAGCGATCCCTAAGTTAGTATCTTGTGTGACAAGACTGCATGAATATCTCATAGGACAACTGTGCCCTGGAAGAAATACTCCCTAGGACAACTATTCCCTACAACAGAGACTGCCTTGAAAACTATAGTACGTACCCTCTACAAGGGCAACCCATTACCAAAACCATTTGCTCTGTTGACTGAGGCACACATCATTTGACATAGGGTCTAGTGAAGTATTATATACGGCATACAAAGATTTTAGGCTTCTGATTGTTCAAGACTGTAAGTATGAAATTTGCTACTGACTGCTGGGCAGTATAGCGAAAAAACATCGACCAGGCATATTTCTACTTGCGTGTACAAAGCAAGAACGCGATGGGCATGAAGTTCAAAATTGATTCGTGCAGTGAGCCACGCAATGCTCTTAGACAAGTAAATTTCCATTTACTCTACAAATACATACACTTTGACAAGCATGTTTTGTTAAAATATCTCTTTTTGATTATCGACATGGAGGATGTGGTTTATAAAACAAATATGGATTGCTTATTTTTCTGGTCATGGTTAAACTTAAGCACTTCGGTGATCTCAAGACTGCAATAGGGGTCAGTGTCAAAGGTTATACAGTCAAACCTGTCTATAGGGACCACCCAAGGGAAACAGAAAATGTGATCTTTGGAGACAGGTGGTCACTAAAGCAGGTTTGACTGTACCTAGTGTAGGCATTGGTAGTCTGGAGTATGGCTGCCTAGGAGTACTTGTCCTAGAATTTAATCATTAATTTCTTTCAATCTGTAGGAAGCGTTAGAGTTCCTGGAGAAAGCAGCAGAATTGAGGATGGGAGATAACAGCCGGTCAAGAGCGCTGGCATTCCGTAAGGCGTCTGCTGCCCTCAAAGCTCTTCCTGAAGAGATCAAGAAGCCAGAGGATGTGGAAAACTTGTATGATATCAGGGGTGGAGCTCATTGCAAAGGGGTGATCCTGGTGAGATAATTGTTATAGCTCTTCCTTGAAGCCCCACTGCACTATTTATAGCTACTTGCGCCCTCTATATAGCAAACAATGCCTAAGCGGTGACCATTGGTCCCCCATGATACCCTTTTTCTTATTTCAATTGATAGCTGATTTGATGATATAACCACCTGTCAATGACCTTGCAAGGAGGTCTAATCCCTCCTGACCAAACTAGTGCAGATAATAAATTAAGGAAGACTGGTATTCTTTTGAAGTTGTTATATTAGACAAGCCTCTGACAAGTGTAATTGGTTACAAAATTTCTTAATTAATATTTTACACATACTTTTAACTTTTTAATGCCTATTGTAAAACTTTTCCAAAATATTGAAACAGAATTGAATATCCATGACTGAGAAATTCCCCTCCATTTTTAAAGATATATTTGATTTTAGAGATAATGGTATGGCCTTTCAAATATAAATCTATTTTTGGATGTACATGTATTTCCAAACTGATCTTTTCAGCTTTCGTAGGCTGCACAATGGTGCAGAATCAATAAGCGAAATCTCATTTTGCCTTCCAGTGTTTTGTGACTTTTCTTTTCTTCTTTCAGGACATCCTTGAAAATGGGTACAGCGCAGAAGTAGAAGGGATTAAGCGCAGTGACTGGTACCAGAACATGTCTGTGAGTTATATCTTATCCCTGACCTCAGCTAATATTATTGTAGAGATGTCATTGTCCAGTGGACACGTGACCAGACTGTGGATCACATGGTTTGCGTTGTAAGTCCCCCTGGGGCACTAATGTCCTTTGGCACTAATGTCCTTTGGCAAAACATAAATCTACATTTGCCACTCTCCAGCCAGGTGAAGTAAATGGGTGCCTGGTATGAAGAAATTCCTTGAATGCTTTAGCTCCTTATAGTGGCTCAGCTACAGCCAGATTTTAATACAATATTACCTTGAAATTTAAATAGCACTTTCGACACATACATAATGAGTATTACATGACACAAAGCTTTTAAAAAGAAAAGTCAAATTAACATCTAGTTCTGTCGATCACTATTAAACAATGAATAATGGAATATTTTTTATTGAGTACCGTTAACTTGTCTTTATCTTTCTTGTGCAATATCAGCTTTTCACAGGTATATATGGGTGTGGTATATCTACTTCAGCTAAATGGTGTCAGATGGGGCTTAGGAGTCTCGATGATGTGAAGGGCAGCTATATTCTGAACCTGACTAGGTCACAACTTAAAGGTATGTAGATCTCATGTCAATCCAACAGTAGCATATCCAGAAATTAGGGAGCATCAATTGGCAAGAGGAGGAGAGTGTATTGGCAGGCCCATATGCTCTTGCAAGTTGTATTAAATTTGATGTTTGGTTGGGGACATATGTCGGCTTCACCCTGTACTCTATATGGCTGCTGGCACTATATTTTCCATGTTGCCCACCGTTATTAAAGGGTCATACATGTATATGAAAAGTAGCTTGTAATCACAATATTCTGAGAACCAGTTAATGGATTGCAATCAAACTTGAATTTTAAAAATTGCTTCTTTTTTTGTTTGTAAAATGGGTCTATGGCAGAGGCATCATTTTCAACTGTGCGCAGTCGATGGTCCATCTATTTATTATTATGAGTTTTGTGGTTGACTTTGAATAGGTATTGAGTACTACAATGATCTGAACACGCCTGTCACTAAAGAGGAAGCCAAGTGGATCCATGATGCAGTCTCTCAAGAAGTTGCTGCCATACAACCAGGGAGTACAGTTGTCATGACAGGAGGATTCCTCAGGTAAGACAATATTCAGTTTAATGACACGTGCTCCATCAACAGGCGCTCTGCGGTCATTATCCCACACTAACCTAGTTCCTATAGTTTAAACCCTTCACCTCATCCTCGCCTTAAATCTTAATCTTCAAACTCAATTGCAACCCCAACCCTTATCTATATCCAAAGCAAAACAGGGGCACATGTTGGGTCAAGAGATGTGTCCTTCAAGATAGATTTTACTCTGAGAATTGTTTTGTTTTGTATTTGTTGATGAAGGTAAACAGTTACATTAACATGTTGCAGACTAGATTATTCAAATAATACAAAGTGTTTGTCAAGACCATGGATGTAGTGAATTCTTTTTTCCTTGGTGCAAATGCACATAGTCATATCCAAGGGTCTTTGTAAGTGGGAATTAATGGGTTCTCATATGAGCTCTTACGGAGACTCATGAAATAAAATACCCTATGACCAAGTTACATGTATGCTACAGTCAAACCTGTCTATAGCGACCGTCAAGGGAAACACAAAAGTTGGTCTCTGTAGACAGGTGGTCTTTGTAGACAAGTTCCTTCAGTACATGTTTCAATGAGAAACTATTTTGAAGGGAAACAAAAAATGTGGTCTTTCTTGACAGGTGGTCACTAAAGCAGGTATGACTGTAGTTTCAAACCCCTGCTCTATTGCATGTGCCTCTGAAGAATGCCTCAACAGCAGATGGGTGATTACCTTTTTTTTTATCTATTAAAAGGGGAAAGGACATGGGTCATGATGTTGACTTCTTGATATCCCATCCTGAGGAAGGTAAAGAGAAAGGCATCCTTGGAACTCTTCTCCAAGCCCTCACTAAGAAAGGTCTCCTGGATTACACGGACATCCAGAACAGCACGGTCACCAAGACCACCGTCCAGACAGGAATGGACGCATCAAGGAACACCATGGATCACTATGAGCGTTGCTTCAGCATCTTCCGTCTCCCGAAGACTGCGCAGAGTCACCGCAGCGATGAGTCCTCAGAAAGAACTGTTGCAGAGGACTCTGCTGCAATGGATGTAGTTCCTCCTGCATCAGAGTCATCTCCAAGCATGGATGTGACTCCTGCAAATGGAACAGCCATTCCAGGTTTATCCCTCCTTGAGAAAACGAATGGAAGTACCACGTCTCCTAGTGAAATTGTGCAAAAGACTGAAGATTCTGGTCGTTCTTGGGTGGCCAGAAGAGTGGACTTTGTCATAGCTCCTGCCGGACAGTATGCCTTTGCACTTCTGGGATGGACAGGATCAAAGATGTTTAATCGCTCGATGAGGGACTATACCAACAAAGTGATGAACATGAACCTGTCAAGTCATGGGCTCTTTGATAAGACAAATGTGAGTATGCTACTCTTTATCATGTATTTGCAAAAATATGTCATGTAACTTCAGTTGCAGTGAGTCCTTTGCCCAGTCTTATAACTAGTTGAAATCAATGCAAATTGATTGCAACTTGATATTAATGGCTCATCTGTACTGAGAGATATGAGTTTGTAAGATTTGCAATCAATACAGATCAATTGCAGTTGTTTATAAGATGGGGTTTTTCCCATTGACACCCATAGTAACATAGAACTAGGATATACTTAGTAGTTCAGATGAAAATATTTTATTTTTTTCTTTACTTGGTGCCAGAACTGCTCATTGCAAGCCAAGACGGAGGAGGAGATCTTTGAGTTGCTCAAACTGGATTACAAACCGCCAGAAGAGAGAAATTGCTGAGGGTAAATACAAAAGCATTTATGTGATTCTTCTAACCAAATTTTACAACTATGACAATATGAAAAGGTTTCTCACATCATCACATGCATTTAAGTTAAAGTTGTAGCAGTAGCATTTTACTGCCCTGGTTGTCTCTATTATCAGTGGCTAACCTAAATTATATTAAACAAACAAACTTAACTTCAGTAATAAACATGGTAATTTGAATTTACAAACAATGACAATTATGAGACAAAATTACAAGATGCAATACCGTAATTGAAGATAAACTCCAGTTCTGGTAAAAAAAAGAAAATCATTTATCACAGAATCAAACAAAACTTACACTGAATGTTCAAGATTACAAATAAATGACATGTGCCAAACAATTTTGGAAGAAAATGTATACTGGCTGAGTAATGAGCATAGAAAGACAAGGAAATCAAGGTAGTACTAGCCCCGACACCATGTGTGTTGTCCCATATATAGCTTTCTGTGTACAGTGCTTGTTACTTTACCAAGACTCTGCCAAATTTATTATGATTTTGATGACTCCAGAACCTTGCAGTGCACACCAATACTTACATGCTACATGATCAACTGTTTCTGATCCATTCCACACCTTTTCTTTCACAATGCAATCGCATTACCAGAACTCACCTTTATCTTTAACGTTGTATAAACCGCCCTCGTGTATTTACCGCACCCCTCTTTTTCGCCCTAATTTTTTTTTTTTTAAATGTACCTGTGTATAAACCGCACCCCCGACTTTGAATTTGTTTTAAAAAAGTGTGGTTTATACATCGTTAATTACGGTAACTGCAATTATTATATATAGACAAAACTACTGTATGAATTACAGATGGAATATTTGGGAATTTATTGTGTAAAATGGTAAGGTTTTAGTCTAGTTTAAAGTAGCAACTACCGGGTATATGCATTTCATTTTAGCAACATTAAACTTTGAACAAATATTGTAGCAAGCCATATTATCTGGTGGGTCTTAACTTGTAAACTGGTAATCCTTATGTTTCTTTGCAGTCTTTCTGCCAAAGTAATTTTGTTCTGACTGAGGTAGGTTTGAATTATATCAGATTTTTTTTCTTCAAGAACCTTTATAACTTAAATGCCTTGGATTTCATTGCATTCTTAATCTCTCTCTCTCTCCCTCTCTCTATCTCACTTCATTTAGATGTGGTGATTCAACATTAAAACCTGGGCATTCTTCTTTTGCATGCTGAATAATTGTTTGTATGATGATGAGCATGTAAGTCTGGTGTTTGATACTCCTGTGTAGAAACCTTATCAGAACCCTTGCAAGGTGTATATTCAGTGCTAAAGAATTGGCATTAAATCTGATGCTCAGTGTATCACAAACCCAAGAACTGTAGCAAGGTGTTTGCTCAGTGCTATTGCACTGGTGTTAAAATCTAATGTTAAGTGTTTCTGAAACCCAAGAACATTTATACTAAGGTGTATGTTCAGTGCTATTGTATCGGCATTAGAATATGGTGTTATAATATCAGAACACTGCATTAAATGTGCTGATTTATAACTTATAAATTTGGTGTTAGTGTATCAAAACTCCAAGACCCCCAGCAAGCAAGGTGTAAGATAAGTGCTCCTAAAATGGTATGATATTTGGTGTTAGTGTAAGTGCTGATATTGAAAAGCAGTAGAAAAGCTATTGCAGAATACTGCCCAGGTGTAAGATTTAACACCAGTAAAGCCCTGCCAAGACCCTTATATATACTGTTGAGAGCAAGAAGAGTGTTAACTCTGTCATAAATTGTATGAGTTAATGAGCAAAAGATATGTAATTTTACTTAAATTCAAATGAAACTTTGACTATTCTATGGTTGTATGACTTACAGCAATATTTACACCAAACAGGGAATGGTACAGGTGTAAAAAATGTTAAGTGTTAGTGCTGATTTTTAGAAACGGTGCAATGTCCTTTGCAAAGTACTGCTTCACTGTAAGTACAGTAAAAAATCCAACATGATTGAAGCCCTCCATTGGAGAGAGGTTTACATTGTGTTATGGGCGTAAATTTAAACACCCAACTACATGATTATCTGCATTACAGCAGTGCTAACTGACACACACAGACAAACAAACAGTGCTTCAATTGGATGAAAAGGTATGAAATCCATTGTTTCACTGTAAAAACCATGCCTTCGGTGTAAAAAATAATGCCTTTACTCTAGTCTAGTGTTAGTGTAAGCAATAACCTTACTCTTGTGTTAGAACAGTAGTACATTAGTACAACCGCACAAAGCAAGCTCTTACCAACATGTTACCTGGTGCTAAATCAAACACTGGGATGGTGGTGTTGTACTACACCAAAGCACATAAACACCAAGAGTAAGGGAAGGTGAATGTCTAAATAATAATTCTCTGAGACGAGGCCAATTGTTTAAATGTTAACATCTCCTCCGTCTGTGACACTGAACATATGTTTTTTTCTTATTCTATAAGGTGACCATGGCAACCAAATTTAATCAATAAGCAGCACCTGTAGTGAAACCCTATACAAATAAAATATAACACAGCTAAATTGTCATTACTTCTCTTTTACAGGCTTTTCAACTTTTAAATTTTTTCTAAAGGTCCATATCCATGACTAATGGAAAAACACAAACACTGAAATAGGAAGCAACTTTTTTTTTCCAAATTATATAACACCTTGACAGACTGTACTTCATAAATGTCATTATATGACAAGTTAATTCCTTTCCATTCAAAGTGTTGATGAGACACCAAAGAGGCGGTGTAAGCGTCATGGTTTAGAGATTTCTTATTAATGTTTTATAAAGTGTGTGGGTCAAACAATTATTGAAAATGGCTAGGTAAGTTTCTTGTAAACGTATTCCCTGAGTAATTTAATGTGATAAATTAATCTCATTCACTATTTTGTATTCTAATGTACTTCCTTTCCCAATTTTGTAAGCAATATTGTGCTCTGTATAAATAAGCTCCCCTAAGCACCTAATATTACTAATTTACTATCATGTAACTGTATATAAGGTTTGTTTGCACTGATAGTGCCATTGTGTTTATATTTCAATGTAATTCATGGTGTATTCAATTACTACATCTATGATCTTAAACATACATGTACTTCACACTTTTCATCTGTCTGTTGCTGGTAAATTATGTTAATTACTCTTAAGATTATGATTTATTCTGGAAAATCATGTCCTCACTGGTAGAATTGTGTTTGGTTAAAATTTGCTGAGAACTGGAATAAGTTCTTTTTTTTACAATTAAAAAATTATGTGTATATCATGGTGAAGCGTATTATTTGTATAATAAGATTATGTTCATCGCTAAATTGTCTTAATTACCGATTAGATTATGTTTATGTTTATTACAAGTAAATAGTAACCTGCAATTTTTTATATTTATTGGTAGATACCTTGTGTCTGGAGCCTGAACCTAGATTTAGCTTATTACAAGTGAAAATTCTCAGTCAATTTTTCTCCTTAACAGTATTACCATATGCGATATGAAGGATTTAATATTTTGAGAACAATTTTCTGACAGGGTAAGTGCATTCAAGCAATTCATTTTGCTATGCATCAAAGAATCGTGTTTATTCACTTCCAAATCTGTTTTAATTCTCCATTTTGATTCTCATTTTGTCCAGGGAAAGTTTTTAATTTTATATTATTTTGCAGCTGAAATTCCTCATGCATTACCAGTTGTTCCTGTTTTGTATGCATCTGTTTTGTTTTTAAATCATTCCTCTTATGCTTTCAATTAATCTATGATTTTGCTTTTTTTCACTTCTCTTTTGCATGTTTACTAGAAGTTATGTTTCCATTCACTTCTTATTTTTTTCTACTCATTATTTTCTTGATTTTCTCCATTAATGTGTCATCATTTCAGAGCTAAAATTTATGTGATATCCATATCATATAACATAACAAATAAATACAAATAGAAGCAAGATATACTACTTTTTTTAAAAGTTTAAATCCACAAGCATGTGGATCTGAAATGACTGATGCGCCAATCGGCTCACATTGAAACATTGATTTGTATTAAACATAAAACCTTTTATTTTCATTTTCATTTTCATAACAATTTTCTTTGTAGCATTGTAAATAAATAAGCAGGACATCATGTCAGAACTTCAACTTTTTATGATAATCATGTCATACAGGTTGTGAAGTAATACAAAGCAATAAGGGGGATGCCACAATGCGATCGGGAAAGGGAGTCGAGAAACTAAGCAATATAGATAGTGAGTAGCAGACTGGCGAACAGTGGATTCTACGCACAAATCCGACATATTCCGATTTAAGAAAAATTAATAAATAGCAGACTCAAAACAATAAATTTATAGTTTAATCATTTTTATTCATGATTGTATGTTTATGTACCTAAAGATTACTGGTAGTATGTGTATATTTAAGAAAATAGCAGGAATTCATCACATTTACCCAGGCACTTGCCTCACTTGGAAAAAGTGCTTATAAATTGTCTTACTTGCTTTTACAGGTTATCACATTGAGAAGTAGTAGGAGAATTCGGCTTGAAAGTGATATCTCAAATTAATGGTTAATTGAAGAAGAAAAGACAGGGTTTACGCATCAAGGTTAATTCATAAGATATTACTATGGTAAAAGATAATGCAGCACTAGGCAGAATTGTAGATTATGTACTGTGCAGTTGAGTTTGATTTCTATAAAATATATGGTATACTTTGCAAAATGATTTAAAGAATTTATTATTAAACAGGGTTTTATTAATTTGCCAGTATCTAAGAGGAAATTGAGTCGCCTTGAGCCATTTCTTTGTTTGATTTTTCTAACCTATGATTACTTTTTAGTTTTGTATACTATTATTGCATTCCAATTTCCTTTTTGGATAGGATCAGGTCAGAATATATTTTCATTTTTGTAATTTCAAACATCCTATCATTTTATGATAGTATGTAATTCTTTGATTTGCAGTGGGACATAATATGATTTGGTCCTTTGAGCTATGGAGTCTTTTAGGGTAGTTCACTTTTTCTAGGTATAGGCATAGTCAACTTCCCGCAATAGGCTTGTTATGACTTTAAAGACTATTTATTCAATTGTATGTTTGCTTATCTAGAATTCAGGATGCACCTGAAACTCTCTGTAGACGCTGTAGTATATTTTGTCAGTTCAAATAATATAATAATAATAATATTCAGCTTTTATATAGCGCAAATCACAATAAGTCTCTAAGCGCTTCCAAACTTGGATATTATTATCCCGGCTTTAGCTGTGCTGCCATTATAGCGCTCTAGCATTTCAAGGAATAAATTCCTACCAGGTACCCATTTACTTCACCTATATATATATATATATATATATATATATATATATATATATATAATACATTTAGCCCTGTCAAGCTAAAGCATGGTACTGTAGGAGTTTTCACAACCATAATTAAAGGTACCTTGGAATTACAGCGAGCTTGCCACATCACAAAGAGACACTGATCACACATATTTTGTGTCAGAAGTTGATTCTGAACGGTATGATACAATAATTCTATATCTCCACATATAGAATTTTCACAATATCCATGTCCTCCCTACACATACGCTTTGACGTTGTGTTGTATCTACTTTCGGATCTTGCCCGAGGGACAATATTACTAGTTCCAGATGAGAAGAATTTCATTATATTTGTATGGCTTACAGACAGTGTATCAGAATATTTTTTTTCAAAAAATGTAACACAATCATCTTTTGGTTCGTTTTGTTGTTGTCTGCATGTGTATGTGTTTTCAAATCTATTTACGAGTGTGTCTAAATAAATGCTGTACCAGATTATTTCTATATTTTGCATGAAATGTGTGTAGAGCCTTAACATGCATGGTCAGTACTAGATTGCATGGTATGTTAACACTAAGTATTTCTATGGAAATGGATATTTGTTTGTCTTTGAATTATCTTTAAGATAAATGTAGCTGTCACAGCCACTTGGAACGTGACCATACCTTATTTGAGTGTTCGTAACAATAATTTTCTATTCATTAAAATGAAAATACTTGTTGATATGTGCTCAAGGTTGTTGTTATTGTTGTTGTAAGAACTTAAAGGTAAGAAGATTGCAATAATATTTTCAATCAATGTTGACATAAACGTGTAACCATACTGATATTTTAAAAAGAAGTTGACTTCTTTAAGTATTGATTGTATTTGATTGTATTGTAAAAAAATAACAACATAAAGGCTGTGAAAAGAAGATTACACTAATATTTTCAATCGATGTTTACTAAAAACATTTACCATATTCTGATCTTTTGAAGATGTTGACTTTTTAACATTGATTGTTTTTTCATATAACGAAAGCAAATTAGAGACTTACATTGATGAGATGTATAATTAATTATTCTAAATCAAGGGCATAAAGTTCTCTTGTAAAATGTTGTCGTAAAATATTTGTATTTATAGAAATAGATTGACAAATGCAATTCATTGAGGAATCTGTTTTAATGGTTAGAATTCTTAGATAATATTTTAAAGAAAATCCACTGGAGCTTATTTTTATAAAGTGAGATTATAGTCAAACCTTGATTGAGGAGTGCAAATTATCAAATGAAATTTGTTCATGCCCCCTATCTATGATAGTAAAGATATTCTGTAACTCATTGAAGCTGTGTTACAAGAAAAGTTCCAACTGATTTGAATTGCAAAAACAACAAGAAGAAACTGAAGAGCCATATGATTTCATTGGGAAATTATTTTGTAGGTACATGAATTTACTGCCAATTTTTGTCTTGTCAAATGGACTTCAGTGGAAAGTTGTGAACAGCAAAGTGAAGTTACAGAATTTTACTCTTACAAGAGATTCTTGAAATTTCTTTTGCATTTTTGCAGTATTTTGGATTAACTTTGTGCCCACAGAAAAATTTCATTTTCTCTTAATAATTTTAAATAGTACCTTTAACTACTTTACTACAGTGTTTTTGCAAAAATGTTATATATTTTTTCACGAAGTACTACCATGTAGATGCTAATTCAGTAAATATGAGAAAGGATAGTTTTGTATAAGAATGTAAAAACATATGTAATTTAGCATGATCGTTTCAACATACTGGATATTCTATTTGACTTAGGGGTTACACTCATGTGTATGTTAGAGTGATGTTTTATCAACTGTAATAAAAACAATTTTGTCTGTTTAATAAAGTTGTGTCATCACATTGTATTTTTAATGTCTAGCATGATTCTACAATTTAGTATGAGCGAAGTGATGAAGTTTACAATTAAATCATACACAGAATTATTATTATTATCATTATTTTAGGGCAGCGCGGGTAGGGGTTGAGTGTTTGAATAATCGTCATTTTTATCATCAAATGGCTAAAATGATAACACAATTCATATAAAAACTATCGCAAATTTTCTACTCTAAGTCTAACGAACATGACGACAAATATGGTTTTCTCCATATTAAGAGGGAAGATTCCTGTCATCTGAAAGTTAAAATCATAATCTAAGATTAGTAATGGGTAGACCAGAAAGTGTAAGATCTTATTACTAATATACAATGTTTTTCACCACATTTAGTGGATTGCCTACACTTTCAAATGTTAACGCCTGGATACGTGGCAAAGACAAGGGTTTCATTTTGTATTTAAAACGGAAAATTCGTTTAATCCCTGCTTTTTCTTCTTTATTGTAATATTTTTAGACATGAGAAAACGGTAAAGGTGCATCGTTGGTGATATAATCATGATAATAGAGAATGCCCTCTAAAAATCGCTACAAATTTGTAAAGATTAGAGAGCTCTTACAGATACACATGTGTGATTGGTCCACAGTTCGTCACGTGGTTTTTTGGTTTAATTGTAACATCTATCTAGACATGAGTAACCGGTAAAGGTGCATCATCGGTGATATAATACGGAGTATCCGCTAATTCACTGGCACTCGACGGCATCCAGTACTCGGTATCCGGGAAAAACCCCATCTCAAAACTCTCGCTTTCGAAATCCTTTTCTTTATCGTGCGGTTCATTAAAATACCGTAGATCATTTTCATTAGTATCGGGTTTGAAGCTGTCGTTGGAGACACCGTGCATTTGTTCAAAGTAGTCGTTGATTATCGAAAGCGTGGTCGATGGCGGGATGTAGAGAGAGGAATCGTCGTGAATGTCGGATTCGTTGTCGAGTTTGGTCGACTGGAATTGATTTAAGCGATGGGCGAAATTCGGCTTGTTGTTTTCTGAGGGGTAAAATGTGGGATCGGATTAAATTGCCTGACACAAAAAAATTATGCTAAATACTTTATCATGTGTGTATTATGAGATTCTTCCAGACAAAAGTAGACTTACCAATTTCATGCAATAATCAGAGTTCATTATGTTAACTTTTCACATAAATCCATCAAAAGATAATTTTATGTTGAAGATTTGCATATTGAGTAAAAGTGACAGTTTTGTCAAAAGAGGTCTATACATATCACGTATCGGGTATTACCCTTTGACACGGGTATCGCTATGATTAGATGTTTCTTTATTTGGTCATGATCTTTAGTATGTGAAATATTTCAGGATTTGTGCACCAACCAATGGAGGAGGAGATGGTCGATAATGATGAATATTAGAATAGAAACGAATATACCAGAGAGTAGGTAAACGGTCTCTCCTCATATCTTGATAATTGTTCTCCTTATCATATTTCAGTCACCTATTTTCCAATGGCCGTTCAGTAATTGATGTTTATCAATTTAGTACACTTTTGTTTGTGACTACATCCACATTTATTATTTTCTGTTGATTCTTACCTAAATAATCTCGTCCATATTTCCTCCCTCGATTACTCTGTCGGGAATATGTTTGCTGGGATCTGTAAGGTGACAAAGATCACAGTTAATGTCGTTCCTAAACATGTCTTTGTTAGTCGTCTTAATGTTTGAGAACATTCAATAATGGTTAATTGTCAGTATATGATTTATTAACTATACAATCTTTCGATCGGACGCTTGTTTGCCCTCGTTTCAAATCAAACGGCATTACCTTATTGTTTGCACCAGTCTCTTTTTCATTTAAAGTTTGAAAGTTGGCTTTCAGTAAGCACACAGGAAATTCAATTAATTTCTTGACTTTGACACCCCCCCCCAAAAAAAAATTCTATTTTCACCTGTACATTTTCGTAATCAAATCTAATCTATGTCTTGAAATGCATGTAATTCGTCTTGAAATATAAGACAAAGACTTTACACTTCTTCAGAAAGTACACATAATATTAAAAAAAAGAAGACATTAACATCGCAATGACATGGGTCACTCACCTTAGTGGCATTTGATCATCCTCCGGATAGGAGTTTCTTTCCCGCCATTTCCTGGCGATGCAACACCCGAAGATGACCAGGCAGAAGACTAAGAAGAAGATCATGGCAGCTATTGACGACAGTACTATCAGCACGACACTGTCGGACGAGGCTTGTCTTTCCCCCGTAGTCGTGGATGACGTGTTGGTCGTTGAAAACGACCTTGAGGTCCCTAACCTCGAAGTGATGACGGTTGGACCTTCAGCTGTTCCAGAAGGCGTGCTCGGGTCATCGTCTTCGTCCCTAGTGGTACTTGATGTCTGCGACTTTGTTGTTTCTACTGCTGACGTGGACAATGATGGTGACGTCGACGATATCTTGACCGATGCTGTAGGGAATTCTGCGTGATCTGTAGTTTCATGTCCTGACATCAGAGTTGTAGCTGCATGTGTGACAGTGTCCTCGGTTGTCGTTTTGATGGATTCGGTGACCTGGGTTTCAGTCGGTTCATGTGCTCGCGGAACGGTGGTAGAAGACGCATCACTTTGAGTACTAGTGGCTTCAGTTGTTGTATCCTTTGGATAGTCCGATCCTTCTGTAGATAGTGTAGTTGTATCACTTTGAGTACTAGTAGCTTCAGTTGTTGTAGCCTTTGGATAATCCGATCCTTCTGTAGATATTGTTGTTGTATCACTTTGAGTACTAGCGGCTTCATTTGTTGTACTTTGGTAATCTGGTCCTTCTTCCGTTGAGAGGGTCGTCTTGTAAGTTGAAGTGATACTTGGCGTGAAGCCATCGGTAGTAGGACTCCATTCCGATGTCGGCTGTGTTGTTTCTTCGAGGTCGAGTGTTGTGATTATGGTGGTTGAGGAAGTGGTTGACGCTACGGTTCCTTCGATCGTGACCTCGGTAATCATAACACCAGTCGTGTTATCTTCTGTGGAAGTCAAGGAATCGGATCCGGTAGATGTCATGGTATCTATTGATGAATGCGAGTCCCCTAAGGTGGTTGTAGTCATAGTTGGGAATGATTCAGAAGTGACAGACGTACTACTCGTTGCTTCTGTTACGCCAGTAGTCATGCTCGATTTATCCGTTGATAATTGTGTTTCATCAGTTGTTGATAACTCTGTGGTTTCACCTTGGACAGTTACTGTTTCTGTACTTTCTCCTTCCGTATCTTTGATGGTTTGAGTAGGTCCCAAAGTGGCAAGAGTCGTAGCAGATGTTTTAAGAGATGTAAGTTGGGTTGAAACCTCTCCAGTAACAACACTTGATTCTGTACTCAATTCTGCAACAGCTGTAATATCTGAGTTGCTCGTAGTAAACTCCTCAATATTAGACACCATGATAGTGATAACCTCTGTTACTGATACTGTCATTGGAACATCAGATTCCGTTGTAACATAATCAGTGATCATGGCAGTCACAAGCGGCTCGACATCTTCATTAGTTGTTGGTATATCAGTTGTAGAGGGTGCGGACATTGGTGTCCATGTTGGAGTTTCCATGTCTGTAGTCAAAGGAAGAGAAATGGTGATAATTTCGCTGACATCTAAAGGTGTGCCCGGTGAATCTGAACCGGGTTCTGTGTCTGTGGGCACATCTTGCGTGGTCCTAGAAGACATCGTTGCTGTCGCTGTATTTGCGGTGTAGACATCGCTCGTCGATTCATCAGTGATTGTCACATATGAAGTCCCAAGTGTTCCATCTGCTGACGATGTCATGCCCTCTGTGTTTCCATTCGTGAGCTCCTCTGTGGCAGGAGAATCGCTCAATGTCTGAAGGGCGGGAGTTGATATGAGGTACGTAGACGTAGAGACCTTAACATCACGGGTCGTGACACCTTGTACTGTAATGTCTCTTTCTGTTGTTAAAGACTGGAAGGTAGGTTGGGTGCCTTCGGTATCCTGTGTTACAAGCGCCGTCGCAGAACTACCCTCATCTGTGGACATTTCGGACGGGGTAGTTGACATCAATGTTGAGGTCCACAGTGTAGATGATAACAGCGGTGATGGCGTGGTAGTGATAACTGCTTCTTGGAGACATCTGTCACCCGTAAATCCAGGTGTACATAGGCATGTGACATGAGCAACCCGTTTGCTTGTCGAGGGATTCGAAAAGCATGTACCTCCATTTCCGCACGTATCATTTGGTGCTTGGTCACAAGCAGGTTCTGTAAAATCGAAAGAAAAAAATTGTCATAGACTAATTATTCATTCCGATTTATGAATGCTTCTGCCACAAGAGCTTATTAACGAACTATTGCATCATCATGAACTCAATCCTTGAATTTTAATGACGAGGATGCCGTTTTCATGTTATAGACGTTCCCATGTCGGATAATCCTCTCGCAAGCTTGCGGGTCGTTATTAGTAAGCATTGTAGTAGAGGCATGCACGACACTGGAATGTTTTTGAGATATAAAACTTTCAGAGTATATCTCACGATTTCTAGAAAATGTATAAAGTCTTTACCTCCAAGGCACGTCGCTGGACTTTCATCGGATCCATCACTGCAGTCAGAGAACCCATCACACACGAAGATGCTGATGATGCACTCATTGGGCGTCGCACATTCCACAACAGAGAGTGGAAGATCCACCTCATCACAAACAAATGATACTAGATAAACAGACAATAAGCATGAAATCGAGAAAGTTAGCTTGTTAGAATTAAGAGTTTGGAAGAGTTTGTTTGCTCACGTTACATAAGATTGATTGCGATAAAGTATTACTATATGCCCTAAAGGTCGACTAGCATTTTGATACACAGTAATGAGAAGATCACGTTTGAGAATGGCTTCAAATTTATAAAGTAACTAAAATGCATCGATAACTGCATTTTAATAGGAGAACCTTGGCAAATTTCATTGATTTTGTTTTAATTGAATGGCTTTTTGAGAATGATTCTTTCCCCAAACGATGAACAGGGTCTCACGTTTGTGTTGACTGTTTCCTACAATGCAATTTAATATCTTATTATCATGTTGAAAGAATAATACAAAATAGATATGTAATGGCATTTTATTGATCACATACGTTTATTCGGAGTTCTTGTATCTTGGAGGGTTGTTGTAGAAAGCAACGTAGTAGTAATGAGTGTGGTCGACGTAACCGTGGCCACTGTGGTCGATGACGATGAGACCTCTCCTGTAGGCTCTAGGGATACATCAGTAGTCGTGGTGCTGGTCACATCATCAGTGAAACCATCTGAGGATGTCGATGGCTCATCCGAGGCAGTGGTTGACACGTCTTCCTCCGCATCTGATGTCGAAACCGATGGTGACGTTGATACGGATGGCGATGTCAAAGATATTACCGTGATCCTGGAAGGGTTAGAGTTTGTAGTTGGTACTTGAGGTTGCCCGACATCAGTTGTTTGGGAGATCGTTGTTATCATTGATGTTGATGGTGTCGTTGATGTTGATAATGACGCTGTGGTTGTAGGTGCAGTTGTGGCAGCTGTACTGGTGATGTCTTGTAAATCTGGAGATTCAGTAACATCAGATGGAGAACGGGTAGAAACGGTAGTAATAGAACCATCATCAAAAGGTGTCGTAGTTCTTTTTCTGTCCGTGAAAGCAAGAGTAGTTTCAGTCACCGTTCCCATTCCTCCCGACGGTAGCTGTTGTAATGTTGACGAAGATGAAGACAACGGTGTATTCACTCCATCAGTCGCGGTAGACAAAATATCAGAACTTGTGGTCATAGCTGCGGTCGTTTCAAGTGTTGTGGTAGATGGGTCAAGAGTTGTAGTGGGTGGTTCAGTAGTTGTAGGTGCTAGTACCTCACAGTACTCGCCCGTGTACCCTGATGTACACTTGCAGCTGTGGTATGCCACACGACTGGTGGTACGAGGATGGGACACGCAGGAACCGTTGTTCAAACACGTCTCGCCAACTTGCTCGTCGCAACTAGGAACTATGAGGACAGAGAGAGAGATAGAGAGAGGGAGACGGGTCATTCGAAATATCATAATCAGGAGATATAGTTAAAGGTAAAGACCAGTAATGGTCATGCGATTGCATTGTGAAAGAAACGTTGTGGAATCGATCAGAAAAGGTTGATCATCTAGCATCTAGCATCTGCAAGGTTCTGGAATCATCAAAATGATAAGAAATTTGGCCCATTCTTCGTAAAGTTACAAGCACTATACACAGAAAGATGTATATGGGACTACCCTATCTCTCTCACACGACCATGAGAGAGATAAATTTACCAAATATATGAATTAGTAGGCGGTTTCCCGGCAAATTTTTTAACATCATGTATTAGTCAAAACATATTCTTTCACATGATTGGTAATGAGAGCTTCCATTTCATTTTTTGAAATTGGGGCGTTACCAATACTGGTCTTAAAACAATATTATGGAAAAATTCTGGAAATTCATCTTTCAGATAGGTGAAGCTGCCAATTGGTTATGGTTAGGAATAGTGTTGGATCCGACATATATGTTACGTATTTGGTCAGTGTTAGAAATTAACCTTAAAGGAATTTTATTCTTCTTTTCGGAGCAAATGAGATTGAAATTTCATGGGAGCCTATTTCAATATCTGAACGAATTATTTTTAGTAACAATGGCAGTTTTTCTCTCGTTAACAGCTGTAATTACCAAAAGTCGAGTGTATACTGATTGATATAAATATAATCGACCGATTGGCATTCAGAATTCAGACGAGAGTCACTCAAACAAGACATCCTCACAGGAGCATCTGCTATTGGTTTATTTGGGTGGTTTGCATTTCGTTATGCAGAAAAAAATAACGACAATTAAAAGTGAAACGAAATGGTTGTACATGTATACAAAAATTCAGTGGAAATGAATGATGAAATCTTACTTCCTCGACACGTCGCGTTGCTCTCATCTGATTGGTCGGGGCAGTCTGGTATGACGTCACACACAAAAGAAGCGAGGAAACAATCGTTTGGGGACGACGCGCATTGGACGAGTTTTACCACAGATGATATGGACGAGTTACATGGCAAGGAGCCTTGTGATATTTCAAAATAAAATAAAAAGAGGTTATTCAAAACAAAAGTTATATAAATTTTGAATATTGTCCAAAAATTCATCCCTCAAAATATTTTTTTCATAGCAGTTTAAATACAAGCCCTATGCTTATGTATAATGCTACTTTTACTTACTGCCCCTTATGCGTCCCAGCTGGCATGTAGATTGAAATAATGAAATGCAGTAACGAAGGTTTTATTTTTAACTCCAGAACATGCGATCTATAAAATATGCAACTATTTGTACTTTTGATTAATATACATTACTAATTTCCGAGGGTACAAAACAAAGAAAATATTTGTTTTTCTTTTATTTCAGTATTCGAAAAAGTGAGGCTTTGAACATTGAACCAACTTAGTATTCGAAATAAGCAGTCAATTTGTTATGCATTAATTATTACGGTCGTTGATTAAAATGATTATCACATTATTTTGTTTGAATACATGCACTTGGAAATGCATTCCTGGTACATTTGTAAAGGCATGTCAACAATACGAGCCGAGCTCGTCATTTCGATATTGTTTACCTAGCACCATATGTTGCTGCCTGCTTAGATCGTGACGCCCAAAACAAACGTGAAGAAAAGTCAATATATTCGACATGAGTATAGCATGTTGATGAGCAGTCGCATCAAAATGGCATATTAGTCGATTAATCATGAGAAATCTGAAATTGCCGTGAATGTGTTCCAATTTGCTTTGGGCTTTTCAAGCGACTGGAAAATAGTAATTGTAAATGTATACAGGGGCGTACGCAGGATTTTTCAAGGGGGGGGTTTAAAATATTTTGCTCCCGAAAATTTGAAAATCGCGCCGGCCGAAAAGTCGCTCAGTGGGGGGGGGGGGGGGGGGGGGGGGGGGGGGGGGGGGGGGTAAGCGGACATTTTTTTTTTTTTTTTGGAGGCCAAAAAAAATCGCAACGACTCAGCCGGCAGAAAATTCGCTCAGTGGGGGGGGGGGGGGGGGGGGGGGGGGGGGGGGGGGGGGGGGGGGGGGGGTAAGCGGACACTTTTTTTTTTTTTGGGGTCTCAAAATTTCAAAATTTGACATTTTTTACGTATGTGGGGGGGGGGGTAAGGTCACCTTATTTAGGTTAGCGTGGGTATAATTAAAAAAAAAAAAAAAAAAAAAAAAAAAAAAAAAAAAAAAAAGCCAAAGGGGGGGGGGGGGGTTTTAGGTTTTTTAGGGGGGTTTACATACATGAAAATACCAAAGGGGGGGGGGTTTGAACCCCAAAAACACCCCCCTGCGTACGCCCCTGAATGTATATATTTATGTTGACAGCCAGAAGGGCGTAAACTCGGTTAGTTTCAGTAGATCCGTTAAAACCCTTTTCTTGCTCTCATAAGAATTTAGCTATCACGTTCAGTACATATGCTAGATTACGAAATTCCCTCATCAATTTCAAAACACTATACAGACGCCAATTTTACATTGTTCCAATAGTATGTCAGACATGGACATTTTGTCATGCTCCTTGTTTTCTGGAGAGGAACAGGTCGATATTATTCTTTCTTTTGAACAAACTGAATAAGCTAAAATAGATTGATAACAAGTTAAATTCATTTAGGTAACACATAAAATAAATTAGAATTGAATGAAAATCATTGTTGTGCAGCAATGCAATCCATTTAAAACTTCTACTCACTTCGTTTTCTAACAGTAAGCTCTCTTTCCTTGGATGAAAACGCTCCTGATCCAAACAACACAAACGTTACTGAAGTTAACAAGATGGCGACGAGTAGCAAAAGGACGTAAAATCTCATGTAGCGGTGGCAAGACATACGAATGTACGTAGCAGAACTCCTCGACGATAACTCCATAAGGAGTTCAAGTCATTATGGAATTCGTTTCGTTGTTCCTTTTAATTTCCAGTCGTAAATTCCGTCATTTCAAAACAACATTTCTCCGTTGATTGACTTTATAGAGAAAATCCATACGAAAATCTTGGTATTGATAATGCAAACGTTTTTACTTTCAATTGATTTTCGTAAATCATTCACCTCGTCGAAAATCTGTATTTTCTTCAAGAACAATTCTTTTATTCGACTAGTAAGATTATCTGCATGATCTATGGCTATTAGAAGAGCTGATCCAATTAACTTCGAAGACTGTATTCACTTTATCGATATAGATGTTGTCCAGTGCTATTAAACACGATCGAATTTCTACCACTGTTAATCACTATCAGTTATGAACGTAATTTAGCACATAATTACCGCTCTTTCACACTGTTTTTTCAGAGAGGAGCATCGGAAAGGTCTAAAGCAACCCAGTCCATTTTGGCAATCACTACAACAAACGTGACAGGCATTAAGATCCCTCAAAAATCTTGTGAATCTCGGAATGCAATGTGACGACGTTTCACCTTTTTGTTATCAGTTTGCCGAACATGTCAATTGTAACAATTAAACGTAGAATATATAAACCTGTAACAAAGTTTGATCCTGGAGAAGCTTAATCAAAAGTAAACGTTCGCGAATAACCAAAAAAAAATGAAGTATGAAATCGTAAACCAAACATGGATTTATGAGTATATTTCGAGTGCTAATGGTGTGCGTTCTCGTGATGTAATGGTGTCTTTTCTTTAGAAATATTGCATATGCTCGCTTTCTCCTGATTTGCTCATTTCCATAATTAAAAAAAGGGTGTGTTGTTGATCGATCGCCTGCAATCTGTTCTCGTTATTTGCTTTTCCCGTGAACCAAGATAATAACTTTCGGATCACTCCTATTTACTTTTTTTTTTAAATGCTAGACCCATTTTCTACGTCACCTCTCCACAATTTTGTCTTTCTATCTCTCCTCTCTTTTCCTCTCTTTCTCTCTTTTTCTCTCTCTGCCTCTCTCCCCTCTCTCTGTCTCTCTCTGTCTCTCAATATATCTCTCTCTGTCTCTCTGTCTCCCTCTCTCTCTCTCGCTCTCTCTCTCTATCTGTCTCTCCCTCCCTCTATCTTTCTCCCTCTTTATTTCTTCCATTTTGGATCTTGCTCTCTTGCCTTCTTCTCTCTTGACAGGTTCCCAAACAAAACATAAAAATATCAAAGGTTCTCATATTTGCAACTTCTCTAGCATACGAACGAAACACAGCTCCTGATAACACCAGAGCGAACATGACCACATAAATCACAAGCACAAGAAACCAATTCATGAAAATTTAAATACTCATGTTATAATTTGACAAACATGTACTATCAAAATCTGAATTAGACAATAATTCCACGTGCCATGGGTTTATCGATGAATGTGTATCAGTGGCGGATCCATGGGGCGGCAAAGAGGGGGGGGGGGGGGGAGAAGATGGTGAAGAAAAGGATAGCTTGGGCTGATGGCCTTTTGAGCTTTAATATTTGGAAGTGTGCCCTCCACCCTCCCCCCCCCCCCCCCCCCCCCTCCTATCCCGCCGGAGAATCCTGGATCTACCACTGTATTTCATATCAATTCGGTAAACCTGACATCACTATTAGTGATCGATAATGAGGATAACATAGGCCTAAAATAACTTAAATTCTCGTATAGACATACGGTCATATTGAAGTTCATTTACATCAAATAATTAAGATTCTTACAAGCTGTAGAGTGGTAAAGCATTATGGGTAGATAACGTTATTTAAGTATAAGCACGTACAGAAAATAGCAAGGTATATATTTCGAGAGAAGTGTAGATATGACAGACAATATTAAAAATAGATAATTAAAATGAGAAAAGACTAAATAAATGTAACAAAGTTTGTACAACATCATACCATGGAGATCTCCATGATCATACTCTTCTGAAAAGAAGTGATATGAATTTGATTATTCAGTAAAATTATTATCAAGTTTTAAAAATGTACAAGGAGAACAAGCCTCCGATTCCGGGCCACATAAATAAATCACAAGCACAAGAAACCAATTCATGACAATTTAAATACTCATGTTATAATTTGACAAACATGTACTATCAAAATCTGAATTAGACAATAATTCCACGTGCCATGGGTTTATCGATGAATGTGTATCAGTGGCGGATCCATGGGGCGGCAAAGAGGGGGGGGGGGAGAAGATGGTGAAGAAAAGGATAGCTTGGGCTGATGGCCTTTTGAGCTTTAATATTTTGGAAGTGTGCCCTCCACCTCCCCCCCCCCCCCCCCCCTCTATCCCGCCGGAGAATCCTGGATCTACCACTGTATTCCATATCAATTCGGTAAAACTGACATCACTATTAGTGATCGATAATGAGAATAACGTAGGCCTAAAATAACTTAAATTTTCATATAGACATACGGTCATATTGAAGTTCATTGACATCAAATAATTAAGATTCTTACAAGCTGTAGAGTGGTAAAGCATTATGGGTAGATAACGTATTTAAGTATAAGCACGTACAGAAAACAGCAAGGTATATATTTCGAGAGAAGTGTAGATATGACAGACAATATTAAAAATAGATAATTAAAATGAGAAAAGACTAAATAAATATAACAAAGCAGTAGTATTCGTAGTAGTAGTAGTAGTAGTAGTAGTAGTAGTAGTAGGAGTAGTAGTGGTAGTAGTACATTGTAGTAGTAATAGTGGTGGTGATAGTATTATAAGTTGTAGTAGTAGTGGTAGTAGTAGTAGTAGTAGTGGTAGTAGTACATTGTAGTAGTAATAGTGGTGGTGATAGTATTATAAGTTGTAGTAGTAGTGGTAGTAGTAGTAGTAGTATTAGTTGTAGTAGTAGTAGTAGTAGTAGTAGTAGCAGCAGTAGTAGTGGTATTAGTAGCAGTAGAGGTAGTAGTAGTAATGGTGGTAGTAGTAGTAGTAAAAGAGCAAGAGGAAGGGGAGGTAGAAAAAGAACATACATGTATATACGCATTGTCAAACTCAGCTGCAAAATTTTGGGTAAAATCAGATATTCAACCTCAAAGGAGAGGACCAGCAAAAGGAGTAAACGGTATATGCCCTCTATGTTTGAATGCTCGGGGAAAAAAAATCAATAAACTTGCAAAGTTATTGGTACAAGCAATGTGGGAGCCAACGTCGGTGGCGAAGCAGCGAACGATGGTGCTGGGGTATACCCTCCCCACTCCCCCTCCGCCTGTTTGAATGCTTGGAAAGAAGAAAAATCTGGAAATCTAGCAGTAGGTCTCCACATATAGCTATAGGCTACATGGGAAGGATTTACTGATTATTTTGGATAAGCCCCTAATGTATGCCGCATGGTTTTGTGACCTTTATTTTTTATCATAATTATTTGTAGGCTCTTTGCGATTCAGAGTATTTTAAGTTTTCTTCTTCTCATTTTTTTTTAAATTACGTGATACAGAAGTGAAAAGTGAAAAGAAAATTAAGGAACATTTTTTCTTTATTAGGCTAATTGACACCATTCATACTATGGACGATCATTGGTGCAGCATTTTTGGTTTAGTTTAAATACAAAAGTTTCCCATACGGGTGTCTGCAAATGCTTGGCATGAAGTTTGCAATGGAGATGGTAATGAAATTTAATTTTGCCTTTTACTTTTATGTTCCCACTTTGAGAAACTGGCCTATATATACTTACTGTACAATAAACAAAATGGTTTTTTTTTAATGTAAATATTACCTTAAAATGGCAACTATAACTTCATTTTATTTCATTTCATTTCATTTCGTTCATAATTTACTCTGAAGTTCCTAAATGTGCACGGGGCTCTATCTTTAAGGCACAAATGATGGTTTTTCATAATCGAAAAGCGCATAGTCGATTCTGTACATATCCCAAAGCGCCTGTACTTTTTCTTTGGAGAAACTATCAAAAAAATTACTTATATTCAACGAAGCACTGTTTGTTGGGTGACTATTTGTAGAACTCGGGTAAGTTAGATTAAGAGTAAAGTTTGAATTTTGCAAGACGTAGTTTGCCTCCTTTTCAATGTTTTCAAGCTTTCCAATGAAATCATACTTGATCTTACAGGGAGAGCAGAGCTTATAGCTCTCCTTCCAGTGCTCGTCAAACTGAGGGCGCTCTGCAGGATCGACCAAGTAATCTGTGAACTCTGCCCAGGTGATGTTTTCACCGGTGATTAGATCTCGCGGAGTGGCTCCAGGGCGGTACTTCCTCATGATCCTTCGAGCGACCTGCTTCAGGTATTCCGGTGCTAGACGGAATACGTTAAGATCCTTGTACTTGTTCTTGTATGCCGATATGATCCTCGTGAAGGGTTCCCGAACGAACATGACCTTCCGGTAGTTCTTTAGCCGGTAGAACTGGTCGGCCTTGGACAACGAGCCGAAGTGAGTCAAACCATTCCGAGAGTGTGCCTCTCTAGAAGTGATACCGTCCATCATTTTCCTTTTGCCAGCGAGAACCATGAGGATGCGCTTCCAGTTGCTGCATCCAACCTTTGGGATATAGCAGAACAGCAGTTTCTGGCTGTCCACCACAAACAGGTGTCGCAGGGTGTCTTTGTACAGCAAGTTCTGGTACTTGAGGTACACAGACTTCCCGCAGGAATTTTCCAACCTTAGCTTCCGTTTCTTCTGAGAGTGCGTGATGTTGGTCAATGCTTCCAGTCGCTTCCTTTCCTCGACCCGAGCCATTTCCTTGTTGTTCCTCGTTTCTATCCGCAGTGCTTCTCTCAGCTCCTTTTCTGCTGCTCTCGCTATAGTCTTGTTCTCTCTCTCCTGTCTCCGAAGCTCTTTCTCCTCTGGTGTAAGAATTTTGAAAGTTTGGTTCATCCCAATCGCTCGTGGTTCATCGCCAAGTCCGTACCCTCGGTCCGAGTTTGTTCTCCTAAAATCCGTCTGGTTGTCATTTCAAAGGGAATATCCACATCTTCAATGAACTCTCCGCATGCGTCACAACCAATCATTTCTTGAGTTCTTTCGTCATCCTGTTCTTCTGCGCCGTTTCCTCCTTCATCAGTATTTTCAAACAGTTTGTCGTTAAGTTCACCTTCATCTTCTTTTATATTCATATTTTGTGTTCCTTCTACGTCTGTCTCGACTACCTCTTTAACCTTTTCCTGAAATGATAGAAATTAGTGCAATGATAGGACTAATAAGGGAATAAGGAATAATAGCAAGTACATGTATACTATTACTACATGATGAAAAGAATAAGTCTTGTGATTAAGACAATGATAATTATAATAATCATTAAATGTTCATGATCATGATAATAATAATAATAATGATAACAATGATAATAATAATAATATTAATAGTAATGATACTAACATCCACTATAATATTACTGCTGTTACTGTTACTAATAACGATAGCTGAGCATTCCTAGAAACAGCTATATGCGCATCGTAAATAAAATGCAACTATCAATATCACTTATTATCATTTTTATTTTCACTTTTATTATATTAAAATTATCATTATCAACATTATTATCAGTAATAACATTATTTTGTATGATTACCTACTACTACTACTGCTGTAAATATAGTCTTCTAATCTTCTTCTTGTTATCATTATTAATATTATTATTTTCATTATTATTGTTGTTGTTGATATTATTATTGTAATTATTAATACTAGTATTAGTAGTGGTAGTAAAAGTAGTAGTAGTACTATTATTGTTATTATTTTTATTATTCTAATTATTCTAATTACTCTCTTACCAGTATTTCCTGAGGTTTTATGTGCGTGAGATCGCCTTCACTTCTGGTCATTACAACCCCCATTTGCGTATCATCTCTCTCATCTGAGGGAGAAGAAGATCAGAGAAAGATGTAGGTAATACAAAGTTTTGGTAAATTTTGAAAACTGGGTGGATGGTGATTCTTTACAATTTTGATATATTTGGATGCTCCTGTGGATATATTATAAGCACTAGAAAATTTGACCCCTAAAACACTTCTGCTTTTGAGAAAAATTAAATATAAAATTTTACCGGTGCTCCCGGTAAATTTTGATAAATTTCAAATAGCGCCTACGACCGTATAATGGTAGCTGCTACCATGAAAATCTCAGAATATGTAGTTGTGATATATAATTTACAAACGGTAATAGCTAATTAATCGATTTTAGTCAAGAAACATTGTTTTATAGCTTAATTAATAGCTTGACCTTGAGAGGGAGCTATACAACATAAAGAGTTTATTATTTACAATTTCATAACAGTAGACTCGATTTCAACCGCGAAAACGATCACTGAATATTGAAGGATCGCATAATTATGCTGCTAATTCATTTGAACCAAATTCATGACTCCATACCAAAACTTTGTATTACCTTTAAGAATAAGTGGACTTGTAAACAAGGGCGGATCAGGGACTTTGTAAAAGAGGGGAATGGGTGGGGCAATATTTATTTTAAAAATCTGACAAGAAAAAAGTCACCACCACAAAGGGGAGGGGGGGGGTCAACATCCTTAAATGTTTGTACGGTATTTCACTTTGGTTTGAAAAAGGGAAGGGTAGACGGGCCGGATGGGTCCCCTCCAACCCGCTTAATATTCAAGCTCCTTGAGTCGTAGATAAATTGGTAAAAATTGTAATAATTTATGGTCACATAATACATTTTTCTGTTCAGACTTGTCAGTTACTCAGAACATAGACTACAGGAGGACGTGCCCCCCCCCCCCCCCCCCCCCCCCCCCCCCCGGCGAGAAAAAGAGGGAATTGAGGAGAAAAGTAAGAAAGAAAAAAAAAGAAGCATGGGCTGATGACCTTCTGTTTTGCCTTCTTATGTCAAAGTATATGATATATATTATGTATGTAAATTTATTTTGATTATTGGTACGTTTGTAAATTGTGAGCAAAACAAAATTTCCAATATTGGACAATAAATTGAAAAAAATAAATGGTTGTGTGCTCCCACCCCTATCAGCTACCAGAGTATCCTGGATCTGCCATCCAGCGAAACACTTCATGGTGCTTCATGTTGACTAACCCAGAGTGTACATGGAGGCTTGACTAAAGCTGACAAGTAAACTGAATCTATTTCGTATATAAAGTTCAGAAACGAGTGAATCTGTGATGTGCAAGACAAACATGATAGTATATTTTTGATAAGGGCCACTCACACAATGACTCCTCTCCTAGCTAACAAGAGGGAGAGAAAGAAGAAGGAAGAGAAGATGATGATGAAGAAGAAGAAGATGTCAATTGAGCGTAAAACATTAAAATTAGATGATAATAAACCAACTATCGACACATAATCAATACGCAAACTGCATGATGTTCAATTATCAAATATGCGCGTTTATGAACTATTGAAAAATGGTGGCGACCATGTGTAGTTTGAAATAGTTTGAGTGCTTACCATTTCCTCCGAGGGACATCACGGCGTAGAGGACTAGGAAGGCTGTGATGACCATTGCTGCTAGAGTCCAGAGACGCTTGCAACGTGTGGTGCACATCCTGAGAAATGGGACGGGCATGGTGTCGAATCCTTTATGATCTGTACAGTCCCTGGCCTGTAAGAAGTCAAATGAAACAAATTTGTTATATCATTTTCAGTTGTTGTAACCGGTGGTGTAGCAAAGGATTCGGAGCCAATGAAGGGGACGTTACGACCTTCTGTATGTTTCAATTCAATTCAATTCAATCAAGGTTTATAAAAGACATGAATAGCAGTCAGAGACTGAATTGTACATGTAAATTTTTTCACAGTGCAGGTAAAATACAATGCAAGTATAAAATAACAACATGAGGAAAAATGGAATTAAATATAATGTGTACAAGCATAATTTTAAATTTTGATAGGTAGTAAAATATATATAAATGTCGATGAAATGCAAGGGAACGGCCGGACCCCTGTGTATAAAGGGATTCTTGGGACCATCATGTCGGCCGGAGCGCCGTGGTTTATTGGTCAATGCTCTTGACACTCAAGAAGGTCCCCGATTCAATCCTCGCTGAGTGCTAATTACGTCCTTGGTCAAGGTGTTTCACCCGCATTTGTCCCTTTCGACCCAAGGTGTATCTGGCCAAGCTATATAGGGTAATAATTGCAGGGCCCGCAGGAAGAGGAGCAGACCCTATTAGTATATCGACTGCGGTTACCCGGGTATATAATGGAAAGGTCATTCATCATTGCATGCTCTTTGACATCTGGGTTTTCTTTCTTTACACCGTCTCTGTTTCTCCTTTGTCTCTCGATAGACACAAACAAACACTTCCCACATATACACACGCACAAGAACACCCCACAAACTCTTTCCCTCTCTCTCTTTCTTCCTCACATTCTTTTTTCCCCCTTCGATTTGGCCATTCGCTATACGCGTCGATCTGGTTGCCACTATTCATTAAAAAAAAAAAAAAATAATAATATCACTTGACACTTCAGTCCCTCTTTTTGGAACAAAAAGGTTGGAAAACTTCAGCAAGAAAAAATTGAATATTCTGAACACTCCAATACATTGTACAAGTATTCATCAATCAACTTTACAGTCTTCTTTTTGCTTTCTTTATAGCCATCTCTATTTCTTTTCAAGAAATTTGACCGATTGTTAATGTCCACATTTTAAATCGAGTTTGCTTTTATTTGACAAACATTTTTCACTACATGTACTTACCTCCCTCCTCAATACAATCGTTCATATTTAGTTTGATTGAAATAAAGTACAACCATTTCAAAATTGTTCATCATAAATTATTATTAGACTATACATATGTATCTCTTCCAGCAGTTCCCGTTAAACAAAAACGGATTTCTGTACTTTGGGTAAAATGTTTTTCCATTAAAACAAATTCACTTAGGCCTATATTGAATAGCGCTCGATGTTGAGGTCATCGAAAAAACACGATAGTGATAATGACTTTTACTTACCACGTCAGCACTTTCACCTTATGTGACTTTCAAAGTTTTACTTCTACACTCGGTCAAACAACAGATGCTCATTCATGACTTTGTCTACCATTCAATAACTTTATGGCGACATTCGAAAAGAGCGCGAATTTGAACGTCACTTTTAAGATCGTATCGATGTTACTTTCTGGTCCAAATCGTCTGATGTTACTGCATGTACATTGATATTTTGTGAAATGTATAAGTGCAGGTCGAATATCTTCCAGAAGGAACGTTCACATCAACGAAATGTAGTCAGATCAATAACCGGTTCGACTCTCAAGGTTCGACAATGGCCCGCTTACGTAATGTGTCAAATAACAGCATAGTTGAAATATTGATCTAAAGATTATAAGGCGAAGCAAAGGCCCTATGGCAGCCAATGTTAAACCATGGACATACCATGGTTATACTGAGATGAGACGAGAGAAAGAGAGAGGGAGAGAGAGAGAGAGAGAGGGGGGGGGGGGAGGGGAAGAAAGGAAGATACAAACAGAAAGAGAGAGGGAGAGTGAGAGAGAGACAGATAGAGACAGAGAGAGACAGACACACAGAGAGCGCGCGAAATAAAGAACAGATTTTAAAAAATTAAGAAATATATATATATATATATATATATATATATATATATATATATATATATAGAGAGAGAGAGAGAGAGAGAGAGAGAGAGAGAGAGAGAGAGAGAGAAGGTACTAAGGAGGGAGGAAGAGGTAAAGATGAAAGAAACATAAACACAAATTTAAAATTCAAATGGAGAAAGCAAATAAAAAATAGAGGAGCAGAATGGAAGATGCTAAGAAAAGCAAGCGAGCATTGAAAAAGATGACTGAAAGAGAAAATAAAAAAAGGGGAAATTTTACAGAAATAATAGCTGAGGACAGAGCATGGGAAACAGTAATACTAATAGCTAGATGACTTTGGAGGGAGACTGATTGAGAAGATAGAGAAAAAAAAAGAGAGAGAGCTAGAGAAAGAGAAAGGGGGCACATACTAATCGTGAGATGGGGTGAGAGAGAGACAGACATCAATCAATATTGATGAAGAGAGATATAAAAAAGGATGATGATCGAGGGAAGGAAGGCAAAATTGACAGAAAGAGATATCTGTAGAAATGAATGATAAGGGGGGGGGGGGGGATGGGTGAGAGAAAATGAGCGTGATAAACGGTTATATACTATAGGGTGATAACAAGATATTAAAAAGATTAATGATTATAGAGATACTGAGAGGAATTAAAAGGGAGAAGAGATACTGAGAGGAGAAGAAAATATACGGAGCCGACAAAAAATAGAATGAGGAATGACCTAGAGAGAGAGAGAGAGAGAGAGAGGGAGAGAATGACAGTAATGGAAAAATTGAGAGGAAGAGAGAGAGAGAGAGAGAGAGAGAGAGAGAGAGAGAGAGAGAGCAAAAATAGCGAGAGACAAGAGAGATGAATGTAAACGGGAAGAGAAAGAGAGAGATGGGGGGGGGGGGGTTAGCTTCGTCGATTCTCGAGCCGTAGAGGGCACTTTCAAGATGGCAGCCTACTATGCAGGTAAGCATGTGATTTTTTTAAGAATTTCTAGAACTTTTTATTGAAAATTAAAAGTGTTTAAGTGATAGAAATGTGATTTTATTATCTTTTTGAATTGAGATTTTAAAAATGGACATTTGGAAACTGGTGTTAATTTCAGTGTACACGCGTGTACACCCAAACCCAAGTTGGTTGAAGAATAAATTGAGTAGATCTAGTCCCACTCGTGCATATACAAGTAGGGTGACTGATCGCGCACTCTGTTTTGTGCTAAAAGTCTAAAACCTTGGCTTGGCGCTAGTGTACTTTCGTATCCAGACTTTGACCCGTAACTTCGGCGTGGAGATTCCCTACTAAAACATCCCAAAAATCAACTAAATCTTCATCAATTGTTCTAAATTAATGGTCATGATTTAAAACTAAAAGTTGTTTGGTCTTGCCTGTTTCGTGTCAATTTCCTTATTTTTTTGAAGTAGTTTTCCCCCAAATTAAAAACGAAAACATTATAATCAACACTTTCTCACAGGTTTCATGGCAAACCGCTGCACAATACAATTGCATACCGTATAGCGTACCGACGGTGGGGTGCGGGGCCGGGCGCGCTTGTGTGTGAGGTTAGCAACTGTAATCTCAGATCCTTATTTAAGTTATTTAATTTATGTGGGTATAAATTCATCATTACCGTCGTTATTTCATGCATGTGATATCCTGTAATCTTCTTTCTGAATTTTACTGCAGGTTGATGGCTTTTTGGTTTTACTTTAGACTTAGAATACCCCACCAATAGGGATTATGAAGCACAGGGTAAGGGTTAGGGTTAGGATTAGAGCATGCCTGATAAATTTCCGATTTAAATCAGTTTCCTAATTATTTATTTTTTCCAGATTTTTTTTCTTTCAAAAAATGGATAATCCCAGATATCGATGTAAATCCAGTTTAAAATTGGGGGGGGGGGGGGGGGGGTTGGGGTGAGGTGCCGTTTTTTCATGACTTGCTTGAAAGCAAGCGCTCAACAATTATCTTCGCTCAACACCACGCTTTGCTTACCGGTAGATTTCTCAAACTTAAAAAAAAAATCTTTCACCAAAACCTTCTTTAAAAATAAAATTCGCTACTACCCCTGGATTAGTGTTAGAGTTAGCTAGTAAAGAAACTTGAGCCTTTTGATTTGATTAGATTTGTTGATAATCTTTAATTTTTCAACCAATGAACACCTTGTCATCTTTCATGGTGGGGTATTTTTATTCAAAGTTGTTCTGTCTTTTCATTCCAGGGTTGCATAAGAGGCTGAAGGACAACTCGGTACCCATCGCTGACCGGGTCAAGCTGGCAAGATTTGGCTGGGTTTCTAACCACTGCTTTCTACCCAACAAGCATCAAGTCTTACTGGATTGGGTTTCCTTTAGGCTAGTTAACAGCGAGAAGTAAGTAGATTGTTCAACATGAATCATGTTCAAAGATTTGTTGTTGTCGTATGTCTTCTGATAGAGAGGTGAATTTTTTTTTTTAAAGAATCTATATTTGCTCTCTGTACCGGCTTCCAAGAGAATGTTATTTATACACCTGTACATTATTAAATCTTGTTTTCCTGAAATAAAGTGGGAAACTTGATATCGTATTATGCTACATCAGTAGGCAATAAAGATAAAAATATGTATAATAATATTATCAAGGCTCTTCATTCCTACCAGTACCATTTTAACACCTAGGTGGAGATTGGCGAATGTAGATTTATATCTTGCCAAGTGACATTAGTGCTACGGCAGGACTCGAACTGTGGACCACGTAACTGAAATCACCTATAATATATATATTATAGGTTTAGTCCCCAATATAGGGGGGGAAAGAAGATAAATCACACAAAGACAAGGTAGTACTTAAAAATCAAAGTCCAATTTCTTATTATTATGTCTTGGTCCTTAACAGAGATGGTACCTCTGACGCTGATGAGCAGTCATTATGGCTCTTCCTCCATGATGCCCTCAAGAGTCAAGAAATGGCATCGATCCAACGAGAAGGCAAACCGATATGTCTTCGTGGGAACCTTTGCTCTGTAAGTATCCTCGCTCCCCTCAAGAAATTTACTATGAAGAAGAAAATGGTTTGAGTTGATTGTAGTTTGGTACTTTTAATGCCTCAGTCACAACTTTGCGTATTTGGCCTGCATATTGCTACATATTTATGGCAAGCCGTTATAACATTTATTTCTATTTCTTGATATCAAGAAATGATTTTCTGTTGTAAAGCAATAGTAATTCTTGATATCAAGAAATAGGAATAAATGTTAAAACGGCTTGCCATAAATACGCAGCAATACGCAGGCCAAATACGCAAAGGTGTGACTGAGGCATAACAGTCTCCAGATGTTTTGTATTTCATAAAAAATGAAATTGATTAGGCAACATTTTTATCTTTTCAAAAGAAATAATTGCAAATCAATACCAGTATTCTAACATATAGGTCCTAAAATGTAAATTAAAAGTCGAATAATCTATCCCTTTCACTACATATGTTCAATTCAATTTAGTTACAATTATTTGTCCAAATGATTAAAAATCACATTGAACACATCACATATTTATTCTATGTACAATAATTACAGTTGATAATGAGCCAGAAAATAAAACCTTTGAAACAGTCTGTAATTGTACCCCTAAAACACACACAAATATATACAAATCAATTTTATTATCTAACATGTTTTATCCCATTTTGTCTTTCCATTCAAGGCCCTGCTATCCACTCTGTTGAAAGATGATGTTTCTGACATTGTGATTGGCTGCTGTGATATGATACTGACCAATGGAAAGCTTCGCTTTGTACAGAACACCAAGTTTGAATCCTTGGTAAGTGATGGTTCATTATTGACGAGGATCTACGTCATGGTCGTCATCGTTTTTATAACAATATATATTCAATAATACAGAGACTTTTTGATGTTTTTTCTGACTGCTAAGAAAGCTAGTGTATGCTTGGAAGCGACCAGGGAACCGAAGGCTTAAAGTCCTCTCCGAGGGACTCGGTAATGAGGATTAATGCCTTACTAAGGGGCACTAGCGCATCAACTTGGTTTTGAACTTAGGACCGACCATTGATCTACCACTCTGCATCTCCTGTGAATATGACGTTCATGAATTTTAAATGATATTGTGTTTTCTATGTAACAAATTGTCCCACCTTTCCTGTACAGATTGCTATGACAGTTGCTTTGATTGAGATGGCAAGCAAACAGCTGGAGGAGAACGTTTGTCTAGATGAGCACGGCCAGATTTTACGGGTCATGGGCAAGGCCTTGGCAAAATCTGCAAACTTCCTTCAACAGCAGCAGAATGGCAAGAAGGTAATAGACATTGCATTTGAAATTCACATAATGCAGTTACATTTTAATACAACATTCTAACAGAAAGGACGTTCATTAATGATCTTATCAGCCTTGTATTGAGCTCTTCTGTCCGTTGAGCACTTAGTATCCAGGGACCAGTTTCACAAAGCCTTTTTTCAATGACAGATGACAAAAATCAGTCAAAAATCTGCTGATAACCAATCAGCAGCAAGGATTTCACTAGCTTATAACAAAAACTGTCTTTTTTCACGGATGACAAGTTTTGTGAAATGGGGCCCAGGTCAATCAGAACGTAGAATACGGACTTTCTAGAAGACATACACATAAATCTATGCGGTTAAGTTTGTAGGTTTCCTACTGATATTTATCATCTAAATTTCACTATTTCCATAAATACAATTGATTTTGAAAATCAAATGAGCACTAAGAAAATATTCGGACAGCATTTTTTTATAAATTATTTATTCAGTCAGTACTTACAGTGATTTTCCTTTACTTCACCTTTTTCACAGGCCTATGGTCTCACAAGTGAACATCTGATCCTCCCATGCCTGAACCTGTATTCAATACTCTCATCTCGTCGCCATGGCAACAACGAGTTGTGCGTAGCCAGCTTGAATGCACTGACTAGTTCCGTTCGAAGCCTCCTTTTCAGTCGGTTGGTATCATGAGTTTAAGATTCATTGCAATCCTAGTTTTGAGTGTGATATGTCAGAATTTTTTTATTTGTCAGTTATGATTGATGTTTCCATTGCTCCCAATCTTTCCTATTTTGGAGGCATGATTCTAAAGTTTGGTAATCAACTAGTGTTATGAACCCTAGATTCCTCTGTTGTTTTTGTTGACAACTTCTGTGTATATGTTTAAAAGAAACAGTCTATTTCCAATTTTACCTTGAGAGACCCCTAGCTTTTGCCATGAATGGTTGGCATGTACAGTATGTACTGTATTCCGTATATTTCCTTGACCTTAAATTTACTCCAGTATTTCATCAAACGTTTGAAAATGGATCTTTGTTTAGGTTTACAGTTGGGGTCATATATAATTTTCACATTCTTCTGCCCTCCAGATAGGGTTTGGAGTTTCTCCAGTGATCAAACCATGATCATCTAACAATTCTTCTGGGTATTATTTTATCAAAAACATCAGGTCAGGCTTCTGATTAGGTTTAGGGTTGGGGTCAGGTGTAGTGACAAAGCTGGGTAAGGCGGTGTAACTTTCAACATCCATATTACTTTTCTAAAATTTCTACATTTCAGTGTGATGTCAGTCAATTCGTAACAGTTACATACAGACCCCAATAAGCAGTTGTGATGTGAACCTCACAAATGAGTCCTGACTTTGTTTGTTTACTGTATGATAATGTATTAGGAACATGGCTGAGGCGTATAAGATGTACCTGATGGCAGAAGAGGGCGACAAACAAAAGAAAGATGGCAGAGTGCGGGCAGATGTAGTGGATAAGTTCATGGACTTTTTACAATCTAAGGTATGTTCAATGATTGTCACATGAAAATTGTGCTTTTGATTATTTTGGGTACCGGTACACTTAAAGCTAAACTTTAGTACTGGTAATGTGATTGCATTGTGAAAGAAAAGGTGTGAAAGGATCAGAAACAGTTGATCATGTAGCATGTAAGTATTGGTGTGCACTGCAAGGTTCTGGAGTCATCAAAATCATAATAAATTTGACCGAGTCTTGGTAAAGTAACAAGCACTCACATAAAAAGCTATATATGGGACAACACACATGGTGTCGGGGCTAGTACTACCTTGATTTCCTTGTCTTTCTATGCTCATTACTCAGCCAGTATACATTTTCTTCAAAAATTGTTTGGCACATGTCATTTATTTGTAATCTTGAACATTCAGTGTAAGTTTCGTTTGATTCTGTGAGAATTAATTTTTTTTTTTACCAGTACTGGAGTTTATCTTTAATAGAGAAAGAGCAAGGGTCATTGTACATTTAGAGTCTCTTTCAGTACAATTGACATCATGCAGGGGGATTTCCCTGTACAATTTACAAAGTTTTGCTGCATCCTACAAGTCATACAGTTTTAACTGAGATGATGGAATTTCTGCAGTTTCAAGTTTGATTTTTTGTCTTGATGATATAAATTTTGCAAATTTTATGAGTGAAAATTAATTCTTTATATGATTTCTCTTTTTCTTCAGTGAAGTATGAAGGCTAACTTGAAGATGTACATGCTATTCATTCATATTAGTTATTTGTTAATAATTTGTTTCAGTTACAGCTCTATTAATTGAATAATGAAATAAAAATCTTAGCATTGTGATTGATGAATAAAAATTGACCAAGGTATACTTTTTATATTGATATTTTCTTTGTCTGTATGCAGTCCGGAGAAGCTAACACTGCCTGTGGGCTCCCCGTGATCTACTCTGCCTTCCTCACTAGTTTCAAGTAAGTAAATCTTTCAAAGTCTGATACCGTACAGTAGAATTGATTGGTGATAAGTTTAAATACCAATGGAAAGCTTAGAAAATGTTCCTTTTTAGTTAACAAAACTTGATTGGTTTGAGTATTAAAAACAACAATAACAAATTGTCTGTAGCCAGAAGTGCGTTCACAAAGGAGTATGTATGAGTTAATGCCCATCTGACTCAAAACAGATGAAAATGTTACGTCCAGGGATTTATTAAAGGAGATTATTTTGTATTGCTGAACAGGATAATATTTCCTTGGGCCTACACAAGACCAACACCAAACTGAATAGCCCCCAAAAAGGTTTGATAATTATCAGTGAGTTTGCAGTCAGTTTGGTGATGGAACTCAGGATGTTAGGAAATGTGGAGCTATATCAAATTTGAAATGCTGCATTCATAGAAAATACTTTGACCACAATCATAGATTCAGACTTATGCAACAGGGTAATCACTAGCTGCCATCAGTTTTCACAAACCACTTTTTCCTGTCACATCTGTCCCTGTGAAACATTGAAGAGTGCATAAGCATGTGTTTGGGATCATCATCTCAGTTTTTACTTACAATCTAGGCCTAGCCCCGATCTGACATTTGCAATGCTGCAAAAGATGTGCAGTCTGATGGATTTCAAGACCAACGATCAACCCTCCGGTAGCTATGATGATGCATCTTGGGATCGGAAGCTCTGTACGATGGAAGCACTCCTCAAATTGGCCACTTCTCACAAGTGCTATGCTGTAAGTTTGATGATAATCCTGCACACTCTACATGTATGATGATCATGAGAGCAGTTATTTGAACATGTAACAAACTATACATCTTTGTACATTCTCACTTTCTTTCTTTCCATTATTTTTTTAACAATTTGCGTACCAGATAATCTAGTGAAAGTTCTTTTTTATTTGTTTTACATTTGTTTGAAATTTAAACTTTTGATCTCAATGCACAAATCTTAACCTCAACATTTTCAGCTGTTCACCTACAGCCTTTGTCAGCGATGTGACCTGACTTGACCTTTCTGACATGATGGACAATAAAATAAAAAAATGCTATGACTACCTTGAGATCTATGAGAAGGAGTCTAACATGTATTCCTGCTCACATGTTTGCAGATGAATATGCACAAATCTAGAAGGGTTTTTATTTTTTGTTGAGTATTTTTTATGTTTTCTCTTATTTTTCAGGTAGTGGAGGAGGAAACGGAGAGGACCAAGAAAATGGAATGGTTCAAAGAGATTGTCTCCCATCTCATGGCTAATAAAAGGTACAAAAGAAAGAGTTTAAAATATGTTTTATTTTACCTGACTGCTAAGAAAACATGTATATGCTTGTGAGTAAGCAACAAGGGGACCTACAGCCTGAAGTCCTGTCCAAGAGACTTGTTTAAGTGTATTAGTGCCTTACCTAAGGGCACAAAAAAAGTCGACTGCATCGGCTTGGTTTTAAAACCTGCCGTTAACAAGACCACTGCTCAACCACTGAGCCAACAGGCCTTCTCAATATACAGTGTATGGTTATCATACTTAACACACTTTAGTAATCTAAGTTTCGAGACAAAATTTCAGTTAGGTTATGACTGTAAAAAAGAGATACAGATTACAATTGGATAGAATTCAAAAGGATCTACAATTTTAGTTTTATGTATGAGGATGAGTAGTTATTGGCATACATGTATACAGGATCACATGCACAAAAGTCAACTCCGAGTTTATATGCTGCTTTTGATATGAAATCTCTTATTTTATTCTCCTAGTTCAATTTTTAACTATTTTAATTTGGCATAGAGATGGTGGATGTAGTTTTATGACCTTTAACAATCTATGTTTATTTTGGTGCTGAATTCAAGTGATGTATTTGCAGAGATGTTGTTATCTGTAGAAGTGTGGTAATGCTAGTAGATAAGTCCCCTGACTGTGAACCACAAGGTACAAGGTTCAAATCCCTGTCGCAGTGCTAAGTCATTGGCAAGACATTAATCTACATTTGCCACACTCATCCCAGGTGAGGTAAATAGAGAAATAAAATCCTTAAAATGCTTGTGCGCTTATAAAGCAGCCCTGCTAAAGCTGCTGTAAAATAATGGGGAACTAGGAGTAGCAATGCCTCAGACATGAGCTCATTGTAAGAGCCTACTATTATTCATTTATCATTATCATGTTTTTCTCTCTTTATACAGGCTCCACCCTTCTTGGTATGGCTGCTTGGACATTATCTTCTCATTGGATCACAACATCTTAGCAACCAGGATGCAGGAGGTATGGCCTTGTCTCCTAGCGACCAATGTCAACGATGCTTCCATGGCAATACCAATCCAAGAGCAAGATGCTGCTGCCAAAGTGGGAGAGTCAAGAGATGCGTTCTTGAGGTCCGTGATGGAAACATACACCAAACTGAGACAGGTGAGTCAGGAAATGTGAAACATCTCAAGGAGTACCCCTTGAAAAAGTGTTATGTGCATGATATCTTAGTTTGGTGGATGGGTCCACCAAGGTTCCCATTTGTAATAGTGCTTGCCCCTCTTTAATGGCCACTTGTATATAATGGTCACCTGTGCATTTTAGAATATTCTTTTGAAAGGCCATATGCCACCAGTAGCTATTTTTTCAGTTCCACAGGTTTAACTTTATAATATACAGGTGTATAATAGAGGTGACATGTTCTAATCACTCTACTGAGAATCAAAGATCAAGGGTTCATTCCCGGCACGGTAGTTATGCCCTTGAGCAAGGCATTTTTATCTACATTGCTCCTTGCCACTCTGGTGTTTAACGGGTACCTGCTAGGATGCAAACATCAGTGTTGTTGGACTAGCATGTGCATTCCTGTAAAAAGGGTGACTGACTGGAATGCTCCCCAAAGGAGTGCACTGTGTAGTGCAGAATTGTAACAACGCATTGACCAGGGTAATAATACTGTAAGTGTGTTGGTCAGGTTCGTTGTAAATGGTAAAGTGCTTTATAAGAAACTGTAATTATAGTAGTATCAGTACATACATGTAGCTTGATGACTGTGGGATACATGTACATTAAATTGTATATTTGGGGGTAGCTGCAAAATTGTAACCTGTTAGTTAATAAATACTCCACCAACTGCCCCTCAGCTGAAAATCTACGCTCCTGCTCTTGTATTGGAGGAGGGTCATTATTTTATTTTCCTTTCACTATTTCTGTTCCATTCAGATTGATAGACTGACCAAAGTTCTGCTGTCATCCATTCTAACAAAGAAGGAGTTTTCATCTTCGATTCAGCTGCCAGCAAGCTTCCTCACAAGGTAAGGTTTCATGTTGTGGTCTGGTGGTTTAAACGATTGACTGGAGGTGTGAAGGTTGTCGATTCAAGCCCCAGCATGCTGCTTGTATTGTAGGACTTATGTCTTTTGGCTTGACATTAATCTACTTGTGTCAATCTCGATCCAAAAGTAGTAATTGGGTACTTGATAACAAGAAATCTCAAGAATACTAGATTAATGTTGAAACCTTTACAATTTGACATTAGAGATCCGATTGGATAATCAGATGTTACTATGAAGATGAGACTGCATTTTAACAAATTATAAAGCTTGTTCTAGAAATTTTTTAGATTTTTCTTTTTTGGTTTATTTGATTGTGTGTATTGTGTGTTACAGGCTTTTTTCTGGAGACCCTTTTATTGATTACACACAGTGTGATTAGTGAAAAGTAATTAAGAGACTTATACATTGTTTAATATAATTGGTCACATATTTGCAGAACGTTGATAACTTTAAGTGTGAACATGACACTGAATCTCATTTCTTTGCAGCTTTGGGGCAGCAGTGGAGTCGCTCACACCAGGCTCAACCGTTGCACTATGGGACATTATCTTGAGTGACATCATGACCAATCACCTACCAGCCGTTTTGCACCACGTGTCTCAGTCTTCAGTCGACCCGCCACCAGCTAAGAAGAAAAGGAAAGAGAACAAACAGGTGGCTGGAATAAACGGTGACGCCGTCACCCGATTCGAAGCAGCTGCAACGGTGCTCCACACATTTCTCATGAATTCCAAGATGGCGGATGCTGCAGAGGTCGGGCAGGTCAAAGGTCAAGTGATGAAGCTCTTTGACATGATGGCAGATGATGTGCTGAAGCCTCTTCTTGCAATCTTTTCACATGAAAACCAGGTACAAATTCATTGTACCTCTTTGTTATGTCACCATCAATGAATTTGGTTTGGATTGGATTATTATTGAAACTTTGTTTCAATTTAAAAAGGAAAGGATACAGATTTCTAGCTATTCCTTAGTTTGTGGTTAATTGCAATGATCTTAATCTTCCCTGTATTTACTGGATTCTTCTCTAGTGTATGTATTTTGATATTGAAAAATTCTTGTTTAAAGGAGGAAAATTTACTGGATTCTTCTCTAGTGTATGTATTTTGATATTGAAAATTTTTTGTTTAAAGGAACTTTCAAATTTGACATCACATACAAGTAAATGTTGATATATCATCTAGCTGAATGACAAATGAAAATTCATGTTACTTTGTGTACTTTATTTAATCTGTAATGTTTTAAATAAGAGCTGATTTGTTTTTATTTTGAAAACATTATGGATTTTGATAAAGCTTTACAAAAATATTTATCTTCTCTTAAACTTCAGAGCCTTGCATTCTCAACTCTTCTACTCTGCTATGGGTGGGGTGAGCTGCATCTAATGCTGAGACAGCACACAAACCTTATGGAGAGAGTGTCCCTCCCAACATTAAACACCCCTATGAAGAATGGAGATGTCCATTACCTGCACACGTATTCCCATGCTTCTGATTGGCTGAGAGTTATGTCCCCTTCAGATGCAGAAGGAAATGAAAAGTTGTGTTTCCTGAAAGTGAGTTGAATGTATATTAATTAAACTTGACAATTGTTCAGGAATCATTAAAAACACAATACGCTTGGAAACATATTAGGCATTTTCAGATCTTCTTTACATAGTATTATTTATTTATGCTATTAAGGTAGATGTGAGTTTGTAACTTTTCATGGAATATGTAAGATGTTACCACATCAATTGCATTTCTCATGAAAAATTAAATGTCTGCTTTTGGAGACATAATAATTTTGTTTTTGTTTTATTGGTTGACCTCTTCTGGAAAAATAGAGATTTGAAAGGGTTTAGGAAATTTTTAATTGGTTTTCTTAAAAGAGGATGAAGGCTCTTTAGGTTATTTGTATATTTTAGTGTATAAATGAAGTAGATGAATGTATAATAAAATATATTTTATAGTGTGCACATCGATGGGTATAATGATATTTCTAATTCAAGTTTGAGAAACTATTCATTTTGCTGATTATTGTAATTCTAGTAACATAATGATGTTAATTTAACCACATGTATTTTGTTTTTCTTTTGCAGCATCAGTTGCTATGGCAACAAGCTAGAGGACTGGTTCTCCTTGGCAATCTGGAGGAATCATCTGTGAAGGAGAGTCTGACAAGCTGCATCTCTCAAGCCCTGGAGTTGAGTGTGGAACGGTCGGAGTGGAACTCTGCCAGATGGGATGGCTTGGTGATTTTCTCTTGTTTTTTTTTGTTTTTGTTTTTTTATTGTTGTTGTTGTTGTTGTTGTTGTTGTTGTTTTTTTTTTTGGGGGGGGGGTGTATTACCAGGCCTTTAGATCCAGTGTCAATGATATCCTTTCTTGGGGATTATATATGATCATGTGCCAAATTTATTTAAAAGTAATTGCTTGTAGCTTATTTATGACCCATTTTCCCCATGGAATTGCAGATGTGCATGTAGATGAATGCATTTCCAAAGGATGGGGATTTTTTTTCTTCTTCTTTATTTATTTACTTTTTTTCGGTGGGGGCTAGTATTTTAGATATATATTTCTCTGTTTATATTACATGAGATTCAATGTCAAGTGGTATATTTAACGTCTTCTATCTGTTTATCGCTAGATTGGTCATGTGACACGTAGCAACATCTACACAGCTCTTCTGACTAGTCTCCTCCGCCAGTCTCTAACTCTGTTTACATTCATGGATGAAAGCATGCACTCATCTGTGGCTAGTCTTGTGTGCCATGCTGTTTGTGGGTCCATGCACTCAGAGGATAATGCCAATGAACACAGTGCCTGTACTGTTAGGAATGCAGCTCTGGGTTTCTTGGATTCAGAAGCTTGCAGGGAGTCTAGATCAATGCAGAATGCTGTAGTGAACGCCGTAGCAGACCAGCTAAATGAACTGAACAAATCATTGTAAGAATAAAAGGGAATTTTTTTTTTTTAAAGAGGATTACCCGTAAAGTGTAGTTTGAGAGAAAATTTATAGAAGAATAAATAGATGAGGTATATCTGTAGTTCTAAGTTCTAGGTGGCTCACAACAATGTTGCCAGGTTTAGAATTTTTAATTCCCAGAATCCATGTACATTTATTTATTTGATTAGCTGTTACTGCCCTTTTGTGTGAACTACATCATCAATAGACCTTAGTTATCCCAAAACATAATTTAAAAACCTCAAAGAGTGGAATAAAACACATTTTCTAGTAAACTGGTCCTTAAATAATGATAATAATAATATGGATATTTATATAGCACCGGTATCCGCCAGGCTCTGACGCTCATGGCGCTTTACACATACTACCCGAGCTGCCAAAGTAAGTAGCACTCAAGCATATCAGGTACCCATTTACACCTGGGTGGAGAGTGGCAAATGTAGATTAACGTCTTGCCTGAGGACATTAGTGCCGCGGCGGGACTTGAACCCTGTATCTTGTGATCTGCATTCGGGTGACTTATGCACTAGACCACAACACCTTTAAATGCCTTAGATGACATATTTAATTAATACTGGACATTCTTGTTATTGAACTCAACAGAGAAGTAGCTAATGCGAGTAGTAGCAAGAAGGATGGGAAGAAAGATGCTCATTCTAAAGGAAAGAAACAATCAAGAGCAATCCAACATTCCAAAGGCAACCAAATGTTATCAGTGGAGGACAACTTCAAGACGGGAGTCAATCTTCTTGAGGTAAGTTTGAGAGATTTGTTTTATTTGTAGAGGACAAACATTTCAGTAGGAAATGGTGGTTTACTTAAATAACTTGGTGTGGGAGATTTTGGTTGGATTTGATTTGATTTTGGCATGGTTTATAAAAAAATAATGCTACTGCTTGAGTTTTCGTCTCTAAGAAGTTGTTATTGATCCATGCAAGTCTGATTTTGTGACTGACGGGTCGTACAGTATAGCCATACCATTCAAAGGCCTAATAAAATCCTTATGATGCCTTAATCCTAGAAGGACAAGGGGCTACATGTATATGACACTTGCTCTGACAACAATTGCTCCTCAATCAACATCTTACAGTTCTTATCAATCTTATTCCTAGACCTAATGTTATACCTTACTGTAACTTCAAACCCAAACCTCAAACCCAGAAGTAAAGCCCAGAGCCATTATCAACCAAGCATATGTTGGATCACAGGAATAGACGGGCGGAATCATTGCAGAACAGATTTAAAAGAATATTTTATTACCAATTTCATACGTTTCTTTTTTCACAGGTTCTTAAACATCTTCCCCTGTTGCACCTGTCAGCCAGCAACCGAGTGAATTGCATGCTGGGACTGGTGTCCTTGGATACTAAGACTGTGACCTGTGTCGAGACGATGACCTTGGCCGGGAGACAGCGGTCATGTGACCTGGTAGAGCTCTCTACGGAGGTCAGAAGGTTACTGACGGCCATCTTGAAAGGCGTCCAGCAGGGCGATGAGGTGTTGAGGAACGAGGAGTTGAACACCTGGTTCTTCTCTTTCTTGTCGAAGCTTGGAAATCTTCTCAGTCAGGTAAGTGATCGGTGTGTATGAAGCGATTTAGAGCTTGAGGAGGTGTGATGGCTCAGAGATACAGCCATAGACTTGCAACCATGAGGATCTAGGTGTATGCACTTAAAAACTATATTATCCATACCCTTACCAAATTTCGTAATGTTTTAAGTAGGAGGAAAATTGATTTGTCCCAATTTAAGTTTCTTGAGAATGTGACATATCAAAGCTTACATACAAAGATCCACCTTTCACTCTTGAATTACAAAAACAAAACAAAAAATCATCAAATTTACAAGGGGTTTGAATACTTTAGTTGTTAACTGTAAAAAACTAAGATGATGTGCTATTGCTCATTAGGAAGGCTTTAATGTGATATCACCAAGTCCCTTAGATACATATAGGACTTCCAGGTGTAGGTCCCCTTGGTCGATTACTACAAGTATATTTGCTCTCTTAGCAGTCAGGTGAAATCAATAATGAATGAATCAATAATAATTACCCATTCTTATTTGGCTCACGACCATGTCTGTTATGTGTTCTCTTTTACACCATCCAAACATAAATACAATGTTTAATCAATTCGACACAACATTTGGGGTTTTATTGTTTTGTAGGTGTTAAAGATAATTCTGCATCCACTACTTGGTTGTTACTATTTTTACAGGTGTGTGGAAAATATGGATATTTTCATGGAATAACATCTAAATCTGACAAATGGCTTTATATGAGAATGTCCTTATACTATACATTAATGTAACTTTGTTTCAGGAGGATTCAAGACTCGCGACCACGCCGGAGTACAAGGAGGTTTCTAAAGGTCTGATATCGTTGTGGCTCAAGAAGGCAACCTGGTCAGGAGATTCAGTGATGATGTTTCACAAGTATCTTAAATCGGTCAGAATGGATAAGGCTTTGATGATGATGATGATGATGGTGATGGTGATTGTGATGGTGGTGATTGTGGTGATGGTGATTGTGGTGATGATGGTGATGATGATGGTGATGGTGGTGATGGTAATGAAAGTGATTATGATGATGATGATGACGATGATGATGATTGATTAAAAAGGCAAAAAAAGGGAATAGAAAAAAAGATAAGGATGTGAAGAAAACAGTGAGAAAAGCTTGCCCCCCTCCCCCTCTCTCAAAAAAAAAAACAGTTAAAAGAGATGATGACAAGTAAACTATAAGTGTCTGAAGACACATTCAAGATCATTTGTGTATGGAAATATTTTTTTTCTTTCACAGTTCCACCAACATATAGTAAAGTGCCTCCAAAAACTGAAGTCTTCTAAGAAACCAGCCTCATTGCCAGGGGTTTCTACAGTGCTCTCTATTGTAGTCACCCTCCTCAACCAAATTGCCTTGGCTTGCAGGCATAAAACAGCTGATGCAGAGTCTAAGGAGCTACTTGTACTTACCAGTGAGGTCAGTTCCTCTGTGTTTCAACTTCTGGGGCAGATTCTTGCACCTACAAGCAGACAAGACTCAAATCATCAGGTAAAGATTGCACCTGGGCCTCGTTGCATAAAACTTAGCATTGATGGTAAATTCCATGGAAACTCTGATTTGATCGGCTGTTAGTGATGTTGCCATGGTAGTTAGTTTTGATGGCAAAGTTACCATCAGTGGTAAGTTTTATGAAATCCTTGAACTCAGCCAAGACAAGGTACCACATATTTTGACGCGATAGCTGATCAATTTATTAGAATCCTTCTGTGTAATTAACATGCAAAGACAAAAAGAGGACCAATCCCGACACACATTTTGTGCACAATTTTCCTCAGTTAAATTAGTTTACAGTTGCTTGCTGTTTTTATTGGGAAAACAATGCATGAATACCTTGCAAAATATTCAAAGATCATACATCCAAAGTAGTTTTAAATCAATCAAAGCGATGTTTGGAAAATTGTAATAGAACCAAACTTGTAGACATTTTAGTAACTGTATGTGACTCTGATTAAATCCTATGTCGTTCATAATTTATGAGCTATAACTGTACGTTTATGTATGTCCATGTTTATCAGGATTACTACCCCCACCCTTCCTCAGAATCTTCCTGTTTGTCCTAGGATACTTATCCATGGACAACTATCCCTTTGTTGTCTTAGAATTATGTGCATGTACTTTGGATTTATAAGTTTAAATGTATTTTAATTGATGGGTGGCATTCAATGACGTGATTCAATGAGCTGAATTATTTTCTGAAATCCTATTGATATTTGATAGCTCACAGACGTGCTGAGGTCAGCAAGAACATTGTTACTCAGCTTCGAGTCAACCCAGAAACTCAACCGCAGAGGCAAGGAGGAAGAAGACAACAAAGACAAGGAAGAAACAGACAAGAGCAGTAGTAGAGATGGATGTGGTCCAAACACCTCTCACAGTCCTCACTTCACCACCTGTTACCAGAGGGCGCTTTCCATCTTCTCAGCAGATCTAAAGACGGATGACGACTCCGATGATGCGTTGGTAGGGTCGAGTATGGAATACCTTGAGTCTCACTGTAGCATCATCAGGGACCCTCTGGAATCCAGGGCCGTGTGGAGCCAACTACATACCAGTCTGGCCAAAGTCTCAAGTAAATGTAAGACCAGCATATGTATTTCGCATTAGATTTATACATTTTCACAGAATTAAACAAAATATAGATTGATGTGGAAACATACACACGAGACTATTTTATTTTTTAAAAGTGTAATACAGTTCCTTAGCTGTCAACACAAGAAGAGAAAGATCAGTTAAAGAGCCATACAATCACTTACGGTAGTTCTTTATGTGCCTGTCTATATTTTGAGTGTGATTAGTAGTAAATCGTTATTATGTTTACATATTTCTCAAACAAATATGCTATTTGAAATAGTGTGTGAGTAGAGTCTTAAGGGATGAAGTCTTGGATTCGTTGAAAGGAATCGGAGGCAAAAAAAGGTAGTTCAGTGGCCTGAAAATGAATTTTCATTAGAAATATTGTTAAGACCCTTTCTAATGAAATGCTTATTGAATACCAAAATCAAGACTACCCTTCTGATAATCATATATTGATGTGTGTTGCAGGCCACTCCTCCATCAAAAAACAGCTAGAAGATCTTCTCATCATCACACTGGGTGTCATGGAAACGGATGACCTAAACGCAGAGCTTCAACAGATGCTGACTAGTATGGTATGTCTATGACTTTACTTTAATGATAATCATAAAGTAAATCTATTGAATTGGTGAAAAATAACCATTCTCAACCATGCCAGTGTTAGAAATATATGAAGTTTTGCAATGGAAATGAATGAGAGAGGATACTCGTTTGCAAAATAACAAAAATATTATGATTTCTCAATAAGATTGTTGTGTGTATAATTGGGTCAAACTTTATCCAGATGTCATCATCATATTTTGTCTAATTTTTCAGAACTTGTCAAAATTCTTTGTTTCATCGCAGTCTGTATGAAGATCAGTTCAAGTGTAGAACCTCCTATTTAATCTTTGACTTTTGAAAATCTATGCTGTATCTAATTGATATTGGCTTTTCTTTCTTTGAAACTCCATGTTACATAATATTACAATTCATATACAAGTTTCGCTTTAAATTACTATAATTAATTAATTTTAACAATTTCTGCTGCTGCTTGAAATGGCTTAATCTAAAGTAAGGTTTTCATTTAAATATCCCCTTTCTTTTCTTTGTATCGTGTTTTAGACATTAGCCGATGAGAGTGCTAATATGATTGGTGTATTACAAGCATGGCAACTGCTGCCTAGTGCAATGCTCTCCAATGAAAGCTACATGCTCGTCATGGAGATGGTTCCTCAGGTAAGAGTCTTCTCTTTCTTCATCCTGTGACTGATTTTTGATGAAGGTGTTCCTTGACTCTTAAATGACAATAATTGTCAACAATTGTCAGAAGCTGCATTACACATCAATAGTTGCATAGCATACCCGCAAACACAATAAAACAATCCACTTCTTGAGTGTGTTTTTTTTTAGCGCCTGATAAAATTTCACTGATTTTTGCAGTGTAAATTGAAACTTTGGTATGATTCTTGTTTTTCGTCTCTTGACTCTCATCGCTTCTGAGCGAGTGCACGCAGATTACAACAAGTCTCGCATATGTACTACTCACCAAAATATTGGAATGAAATGCACATTGAAATGGGACAAGTATATTGTGGTCAGTTTCTTAAAACTTTTTATTTCTATAAATATATAAACTGGATGTTTTGATGCAGATTTATATTGCTACTATAGTCTTACCTGCTTTAGTAGCCAATTCAATATTATGGATTTTTATTTTTGTGTATGTGCTTATTTGCACGAGTTTCCTTGCACTCTTGTTTATATGGAGTAGAAAGTAACAAATAAATGGTATATGTTTGATAAGATATGTATTAATACAGTGAACAATGACGTTTTTAATGAATAGTTTCTCCAACTTCATCACCAAAAACATAATTCCCATATTTATTTATTTTTTAAATCCTTATATTTTCCATCTGTTGCTTTCTTTCCCCTGATATTATTAATTATTCAGGTCATGAAGAAATGTCAAACGCTTCTTCATGGATCTGTTCAAATGCAGCCTCTAGAGGGCACTCTTATTGTTGCCATCTTGACAACCGTCGCCAAATTTGTCTCACAAGGCAAGGTAAGTAACCAAGTGATATCTTCTGATAATATTAAATATCTAACATTTTTGTCAAAAGTGGTTCAGGGACATGTGATCTATTTGGGTATTGCCCTCTGTATCTGACCCTACTTATCTCGTTGATATCATGTGTTTGTGCTGGTGCAATGTATAATTCTTTGCATTTTTTCATTATGTTTATACTATATAATTATCTTGTCTGCATTCTGTGTTTATGATAACTGCTAACGTCTCTTTGTATGTATTGTATTCCATCTTTGTCAACTGACCTTGCAGCCTGTGCAGCTTGTCAGTTTTTATACAGTGATGAAATAAATCGATGAATAAAGCACAGAAGAGCTATGAGCACAGATATTTCTTTGTGGCTCCTGAAATAATTTTCTAATGTAGTAAGTAGAAGCTCAGCATGGTTCAAATAGATTTTAATGGTTTAATCATGAAGCATCATTTACTTCGAAAGTCAAAACAAGTAGAATCACAATTTTTTTTTTAATATTTGAATTTTGCTGTTAATATACTAGTAATTTAGCAATGTTTCCTCTTCCTGTTTTTTTCATATTTTGATAGGACTTGTTGTCTGCTGAGCATGCGATTCCCACAATGCATCTCTGTCTAATGGTTCCATGGGACGACATCCCAGCATCCCATTTCCCATCATGCTTTGCAGCTGCTTTCCGCATCCTGAACGACCTGATGATGTGCTACTCCGGGCCTGTTCTCAAAGCGGTGTCGGCCTACATCAGCTGTGTCAACCATATCCTTTAAAAATAACTTTAAATCAAATTAATGCAACTTGGTATCAAAATGAAGATAACAGAAAAACACATAGCATTTTTAATGAATGACACATTTCTCATTCTTTTGAATGTTATGTGTTTTTCATTGCTTTTATTTTGAATCTACCAATGTGTCACTTTTGGAAACTCAATACGAATCACAACTTTTTAACGAGATAGAAACTGTCTAAAAAAATTTTTGTGACTTGTTGCTTATGTATTGAATAGGAATTAGACTTCATTGTGAGGTTTAGAAAACATCAACATTTTATACAAGTACCGGTAATGAAATATTCCTGAAAATCTTGAAAATCACAATGAAAAAGTACTGGACACAGATTTGGGTATATGGTGCTACACAAATATGTGGCCTCAGACTTAAGTCCAGAATTGTATACTACTTCAAATCCTGTGTAAAATATGAGAGCAGTTCAGAAGCAATCCTTTTGATTGGAAATTGCTTGAAGGTTACCAATCACATGTGGTTAAAGTATCCTCAAAAACTTTCAAACATACATGAACTAAATCACAACCATTCATAAATTCTGATAGTTATAATTATATGAGGCATGTTCTAGCATTTCCTGAGTTGGTATTGTGTGAAATCCTGTGATTATTTTTTGAGCAAGTACACTTAGTTACCTTTACGAGCATCTTATAGTGATGAAATAATCCTTGACTGTTTTTTAATCACGTTTATTATCTGCATTGGTGGAGAGATGTTCGCAGCAGACGACAGAGACAATGAAAGTCACAGATCAGCAACTCATCACTTGTGCTGAGAACATGCAGAGGTAGAAAATCAAATTCTTAATGCTCTCCCATTCGCACTAAGGATCTATGTTTATGGTACCAGATATAATCATGAGTGAAAAGCAAGTCTGTGGTATTCTGTCTTGCACGTCACTCTAGGTTACCATATAACAACTTCAGGTCACTTTCGACATTAAGTTTTGTGTAATTCTTGTTATTCTTGGTAAGATATGGGACAGCAAATGACCAAATACCTTGGACCTGCCCAAAATAACAGATTCCACAGTAGAAAGAATGTATTTTGATTGATATAATTTTCTGTTTTATGTTTTAGGCTAGCTTCAAGATAGTAGCTGCATGTAGGATTAGAGAAAATTAGAGAAAACTTTCCGAAGAGAAAACTCTGACCTCTGCCCATCTTCTTTCATTAAACTCTACTTTTGAGTGAGCTTAAAAACCAAGCATCGGGTTCAAATTTGAAGATATGGACCATAAATGCAGAACAATCAATATAATTGATGAGGACAATGGATTAATGAGCAAGAGCATAAAATTGCTTAATTTGAATATCATACTTTTCAATGAATGTTAGATTTATAATCATGTTACATTTTTTCCTTTGAAAATATGATATCACAACAGTGATTTTATTTTTGTTTCTTTCTTCAAACACAGGTTGTTGTCTCTAATAGCATCATTGAAGGGTGACATATCTCAGTATGGGATCTATCTCATAGCAGACTACATCAGTGGATTGCAGAAGACAACACTGCCCTCACAGGTCAAGGTAAATCATCTGAGACCTCTCTCCTAAAACTTGGTCATCAATATAGGCTTTGAGCTAACGTGTTCAATAAATTGATTATTTGTTCAATACTGGTAACATGTTTTATGAATAAGGGCTGTGAACTGGTGCTCCAACATTTGCTGAGCAACAGTTGCTCCAGGCCATATTTTGTGAAAAATTATTGAGTTAGGTATAATGTTGGGTCAAGAGTTGAAGTTTAGTAGCTCAGTCAATGTAGGAAATTACCATAGAGCAATTGTCGCTTTGCATGTACTTGTAGAACCTCACTTTGAATACCTATGAAAACTTCTACAGGTTCTGTTGTACCAAAAGACTGTCTTTTTAGTACCACTCTTCTCTTCTCTTTCCCTCCATTCTCATATTGCATCATATAAAAACATCCAACTCTCTCTCTCTCGCATTCTCCCATTTAGACACCTCTAGTGGGCGGAGTCTACAAGATAGTGGATGTTTGCGATGAAAAGACGCTCTCTCTTCTCAACGTCACCCTACCAGTCTCACTCAAGGAGATATTCCGTTCCTTCTACGTCGACTACAAGAAACATCACAAGTACACTGGTCATGTGTAACTCTCCCAATAATAATAATGATAATATTGGGTTCTTGTATAGCGCTCATATCTGTCAGACTTGACGCTCCTTGCTTTCCTGATTATTATCCTGGCTTTTTAGCATGACGCTCTAGCAATTCAAGGAATTAATTCCTACCAGGTACCCATTTACATCACCTGGGTTGAGTGTGGCAAATGTAGATCAATGTCTTGCCAAAGGACATTAGTGCCACGTCGGGGACTCGAACCGCAGACCTTGTAATCCACAGTGCGGTGACGTATCCACTTGACCACAACACCTCTATAGTTAACATCATACATTAAGTAGTGAAGATAGTATTGAATTTTTGTCTACCACATAGTTGTGCTTCTTATATTCCTACCACATGACTTACAATAAAACCTTGCGGTAACCACTCCCGATAACAAGGAGGCAGAAGAGGACAGATGGTCCTCCAGTTTACTTGGGAGAACTATCCACTTAAAATAACGATAAATAATGAAAATATAGGTAAATGAATATGTAGAGGGATTGATGAAATTGTTTTGATTTCGATGAAGAATTGGGAATCATATTTAGCTTGTATTGAATGGAGATACATGTATGTTCAACAGCTGTAATTATCTCAATTTATTAAGTCAGCAGTTGTCCTCATAATTTGAAAATACAGCATTTCTGAGTAAAAACATACCGGTACATTCAATGCTTTTAAACATTAACGTGTGAACATCACCTTATACTAATTAACAAAATCGTTGGCTTTCCACTGTGACAGCCGTCTTGCAAACAGCGGACAAAATACATCATATTTATTTGATAAACGGCATGATTGTCTTAGATTGTGCACTATAATTTTGACTTTCTACAAGCAGTAATCTTCAAATTTTTGTGTCATTGATTGTAACTCACCATAAGTTCGTTTAAACGTGATTGACTGATCCAATTGCAACCAGCACCTTACTTGGTAGTACTTTGCGTGAAGTATACTCAGGTTGGCCGACAGGAAATTGGGAAGCGGCCGAACAAGTCGAGCTGCATGCTTTAATGCCATAGATTTACATGCTCAAGATCTGGGGCTTACTGCTGCGATTCATGTATTTGAATATACTACAAATGTGGCCCTTGTTCAGAATAAAAACATTAGTCTATGTACAGTATACATACAGGAAACACTTTTAGAAACGATGTGAAATAACTGGTTCCTCCATGAAAGTTGTCTGGACTTTGTTATCTATTTATTTCTTTCCTGTATCATGAAATAAAAATGCTTTATTATTCTAAATGTATACTGATGAACTACTGTTGTTTATGAAGTTGTATTCTTTTATGCCACTTTTGCGTTTGCCTCTTAAAATTTCATTCATCCTCTTTTGCCCTTATTCCAGTTCTGGATTAATTTTGACTTCTTAATATTCTTTAGTGTATCCCAACACGATCGCAACGATTTAAAAAAAAAAAATCAAATTAAGGGCTATTTCAATACCCTATCATACATCAGTAGGTGATGCACAAGGCCATTGAAATTGCTTTAAGTCGATATCTTTCAACGATAGTTGCGATCATGTTGTCCTCTCCGTCTCTCTCACTTCTATCCCTCACTTCAAACACCTTTTACGTCAGCTCTCCATCCTTTTGCTCGCCTTGTAACTTTCTTTCTTGTCGATCTTTTTATCCCTTTCTCTTTCTCTCCCTCCCTCCTTCCACCTTCTTTCCTCTATCATTGTTCCAGAACAATCTGTATCTTGTTTCAGGATACAGTAGCTTTGTAATGAACATAATTTTTGACAGTCAAATGAAACAAGTCAGTTCACCAAGTTTTAGTATAATCATCTGTCGCCACCTTTCCCTCAGCATTGTTTCATAACAATTTCTGTATCTTGTTTCATGATTACCCCCCCCCCCCCTTTTCTTCTCTCTCTCCCCCTTTCCCTTCCTCTCTCTCTCTCTCCTCTTTAATAATGCACTGCAAAATGACAAGAAATAACTACAGCTAATATTTGCCATAATTAGCACATCAACTATATTTAATATCATATAATAAATTCATATAAATGTTTAAATACAAAATGTGAGAACGGCAATCTGGTTAGTGTTAAATATTCAATAAAGCGCATAAAAATGGAAGAATCGTAGATATAAATATATGAATTGTCTGCAATTACATGTTTCAATTCATCAACATAAACCTCAAAGTTCATACAATCTAAAATAATACATTTCTGCAAGCTATATATAAGTGCAATGACAAATACTCAAACATCAGCCAATGTACATCGTGCGTATACCCTGAGCAATGCTTAATTTCATACAAAAATTCTCAAGTCTCAAAACTGGGGGAAACATAAACTTATCAAAAGATGACTCTGTAAGTGCAAAATAAAATGTGTTTAACAGCATCTTCAGAACAAATCTCCTTTTACTGGTATACATTACTTTATAAAGGACAACAAGATTGTTGGATAACATTCAAACTTCAACTTCAGTAAAAAATCATTGAATTACTCTGTTTTCTTGATTTTTGGAATTAGAGTAAGTTCTACTTCAAAATGCCAAAGTGAGGCTACAGAAACTTGTGAATGAATCATATATCAAACAAATGCTTTTAATATCGGTGGCTTCAAAATGATTGAGGAAAAAAAGAATTAATGAAAAAGGAGATGGACAGACTACAACAAAATTTATCCCTACGTAATGCCAAAAGTGTGAAAATGATGTATCTTATTCCTTGTCACATGCTTATTTCATGACAACAAATTTTGCATAAAATCAGTGAAAAATATATCTTATTTCCAAACAATAATACAACACACACTCCCTTTCTTGCATAAGCAATGTGACTGCCATCTACAACTAAAAATAGGACATCAATAATATTGTGCCAGAAAAAATAGAGTGATTTGGCTAATACATGTACATTTGTCTAAAGAAGATATAGAAAATGTAATATTTTCTCAACTAACACTTTTTCCCATCTAAAAGGGACATTACATCGTTTCTGTATAAAGGTATCTTATAATAATGTAACTGTACAAAACGTACACAGAATATAACTAATCTGTTAGAAAAACAACAAGCAAGTGCACATAGTATAATTTACCAGAAATGGCAGCTACAGATATGCTCTATGAGAAATATATATTTATATATATACAACAAAAAGTTCTTTGGTAATTCATAAATTACAAGTCGTATATCTCAATTCTTTTTTGCACTATCTACAAAACATTGTCAATATTTCAGAAGTTGTTCAATATGTGCAGGCAATGAATAATTTCTCTCATTTGATAGAACAACCTAATTTGTATAAACTGCAATTAAAAGACAAAACAAAAGCACAATTTGCAGTAAAAAGAAGAAAGATGCCCCTACAACTAAATTAATTTTGTTCAAACACAGCATGATATATATATAATGCTTTTGAATTATAATAAAATACATTTCATCTTTTTAAATGGTTCATGGTAATGAGAAAAATAAATCATATCAAATTAAGGCTAAATATTGATGATTTTTTTTGTTTCAATTTCATCATAACTCCACATACATGATGAAGATAAAAATGAATTCAAGTATGCTTACAAATGTATGTATATATATACATATAGAGTATGAAAATCAATCAAAAGGACCTGAAAATATCAAGATTGTCATCACTCATTTGGAAATTACCAACAATTTACTGTTTGTCAAAAACTCAAATTATTTACAAATTTACTTCAATATTTTTTGGTCAGGGGACATAAGTTTGTTTGAAGACAGAGAGCATTAAATTGACTGAATAGAGAGGAAGATTGGCAGAACAAATGTTGTGGTATTGACGTGTTAAACATAGGTTAAAGAGAAGATAGTGGAGCTTGGGAAAGAATTTTTCCTTCTTCAAATAGGAAGAGTTATTTACATGCAGCATTTAACGACTTATTTGTTCAAAAGCACAACCAAAAAGTACCAGGTAGAAAACTTTTCTTGTATTTCAAAGATATCTTATGTCATGATGGTATAGACATTTCCTGTAAAGGGATTTCCTTGGAACTGTTTGGAGGAGATTTTAAACAAAAGTGGCCCTCAATTTCCTACCATCCTTGGAGATGACGACTGTTTCTTTACCTTGGTAACCCTCACCAGACCCTTCCCCGCCCTTAGCCCCACCAGAGGCACCAGCATCCAAGTTGTTAATGTTACTATATGTTGCTTGGTTTCCACTGACAGGAGACTTGGGTACAGCGCCCTGCGAGCTGGGCAGCGCCCTTGGTGGTTGAATGCTTGCATAAGGCACTGGTCCTCGGTAGCTACGAGGTGCGGATGTGGAGGCTGTGCTTGTTACCTGGGGGGCATTACCTCTTGGCCCTGCCCATGTGGCCCCGTTACTAGGTCTCCCAGATTGACCGCTGCCTGGATTGACAGTTGAGGAACTCCAAGTGGCACTTTGCGTTGCGCCCTGTCGGTTGCCTTGGCCATAGGTTGGTGCCACCTGCAAGTGTTCACTGGACGTGAATGCTGGATTTGACTGTCTGGTGGACATGCTGCTATGGTACGCAGGAGGGGGCTTGATAACTCTCTCCTTGGCAAGCACTTGAGTCACATCTGGTGGAGCCGGAGACACAGGAGATGCAGGAGACATGGGCACGTCATCAATGTTTGTGGAAGAACCACCATAGGAGCTACCGTTGGGTGTGGTTGGAAGGGGACAATAATTGGAATAGCAATTGTTTGTCTCAACTTTGATGTCTGGGGCACTTACAGGGAGGGGGACGTTGGTGTTGTTGTTGTTGGAGTAGGAGAGCTGGCCGCTGGATATGCTCCTAGTGTATGCCTTGGAAACATACCCATTGGCTTCCACGACAGGCTTTGGAGTTATGTTATGGCCAGGGAGGGTGCTTCCAGAGCGGAAGGGGTGCATAAAGGGGGTCTTCCTAACATCAGGGGTGCTCTGGCTGCCCATCTTGGCAAACACAGCTGGACGTGGCTGATTCACACCGATCGCGGGGGGAGGGGTGTAGTTCGGTAGGTCAGCCTGTATGGTGGTGTCCATGTCTGCATTAGGAGGAGGAGGAAGATGAGACTCTGAGGGCGTTGATGTTAAGGTGGTATCTAAAAGGTTGGGTTGGTCCATGCTTCCAAATGAACTATTAAACTCCAGCGAGTATGCCGTGGTATTCTGACCATAGTCCGTTGAGTCATTCCCGTTTATTTTACCATTACCATATGCCCGCGGACTCAACTTACTGTCCGGGGTTTCAAAAGAGCTTGTTCTCGACTGATACGAACTCGCCACCGATGGCCTTAGTTTGTCTGTATTCTGGGGATAGTTCACATTTGACCCCTGACCCCAAGATGTTTCTCGATATGAACTGCTTACGACGGTATCATCAAACCGAACAACTGGACTGCGCGGGCTTCCGCTCCCAAACAGTGCATCTGCTTGATCCTGTGTTGGAAAAACACCATCCACGAATGCATCATCATCATCACCCTTCATGATGCCTTGCCTTGGCGGTGTTGACTTGGGGCGTAGTTTCAGTGCCTCAATATTAATAGCCTTGAGCTCTCCCTGCTCCTGGTTTGGTGGTTTAGAAGCTGGTGCATTGGTCCGGTAAGGCTGGGCGAGGGCGCTCTTTGGACGACTGTCCACAGGCTTGGTAGAAGATGAGGAAGAGGTGGGGGCGGTAGAGACTTTAAGGAAGTCAGGGAGCTCTAAGTTGCGTAGTGTGAGGCCTCTCTGATCATCCAAGCGCTTGCCTTGAACCTTGGTTACCATAGCAATAAGATCTGCAGAAAATTGTGCAAATTGATGAAAAAAATTAAAAGAAATTGTTTGTTACACAAATCAACGTCAGACATACACTTGCTTTCCTTTAAATCATAAATCAAATATTAACACAAAATATATCTGGTTATCCTTTAATTGTCCTACCTGATTTCTTATGAGATCTGTGGCCCATTTTCAATTTGTTTTCTTCATCAAATTTCATTAATGGGGTTATTGTGAAACGGTTACATTTTTTCATGAAGCTGAAATTAAAAAAAAAGAATTACATTTATACTAAATTTGCACATAAATCAATCATTACACTTGAAGTATTTTTTATTTGGTGCCATGATATAAGTACTCACAAGAGATCAAAATCATTTAATCTTGGCTTAATTATGGTAGCTTTCCACAAGATCAATCTTTTTTATAAATAAAAATATGAATAGTTCTTTGAGTATAAACAAAGCTCAATTTATAGGGTAACTGGCAACTACTTTTCCTAAGTTTGCTATCACTTCACGCTCGCAATGAAAAAATTCCACTTCAATTATTTAGCCACTAGCATTAGGCGAGATGCTTTCTCGCTGCACATGAAATATATATCGCACCTATATGAGGGATATAAACCAAAAGTAAATCTAATGCTATTCTATTATCTAATAAATAAAGAATCTTCTAAATATAGATTATTTCATTTCAAAATAACCAGTAGCTAGTAATTATACATAAATATATTTGTGATTTTTATTCTTTTTGTTTATACTGCTATCTACTAACAAATACATGTACAGCCTACACATAGGGAAGAAAAATGTTTTTCTTCCTTTTAGCAATAGTACATGTATACCACGATAAATAATTGGCATGAAATTGTAGCAGGAGTGATATATCATTGCAAATAACTTAATCATAACTGAAATAAACTGCATGCTTAGGTTAAAAAGTCATCATCAGAAGAAATGAATAAACAAAAAGCACATAATCAACAGGTTGGAATAATGTATGGAAAATTAAAAAATTAACAACATTGATAAAATTAACTGTGATATCAACAGAAGCCCCAAAGGCCAAAATCATATAAAATCATACAGTTTGGGAAACAAATAAATTCATGTATTAGTATTTCCCCAAATTGGAAGATGCAGGAAATTCATAAGTAGTGTGTTCTACAATTGCTTACGGTAAATAGGTTTCCTAACAAATCAATATTTATATGGCAACTATTACAAGAAAGTAATATGATTAACAAGTTAATGCTATGCATTCATGCTGCCTCATTTTTTTTACTCATTTCTGATATGACTACCATCCCTATATCAAATTAAGAGTGCATTGACCTTTGACGAATGTCTTCATGAAGAAAATGTTCTTTATTCCAGACATATAATTTTTGGATGCATACATGTATGTACAGCAGATACATGAAGGTCTGTTCCCGATTGCAAAATGTATGATACCAACAGAAATTGAAATAAATCATAGTTAAATGAAAGAAAACAAAAAACAAAAAACTGATAAATCAGGTAAATGTGCAATGAAAGTCTACATACCAATATAGGAGAGTAAAATCAGTGAACATTTAATTCGGAAAAGCCTCAAACAAACAAAAAATCTGTCCCAAATAAATTCAAAGTATTCGCTTTCATTCTGCATATCCTAACTGATTCCCCCTCCCAAAAAAATAAAAATAAATAAATGATAAACAAAATCATAAAAATTAGTAGATCATAAAGAAAGAAAAACCCAAAGTACAACATCTTCAAGTAGCTGTCAAAATAGCGGACTAATGTATCAGTAACTGGAATACATGTATAGACATGATACTGAGAATACATGTACATGTATGAAGAGTTAATCTATTCTACGTACATTGTGACATGCTGTTAGTAAAGAGCTAATGCAAAGATCAGCAAAAAAGGACATGATAGATTAAATGTTTTTAACTAAATGGTGTCTGGCGAACTGAAACTGAATAAAAATCAGACACCAAAACTAATTTACAGGTAATCGGTTTGATAAATGATTAATATATCCACATGCAGTATCGTTGTATAAAAGTGCTTGATAATAACCAGCTATGTAACATAGTTATGAGAGTGGGCAAGGCAAAGAGGGCAGCATGCAAGTGTCAGTTACAGTAATCAACGTGAATGATATACTGAGAGAATTCCTACCAATCATGCCAAGTCGAATATTTATGAGATGCCATTAGCATCATACATAGACTTCTGTACAATGAAACAAATATGAAAAGACAATCGAGAGGAACAGAGTCAATTTGATAGAATTTATACTGTATCAATACACGACATGAAAAACCACTATATGAATATTTCAAATTCTTAATCTCTAAACCATGTTTTGATGTATATAAAACAATCAACTTAAAAGCAGATCAAAATTGAAATAATTATTTATCTGTATGTTGATAGAGGTCAAATTCCTACAGTCCGTAAGTAGACATTAACTAACAATCAAAATCTCATTGATATTATTGTGGTATAGACTTTTGGAAAGAAAGACAAAGATGAATGTTAATAAGCTTTTCACACAGATGATAGAGATGATTAGGGTACTGACTGCAGGGTACCTGGAATACAATTCTCAAATACAAAGAGGAAAATAAGAACCAAGTTAGTACTAGAGGATAGCAAAACATGCAGAGGAATTCAGTGCGCTAGGATTAGCTGAGATTTGCTGAGACTTTGATTCCGGGCACCACCCTTCCCCCTACCCCTCTGAAACCATTCCCAAAGAGAACTACTTCTCCCCTCTGAGTTGGTTAGGTGATGGCAAAGGGGGGGGGGGGGGGGGGGGGTTAGGGATGAGTGGAATTTTTTTTTTTTTTTGGGGGGGGGGGGGGGGAGGTTGTAGTTGGTATTAGTTGTCCAGAACTAGCTGTCAAGCGGTGATTGTTTTTTCCCCCAAGTTTGGAGAAACAAAGAACAATACCTGTTTTACATTAAGTTTTTAATTTGAAATTGAAACTTTCACACCAATAGTATACAATGTAGGAAAATTAAAGAAGAGAGGATATCATCAAAAAATATACAGGAAATGATCTTCATGCATGGACAATGCCATCATTTCAAATCTGCTTAAGAGTATCTATCTAGTCTACCTGGAAGCAAGGTTAGTATCAGATGTCTGATAGAGACCCACGAGAGAAAAGGTCCTATCAGTTTAGAAGTAGGATTTCTATATCAGGTAACATGCGATGACACATAGCATGCTTTCACAGTCACAGACTATGCTTACTAGATATGTTCAACTAATCATCATTATACTGACAATAGACCATTTTTCGTAAAGTGATCAAATTTAATGCACAAATCTGTGCCTTGCTACAAAATATCTCATCCACCTGTTACAAATAATTGTATTTAAAAAGTCAGAATGTGAATTGCATACATTCATTGTTGCTAGGTAGAACAAACATTATGGCTTGTCTTCCTACCTAACAACACGTAATGTGTGCAAATCGCATTCCGACTCTTGGAACACAATTATTCGTAACAATAATTCGTTAACAAGTGAATGTAATAATTTGTATCCACTAAACAAAGATTTGTCCATTAAATTTGATTACATTATAACAAAAAGCCTATCATGGAATTCCTTCTAGTTCTTGGGTATCATACTGGTTGAGGTTCATAGATGTGGAATTAAAGCACTGAGCTTTGATCTAGAAGTTTTGTGACATTGCAGATTAGCCGTAAGCTTTTGCTAGCAATGAAGGAGGTTTAGAAGCTCAGTGTGTTATAGCAGTGGCCTCTGATGTTGGGGAGCCCAAGTTCAGAGGCCCCCTAAACATCATAAAGCCCAATACGTTCTGTACAACACATTCCATGAAAAAGCCTGGAACAGGGAGGACATGTCACAGGGCCCCAAATGAAAACAAAACTGCAGAAAACTAGCCCTTGGTTCTTTGTGGGATAGGAGTTGGTTTTAACAGATTAGCCTGAAAAGAACCTTGGATAGCTCGGAGCCCCATACATTTTGTACAGTACGACTCCTGGGGGGTGTTTCACAAAAAACCCTAAGTCTAACTTAACTCTAAGTTGGGACTTAAAAATTATGGAGAGCCATTTGTAGCCTTAAAATAAAATATACTAAAAACCGAAAAATCAAGTATTTTAGACTTGTTATAAATTCCACATCAAGAACATGAAATCTCCTTGATAAAAGAAAATATGAATCATTTGAATCAACATTTTATGCCTTTTAGAATAACTTTTATAAATATTTTCATAGATGCTGAAGGCTTTTCATAATTGTTAGGTCCAACTTAAGTTCAACTTAGGATCTTTGTGAAACTCCCCCCTGGTCTAAATTTACACCTGTCATCCCTGGTTCTGAGATTTCCCTTACCTTCTGTTTCCTTGCCAGTGACCTTCAGGTTGCCTGCCGATTTCCTGGCCTCCGCCCTTCCCTCGGTCCTGCCCTTACCCACCAGGGCTGAGGTGGAGACCGATGATGAGGACGGGGGTAGGTGATTGACCTGGGGTGGGGTCTTGGCTGCTGCAGCTGCTGCCAGGTGTCTCTGCTCCCTCATGGTGTCTCCTTGGGGTGCCGCTTGGAAGGCTGACATGGCCGGGGCTGATACCTGCAGAAGAGCAGAAGTCAAGTATCAGAGATGGCGCAGTTACGCTTACGGTGTGCAGGATTTTGGGCCGATACTTGTTTACCCATGGTCCAGCTCTCTCTCCCTTGAGGCATTTAAGTCCTCACTGGGGAAGACGCACCCCTAACTGCCCTCGCGGGATTAAAAGTTTTTTTAATTGCACCCTGTACATATATGCACAAGGATCCTGGCCAGCAGGCACTCACAGTGCACAATCTTCAAGGCCTTGAAGCAGCTCTTTTCTTGGAAGAAAGAAAAGAGAAAGCCTAGGTAATTGGCTTTAGATAGCATCCCAGGGTGGATAATTTGGGAGAACGCATTTCTCTAATTTAACAAACTGAAACTATAAGTTACTATAACTATCACCCCTGTTGGTACCCTTGGCAGTGAAAATGTTTCCTACGTATTTTCTCTCTGAAATCCTTCATGAAAATACAGGAGTTTGATAACAATCCTGCTCATTGCACATCACCCACTTGGTAATTACAATCCCACCAAGCCTAAGAACCTTTACAGAGAAAAGCATGGAGGGAAAATCCTCCAACAGTAATAAATATAAGAATGACAATTTCAGAAGGCAAAACATCTTTAGTCCTTTTACACCATGCCCCCTGGGTTCTGCGGTAACAGACAACATATGTCCATCTGATAAGGTGTAAAATGGAGGTTCCCATATATGATTTATTCGTGCCAGTGAATTTTTTCCTTACCAAGCAAGTTCAAGGCACCACAGACTTCCATACACGTAGCTCTGTCATTTCTACGCACACACACACTCCCTACAGTACCTTATCCTTTAAATCTATGCCCTACCTGTGCTGTGAGTTTTTCCTTGACAACCTTGCTGGAGTCTGCACGAACTGTTTCATCGTCCTTCAGGTAGCTATCAACAGAGCTTGACCTCACCTCGCCAGATTTTTGCTGGGATTCACCCCTTGCTCCAACTGAAGCTCTCCCTCCGAAGCTATAGGAACCAGCTGAAATGATAAAATTACGGGGTGAATAGAATTAAATAATGAAATGTCCTGATATATGGTTTGTTTTCATATCGTTATCTTAAAAAAGAGCTATTCGATTAATTGACCCGAGTATTTCACAAAGCCTGAGTGTTTCACATAGCCCAAGTGCTACAAATGTAAGTATATACTTGTACTTGCAGGTAAGCATCCAGGGCTTTACAGCCTATGAGAGGGACTAGGACATTGAGATGAACAAAAGTGCACTAGCACACACTTGGTCATAACCAGATGCCATTCCTTGCTCTAAAACCTAAAGATAGTTGTCCAGGGAAGTTGTATCCGGGGGCGGTAATCCTCTATCCCTGGTGCAATTTAATAGCCAGGAATATATCCAAGGGTACCATAAATAAGACCAGAAACGATACCTTACAAAAAAAAAATACTCAGAAATCTGATTTGTGCTTGTGATGCATCAACAGTAACTGGATAACTGGCCTGGAGAATGTATCTAAACTAGTACTGAAATTTTGAGCCTTGATGTTCATGGAAAGTTGGGTTTGCATTAGTATCATGCAAACTGTGTCAAAAGGGGTATTGCACAGGACATGATTTGATGATTTGAGCACATTGTCAGTTCTATCATTATAAATTGAAAGAAGTAAGCTTTACATACCACTGTACTGCTCGAGTGTCTCTATGAGTATCCTCTGAGCGTCCAATGAGGCTACGGTGATGTCCAGATCTAGAGGAACAGGAGAGTCACTCTGGTAGGAAATAAACAGTTAAAAGTCAGTCATCAAAATGGTATCACTGATTAATTTTTGATCTGCCGTTAAACCACACCAAATATGGATGTTCCCTACAGGTCAAAGAAAGATTCTTTGATATAAATGTTGAATAAAACTGAGGAATACTGACACAACAGATGAAATAGATATAACACAAAAGCCGGGGTAATAATATTATTGTAGGACATTCAGGGTGAACAGTATTAATAATAATGAGGCTACCCTGGGTAAACAAGAGATGACATAATCATTATCATCATGGTCATGACTGCCGCTGTCATCGTCACCATCGTTGTCGTTGTCGTCACCATCATCATTATATCATATTTTTCTAATATCATTATTCTTATCATTATCAAAATCTTTCTTGAAGTTAAACAAGTCTGAATGTTGAGAATCTTGATGTCGGGATATTAATAATAATAAGAGTAATCATAATAAAATGAAATTCTGTTCTTTTACAGATGAATTTATGATCACATCATGGTATAACACAGTTGTGCTATCAAAGGGCTTCGGAAATCATCAGCCAAGCTTTACAGCGTACAAGCAGCTTTGGCAAACATAAAACTCCCACACACGATTTCCTTCTCTGTTAGAATCATTCATACTATTACTAAGAAATCAATCAAAAGTATTACTCACCAGATGGACAACGAGGGCATCTAGCTGCAGCTTATACTTGTATGTAACTGGTCTGAGTACTTCTATGATCTTTTTGGTCAGCTTAGATTTCACTCCGATCACTCTCTTATTTGGAAGCTCAATCCTGATGTAAAGAAAGAAAGTTGGAAATAGGTTAAAGCCCCACTGCACTACTTATAGCTACTTGCGCCCTCTATATAGCAAACAATGCCCAAGGAGTGACTATTGGTCCCCTATGGTCCCCTTTTTCTTATATTAATTAAGAGTAGATTTGATGAGATAACCACCTGTCAGTGACCATGCAGGGAGGTCTAATCTCTCCAGACCAAGCTAGTGCAGATAGGCATTAAATGAAAATATCATGACATTTAACTTCGCGAAGTTTCACTTTGAGAAGTCTGGGAAGTATCTAGATCTTCTCTGTTAGCTTAGCCCTAACTCTAATCACTCTCTTACAGGAAAGCTAAAGCATGATTTATACATTTGAACAGAATGGAAGGGATTGAAATAAACAAAATTGTAGGAAATGTAGCAGCACAAAACAAACTTGACTTCATCATGAGTGGGCAATATCTATGATCCTTTTTTGGCAGTCTGAACTCAGAAATCATCATTTGGAAGCTAAATCTAAATACAAAAATAATTCACATGTTTGGTTTGTCCCCAACAATTTCAGCATTATTCCTATGCTTTTGTTTCAATATGAAGCAGGGAACACTTGTATGAAAGGGAATTAAATGATGTGAAGGTCACCTTGTTGACAACTTTGATTTTCAAAGCTTGATATTTTGATTTTCAGAGAGCTGTTTACTCCTCTGACAGACACTGAAATAGCATATAATTTATATTACTGTAGTCTATGGCTTATATTAAAGCTTTCTGCTGATATACAGTGCGTCCCAGAAAAAACGAAACCGAGAAGTATCGATGTTTTATCATAACTTAATCACAACCATAATTAATGAATCATACATATTTGGAAAGCTTAGAGTCTCCTCTTTCATGTGATGCTACTCAGATGATGCATATTTCACGCATGAGTGATTAAAAGCAATTTGAAGGAAGGAAACCAAAAAGACATTTGGCGGGCGGTATCTGAATTTCGAAGAAAAATTCACATTTCTAGAAAGTTGAGTTTCTGCCCTTTCATATGACACCTCAATCAGGAAAAATGAGCTAGGAATAACAAAGTTCTGTTTGTTTAAAGTAGCCCTTACATTTTCATAATTTTAACAAACGAATTCGTTTTCACTGGGTGCCTGCCGTAGCAAAAAGCAGATTTGACAAAAGACTTAACTCCGTTTCGTTGACAATCAGCCGTAGACGAGAATCTTCATGCATGGCTGATTGTCAACGAAACGGAGTTAAGGCACCCAGTGAAAACGAATTCGTTTGTTAAAATTATGAAAATGTAAGGGCTACTTTAAACAAACAGAACTTTGTTATTCCTCGCTCATTTTTCCTGATTGAGGTGTCATATGAAAGGACAGAAACTCAACTTTCTAGAAATGTGAATTTTTCTTCGAAATTCAGATACCCCCCGCCAAATGTCTTTTTGGTTTCCTTCCTTCAAATTGCTTTTAATCACTCATGCATGAAATATGCATCATCTGAGTAGCATCACATGAAAGAGGAGACTCTAAGCTTTCCAAATATGTATCATTCATTAATTATAGTTGTGATTAAGTTATGATAGAACATCGATACTTCTCGGTTTCGTTTTTTCTGGGACGCACTGTATATTCATCTTTATTAATCTTCACTTCTGACAGGGGTTTTAAGCTCATTACTTACTTGAAGACTACCCTTCTCTCCACAACAATCTGCTTTCCAATCATCTCAGTGGCAAGCTGATCCAAGTTAATTAGCTATAGGGATAAAACAATAATAGGAATTCAATGTTATGCTGTACATGTACAATAATGATGAAGAGTTTCACTGTATTCTTGTAAAGTAATTTCAGAATAACACATGTGGAAAAAAAGTATTTCATTTTTTTGTGGGAGCACCTCAAGTGTACAAACTACTACAAAGTCACATGATCATTTTGGACTATAAAGGGCCCCCATCTGATGTTGATAGGGGTATATATAAGAGGTGAAAAGGGGGCATTGGACTATGTCTAATAAAAAAGGATTACATTCTTGTGCAAAACATAGCTCAAACTACTAAATAAAAAATTGCCTCATACAGGTGGATACAAGTCAATGATTTGGTCATTATCCACATTGTCATACCAGTATCATAAGGACAATGAATGTAATCTAAAAATGCTGAAAATCCAAGGTGCCTTTAATGTGACAATCCTGCCATATCTGATCCGTATAATTATTAAGCATGGGGCATGGGCCTTGGGATTCAGAATAAACTTTGAAAGCTTGACATCAATTCCAAAATACATTAAATCAAATTATATGAGTAGCAGTATTCCTGTAGGTGCATAAGTGATCCAGGATGCAAGGACAAATTAAAAAAAAGTATTTTCTTTTTCATTTTTTCTTAAATCATACAATAATGGTGCACTTTAATTTCTGATAGCTTGCAATTTGCATTCATGTGCATGCTTTTAGTTTGTTGTTTTATTATGTCTCAAGTGCAAGAAAATACCATTTGAACTTCCTTTCCAATGCATGTTAATATCACTAATGCGACATCAATTATTCACAATGCAATTAATTTCAACTGCTGTGTTTATTCAGCTAGGAATACATAAATTATGCAAGTAAAACTTCACTACAGGTATATGTCTTGGACTGTGAAATTGATCAAAGGAACTGACTAAATGCAGTTTTTAATGAAATTATATTGCAATCAACTACAGTATGAGGTATTGATATTTAGAAATAAAACCTTTTTTTTCTCTATTTGCTATGATATAGGTAGATATGTAAATATTTTGCAAATAAAATTGCAGCAAATTGAGCCATGCTTTAAATAAAAGTAGAAGAAGGACTAGAGTTTTGTAATTGCAAGGATTAATAAAAAAAAGGAAAGTAAATATCCTGACTTTTTCAATATTCATCCAAACACAGAGCTGTTTATGTTGAGAATTGCTTTAGGTATAACTTCTGATGGGAAAGAGAAAGACTTGAATACCATTCATGATTTTTTTTTTTAATTAAAAATAAAACTTACACTAAAAATGCTAGAAGAAAGGGAAGGAATATGATAATATGTGGATAATGAAGCAAATCCTTTTACTGACACAAGATAAGTTCTGTTGGTAGGCCCATGCAATGTAGGAATTGAGAATATAAAAATTGAGTCCAAAAAACGAGAAGTGGTAGACACTAGGTCCGATTATGACAACCACATTAAACCAACCGCCAATACCAACATAACCAAAAAATTGTGTTTGCAACACGAATGGGAATCACAATTGGAGGGTCACTGATGAAGACAAATTACAGGTAAGGTAACAGAATGCTACATTTTTTTCCCAAACAACCAAAACTGATGCTGATGAAGGAATTTTTTTTTTCTATGATGGGAAAGGGGATACACACTGGGAGGATCAAAGGGAATTACAAATGACAGGGTGGGTAAGGGTATACACAACGGGGATACAGATAACTGCAAAGAGCAAGTATGTTCTAAACAGATACAAAACATGAATATAATTTCAATGTACCACAAGAGGATTTGGATAGGGAATGGAAGTATCGGGTACAACAAAAAATGAAAACAGGTAATGGATAAATATCAAACTCTGAATAGGTATGGGTATATATGGGATATATCTGCATGATTTGGATCACTTGTGGTTCACATAATACAAACAGAGGTTTTTGATATACATGGTACATATGTATGCCAGTTCAGGATGATATTGCTTTCTGAGAGCAAAAAAGCATCAACTCTACATCCGACTGAAATGAGTTAATGCCCTTTTAGCTATCAGCCAGGCAACAATTAACAATTTACACCTTGTAGTGAATACTATAAACACACATGGTTACAATAGCATCACAAGTTTGAAGCAATAGGGACTTTTAGATTTGCACAACGACAACGTGGATTGCTACGATCGACATCCTTTTAATGCACTGCCTTGAATGGACGTCACACGTTTCAGTCCACGCAAATCTAAAATTCCCTAATACCACCTCACAACCTTGCAGTAATATAGTTTGTTGTTGCTATGTCAGGAATTTCACAACATCACTTTTGTTACAAAGAAAGGTTATGAAGTGGTACTTCTTGAAAAACTTGTGATGGCGCTATTGTCTAGTGTGTCTTGTCACATACAGGTACCTTATAAGACCATCCAATGATATACAATATATCCCTTTGTGACATTGATATATTATTTCAAAAATTTATTGAATAAATATGTAAGCAAAGACAAAAAGTATACAAATTGATCACAAGCAAAAACAGCCCCAAACTGACTACTTTCTACATAGCTAAAAGCAAAACAAACACACAACAGAAATGCAGATGCAAAAACAAACCCTCCACCCCATTATAAATGCCAAAACAGAAATAAGCAAAGCGTTAACATTTGGCTAAGCTAGTTGGGAAAGCTTTGAGTTTGATTAATAGGCTGCACAAGCAGAAGCTGCACAAGCTATATGGAGTAATAGATTTATACCTTTTGCTTAACCGATTCAACACTCTGAAAGAGAGAAAGATACAAGAATATAATTTGGAGAAACTGACACCTACACACAGAAAACGCAACACAGGAGTAACTTCTAATGATTATGGTTTCTTTTTTAAAAGAGTCCATGTTTTCATTACTCATTAGCATTCAATCATTAATGATAAAGAGGATTCCACGGCGTTCCTTGCTAAAAGAAACTTTTAAGACATGATGGTAAGATTATCAAGCTGATAATGGCCTTTAAATTTGTGAATTTCTCTTTAGTTGTTGGAGTAAAAAGATAAGGAACATGTCAAACTATCATAAAGCAATGTGAAGACTGAGAAGAAACAGAGGAAGAAAGAATGAGAAATATGTGTATATACCGAGAAGGGAGACAGAGAGAGAGGGGGGGGGGGGCAAAGCCAGAAAAAAGAGAGAGAGAGGGGGAAGAGAGAGAGAGAGAGAGAGGGGGGAGACAAAGAGACAGAGAGATAGACAGACAGAGAAATACAGAGGAAGAGAGAGAGAGATGTACGGAAATAGACAAAAAAAGAACAGAGCAGGAAAAGGAATCATATTCAGGTTAATCACTTTAAAAGATTGTTGCAAATGAAATGACTCTCAGACTACAGCACATCAAACAATGCAATTTAATTCAAAATATCTGATAATTATTTGTTTACAAAAGCCTCCCACCTACCAATCAAACTTTCAAAGATTCAAAATGCTATGATCAAGCAGCTAACTACATGATTATCACTTCAAATCACAAATGAGACTGTAACTAAAAATATCCCATTCAACTTTGAAACCATCACAGCAAATCTTTCTAGCATACTGCTTTCACTTCCAAACCTTTCTTATACTAGGGTGTTTGCACTTGTGTACTCTCATAGTTCAAAATACTCATATTTACTAAACCACTTTCATTTGATTCAGATTATCAATACCCTATAGAACCTGAACTGCTGGAAATGTCCCAAGAACTTTCAATTGCTATAGGCTAAAGTACACAGTCTGCTTTGATAATAACTTGCGTCCATCATCGGAAGTCGCCACTTACATGTGTAGATATATGCTGAAGTGTTTTTGTAAATAATATATGTTTGAAAGTATGGACAATAATGAGATAGTGTTACTCTTTTATTTCCTGCTCAAATAGATGAATGGCTTTGGTAGACATCATCTGGATGTGCTGATGTATATCACTTTCACTATTCTCCTTAGCTAAATCTATGAATGTACGTTCTTGATCCTCAGACAATTGATGTTAAAGAGAACTGTGAGAGAATTGACAAAATAATCTCAAAGCTCTTAGAAATAGCTGGTATAATAATAATAGTGGGTTCTTGTATAGCGCTCTTATGTCTGTCAGACTTGACACTTCTGGCGCTCCCGATTATTACCCTGGCTTTAGCACGACTGCCATTACGGCGCTTTAGCATTTCAAGGAATTAATTCCTGCCAGGTACCCATTTACATCACCTGGGTTGAGTGTGGGAAATGTAGATAAATGTCTTGCCAAAGGACATTGATGCCGCGGCGGAACTCGAACCGCGGACATTGTGATCGACAGTCCGGTGACATATCCACTCGACCACGACTCCTCTATAAAGTGCTGTTAATCAATGCTAATCATCACTATCATTACTATCGACATCATCATCATCATCATCATCATCAACCAGGCTATGATCACTGGCTGCTACTCACCTCCTTGGTGTCGTTAAGGAAGATCTCCACATTTTGGAGCCCAAGGCCTCGTTCCTCCAGGAGGGGTAGAAGGATCCCTTTGACCGACTGCTGGGGGTCAGGGGTCAACGTCAGGATCTCATTATTGGGGAAGATCATGTGGAAGCAGTGGTTCATGTCCACAAACTTTGAAGAAAAAAAAATAATGAAGGTATGGAGAAATGCATTTAGTGAAGATTTGGATAGAGAAGGAAAGAGAATTAGAAAGAATGGAGGAGAGAGGTGGCAGGAGGAGAGACAGGGGAAGAAAGAGAGGGGGAGGGAAAGAGGGAGAGAGGGAGAGAGGAAAAGAGGGAAAGAGGGAGAGAGGGAGAGAGGGAGAGAGGGAGATAAGGGAGGGAGAGGAATATGGAGGAGGGAAGGAGGGAGGGAAGGAGAGGGGGGACAATATAAGAAATACATGGTGGGAGGTTGAAAATGAGACGACAACATAGAGATAGAAACAACCAAAATTTGATAAGTATAGCATTTTAAAATCAAATCACAATTACTTCTCATTTGTTTAAGCAGTGACAACGTTAACAAACTGCTGGGCAATAATTTCAAATCATTAAATAAAAATTCCAATCAACAGCACCTGAAAAGGCACTTTGCACGGATTCTTCTCCCAAGAAAAGTTTACATACTAATTAAATCCCATTCTACTAAATCAATGTTCAAAACGTATGACTGTTTTTCAACTTGGAGTGTAAATTGAATGTCTTTTATTTCTCTCCTGTCCCAAGTGTTTTCTTGACTTTACCTTGTCCCCAGCGGGTCTGAAATCACTGCTAGTCACTGAGCTATGACGACTGCTCACACTCGTATCCTCGTTGCAAGAACCTACAAACAAACACAAATGCAATCAAAATTACTTAAAATGTACTTTAAATATTTTAAAAAAAAATCTTTTTATTTAGGTTTTATTTCCACATTAACTGCATATGAAAAGAATTTACAAAGTAAGGCATATACAAGGTAACAAAACATGTACATAATATTTGATTGATACAACAGTAATAAAAACGATTTAATGGCAAGTCATTAAATACATATGATGCTAAGAATTATCTGCAGTAATGAGGAGGAAACCTTGGAAGCATTATGCTTGTAATTAAGGTTCCCTTTACATAATACATTTGTTACATAATATATAAAAAAAACAAAAAACAAAAGAACAAAAACGGGTGTGTGGTGCAGCCAGCCAACAAGTGATGATAATACCAATGATCTCTATCATGATGACCTTAAACATTTTCATACTGGAGTAGAAGTTTATGTTTCAAGTGATATTTAAAAGTAATTAAACTTGGCAGCTGTTTGAGCGAAATGTCTAAGGAGTTCCAGTACACAGGACCAGTATAAATCAAAGTTGTTTTTTTAAGTAAAGTTCTCAGTTTGTGTAAGTGAAAAAAGGAAGACTGTCGGGTTGGATAATTATGAAGTTGTTGATTCTTTTGGAATGTCGACTAGTGGCATGAGGAAGTTCGTTAGAATTTAATCGAAACATAAAACAGCCTAAAAAGAAATTATACAGGTCATGAACTTTCAATATTTTATTTTCTAAAAAATAAACTATTAGTGTGGCTTAACCTATTAGTGTGGCAGATTATTCGTATAACGCGTTTTTGAAGTATCAATAATTTGTCCAACTGGTAATTTAACGATGGGGGAGGGGGGGGGGGGATTTTAGCTCCATGTATCAGTAAAAACAATTTGTATTATGAGGGAAATGTAAAAGCAAAGGATATTCAAATTCAAAAGGGTTAAAATGTTTGCAATCATGAAAACGTAAATAAGTGAACAAAGTAGAACATGAATGATAATATGAATTGCTGCTTTATGTAGCATTCAAAGTACTATTTAGTGTTCTCAAAGGGCATCAGGTGGGCCTCAATATAATTTTAATTAGAATTTCAAATCCATATGATTACCTTCGAGAAAGTTTAAATAGAAAAATGCTTCTTACATGTATTTTTTTTCTTCTTCTAAATACCTTTCTATAAATGGATTGATATTTTACCTTCAAGGCTGAACAAATATTTAAGTAAGGCATGAATCTCATTCTGTCATTTATTTCTTTATGATGTTTGAGAACAGCAGTTGACCAACAATATTTGTCACGCTCTATAAGGTGTAGATCTCCTATGAACGGGGCCAGCTCCCTCTTTCCCCCTCCCGGCCCATCCAAGGATAAAAAAACCGCCCCCACAAAGGCTATGAAGCCCATATGTCACTGAAATTCAGGTTGTGGGAAAATCTAACTTATCTTACATATGTAAATAAATGGCAAATGGGGGTGCAAAAATGTAGCTGCACACATTACATATACATGATAGACCCCTAAGCATATCAGTGGATTTCTGTGTTAATAAAATATACACTATAGAAATGAGAAACACATTATGCTTACTGCTCTCCATTTTTCTGCGTCATTCTTTTTTCAGGGGGGGGGGGGGGGGAGGGAGGGCAGTTTACCACAGATGAAGGGGGCATCAAGGGTAGTGCACTTTTCATTTCAACAGTGTGGGGATCGATGTTTATCAGACAGTGTAGAAACCCACAACAGGCCTCACTGTCCATCTCCCCCTGCATTTAGTAAATGACTCAGAGGCCAAAATACCACCAAATGAAGAAGACAAAAAAGGTAGGGGCTAAAAAAGAATACAGGATTTGGATGACAAACAGGCCACCTGTTATTCTTAAAATATCCTGGAATACACTTCAAGTTCAAGGTGGTTGTCATCTTGAGTTCATGGAATGTAATTTTGCATTGAGAGGTAGCAGGTAGACTACATACATGATGCAGTTTTTCAAGTGGTAGTACATGTAGTAAATACAAATCCTTTGTATTTCCGGTTTGTCATCAAAAATGAAATTTAACAAAATTACGGAAACTGCTTTATCTTTTTTGACACACTTCAAAAACAACAAACACAGTTATCCATATGTGGGACAATGTACAATTACTTACTTGTTTTATCCACATCTTTAACTTTCTTTGTCTTGTCTGTAAAGATAAAAATTGTAAGAAAAATTGTTAGTATTATCCTGAAAACCAATCTCTGAAAATAACTCATATCCCAAAGAATTTCAGAACAATATCGATTGCATGTCACTTATAAATGATTCAATTTACAATGACTATTCACATGAATGCCTGGAAGCTTCTGCAGAATCTTAATACTTTTTACCTCACTGAATGACTGAATCATACAATATGCTCTTATCTTCTAACAATAGACATTGCCATATATTCAAACGTTTAATATGCTCATTACAGGTGTCATAGTCGAGTGGTTTAAGCTCTTGACTTGAATTGCATAGGTTGTAGGGTTTGATCCCCGACACAGCACTAATGTCCTTTGGCAAGGCATTAATCTACATTTGCCACTCCATACCCAGGAGAGAAATGGGGACCTGGGAGGATGACAAAAGCTTTTGTGTCGTAGTAATAGCCATATGCCTTGGTGGTGACCATATGGTAGGATTACTCCCCAGGAAGTGGAGAGGGTGCACTCTGTGCGTGAATGGATCTGATCAGGGGGGAAATAATATCTATAAAGCGCGTAGAGGCAGTATTCCGTATTAAGTGCTATTTAAATCCAGATTATTATTATTATTGTCACTATGAAACATGGCCTCCCTTTTTTTTCTCTGAATATTATTGTGCTCTTTATTGTAGTAATGAATATTGCCATATTTAAAACTTTTAACATAGAAATATTCTATCAATATTCTCATTGCTGTTACTAAGTCATGTAGCCTCCAACATCATAAGTTCATTATTGTTTAAAATCGAAATGTCATATCGGTATACAACTTGTTATCAAACACCTTTGGCATTCAAAACATTATTTCCTTGTTAGCTATATCAAGGACACCATACATAAAACAACAGACGTCACTGTAGTCAGTGAATTGACCTTATATAGGCAGACTTTGCTGCCTCGAACGTTTCATGATTTATGATTAGATGTCTAGGCGTTGGGAGGACATGTAATAATCGCTAATCATTAACGGAGGTGAGACAAAGAGGTATGATGCATTACTCTCGTTGCACCATTGAAACTTATTAGCATCATGAACGTCACGTAATGATTACTAGAAAGTATAATAAAGTATAAGCTATAACAATTGTGTGAAAATATTAATGTGCATTTAGCTCCATATTTGGTAGTTTGTCTCCCCTTATTAAAAGGTTGGATAGCACCAGACATACTTTGTTATGTTTATATTGCCCAATTCAATTTCATTATAGAGGAGTATAGAGCTAAAGGTAAATGGTAGCAACATTATAAACAAAACCGATATCAAAGGAAAATTTCAAACAGGTCTTCTTGAAAATGTTGCTTTCATGCTATGTGTCTGGTCTATTGGTGAGAAGGTTTCACATAAATGAAATAGATTTGTCAACTGTTAAATTTTACTATTTTTACACAAATGAGTTTTGAAGGCATTTGAAGAGCCATGCTTTTCAGGGAACATTTTTAATCTGATGTTCTTCATCACTTGCATAATAACAATGATAATGCTCACAAATTAATTTCCACCTCTTCCCAGAACTCAACTTTTTCTTTAATCTTTAATGGTATAATATCATTTGGAAAAGAATGACATTGTTTCATAGACTTACTTCTCCAGGGCAGTATGGAACTTCTTTTCTTCTCCTGGCCGTCGTCTTCCTTCTCAGTAGGGATGCCATTCTGAAGAAAGAAAAAAAGGAGGGGGGAAAATCAAATATGACTTTTAACTTTGGTTCGTCATCGAATGTTCGTGAATATTGCAAACATTATAGCGACCAGTAACAATTTATACATGCACTTCCGATCAAGATTGGAGAATAACGTATATATTGAATATACCGGTAAACTTTATTTATTACCTCACAATTCTTCCTAACATTCTGTGTTTCTATATGCAAGTGTTAGTATGCAAGTCTAGACTGTTGCATGCAGCAACATAAACCTTTTAATGCAGCTACGTACACCATCTTGAAGAAATATATTTTTTATCTGTAAAAAGTAAAGATGTCATATTGAACAGAATTATACCACAAAAAAAAAGATTTTTACAAATTCTAACATCTCCCATTTTGCAGTAATAAACATTCTTAAATCTAGATTACTTGCAAATAAAAGTTTCAGGTTATATTGTACTTAAAGATAGGTCATAAAAGCGCTTCAATTTTTGCTAGTGACTGTAATTCAAAACAATATTTTCATAATACTTTGAAATAAAATGCAAACTGCAAAACAGCAAAAGCAGAAAAAGCAGGTAAATCAGAAAAGTGTAAGAAATAAATGCCAAAACACAATCCAAATCTTGCCTAAAATCTACAAGTAAAAACAATAAAAAATTGTTGAAATCAATGAAACAATTGCGTCTGTCATGGATACGCCCTCACCTACAAGGTATGAACGTGGATTACCGCAAAAAAATGAAACAAACAAACCACTTCACAAAGCCTCGACCACAAATCGAGATACTTCCCCTTCGGATATAATGCAATAATTTATATTCCTTTAACAGGATATCACACGCTGGCTACCTCTCCTTTTCTCATTCTCACTTCTTCACTTCTCTTTCTTTCCCTCTCTCTGAGCTCACTTTTTGCTTATTTCATCCATTTCCTATCACTTGCACTCCCTTCAGTTTCCTTCCTGAGGTCAAAGGTCAAATTGGATATAATCTGATGTTTAAATTCTGTTGCCCACACCTTCTAAGAACTTTCTTTCTCAAACGATTGATCGAATATGCAATTTATATAACTAACATCTATAATATCCATAAATGGCATTGGAAATGGTATGTTACCAGGACATGTTTTTCATGACAAGACGCAGAGTTGGAGATAGAAACAATCACATTTCCTAATTAGCTGGGGGGGGGGGGGAATTAAGTTTCTAAACGAGAAAATTGGTATCTGTTGACTAAAGTTGATGAAGCAGTGTCTCAATCTGAAGCTGAAATGACCCTTAGCCAGCATTAAATCTCTGAAACCAAGATTAATAATTTACAAATTAGCTATCATAAAACTCATAAAAAACATTAGCTGAAATGTTTGCTAATTAATCATCTCGCCTTTACCAGGGTCTATAATATAAACTCCAATCACATTAAAAATCCCATTGTCGGTAAGTAAAAACTTGGTAACATTTTTAGTTTCAATTACAAATGATAAGTATACCAGCAAAGAGGGGAAAGAAATCGAATCAAATTGTTATATTTTACTGAAATTCACACAGACCTAATGTAAAAAAAACCATGGCATTTAGCCCATTTACCTGATTGAAAATGTAAAATAGTCAAGTAATAAGCACATATGAGAAATACACAAGTAGACCTATATCAAGACTACAACACTGAGGATAACTGGTCCCATATGATCATATTTGTGTGAGGGCATTTTAGTATTTGTTGTTTTCAATTAGTGTGGTATTTATTCTGTTCATAATTTACTGGTACAAACAGTCCTGTAGTAAAACTAGTTGGTATTAACCATGGGATTAAGAATTCAACATGTTTTATTTTGACTACCGGTATTCTTAAAAATTCATTCAAGACCAGAAGAAAAGAAAAAAAATCCAATATTTGGGTAACCTTGACAACAGTGAACTCTCTATCACAAAGGGGTCATTGCACACAAATACACCTCCTAATCTTTTGAAAATATTCTTGAAATACCTATTTCCAGCCTACTCATACCTATCCCTTTTCCTTTCATCTAACTCTCACTAACCCTTACTGCCACACACAGCTCATATACGTAATCTTATCAGTTTTCGGTCAGGATATTCACAGTTTCCTGATAGGTGCTGTGATATCAAATGTGGGTCATAAAAAGTACTTTTGTATCCTGAAGTGTTATCGTGAGAATAAGGAGGCATAGAGCCAAGAGTGTGTGCGTTATCGGTAATGGTGGTTGGTCATCTTTACACACAAGATTACATTTGTGTAATATCAGTTAAATTCATTCAGTGTTATAAGAAATTAATTGTACACTGTGAAATCTCCACTAACAAAACAAGCAATGGCCATCAGGAAATAGTTCTGTAGACTGTTGAGATCATAATGTGGAGGAAAACAGGAAAGACAAGAAAGAAAGCAATTTGATTCTGTGAACAATGTTAGAAAATGTGTTATACTAATTACTCAAAAGTGAAAGTGATTAAAAGATATTAAATATACATGCGTTGTTTTAAATTGCTGTAAAGCGCTTATAAACATGTATATAAGCTCTATGAAAAAATGATTTATTATTATTATTAAAGGAAAGAGAAAGGTCAAACAGAACCATCAACCAAAAACTAATATTTTTAGAAACACCATTTATTACACCAGCAAGAAATAGAAAGTGATATTTTACATGAGAGAATTCACAAAAATAGAACCAAAACAGAATGAACAAAGGTGACAAAAACACACTAATGAGAAAGTAGAAGCAGTGATACAGTGAAACTAAAGAGAATTATTAATACTTATCCTACAGATCTTTTACACAGCTTATCACAAGTTCTTACATAATTTTCTTTTCTTGATTTGAAATAAATTTGCTTTCTATACTGGGGGATATTGCAGCAGGCAATACACTGCTAAGAAATCCTCATTACTAAACATACCGACAGCTCATTCATATCTTATGCAATAAAAAGCAGCATTTTTGTTGTTGCTGTATAGCCTTGCGCAAAAAACATACTCCAATATCTGTGAGCTAAGATATACAGAATGTATGAAAACAGTGGTACCCCAAAAAAAGGAAACAATTAAAACACGCTAGAAACACAGAAAAGTGAAAAAATGACCATTCAACTGGCAAGGAAAACCAAATAAACAATATAAACAAGATAAGCAAATAATGATTTCACTTGCTTCATAATGATGATGGAAATTGATTGAAGGTATAAAAGCATCAAGATTTATATGAGCAAGCTGAACAAATTCACACCAGTTCGAACGTCAAAGCATGCTATACAAGTAGAGCTACTTGTATGGGAGAGAAACATTAATAACCTTCATACCTTTTTAATAAACATGTGCCTTTTCTTAAAGGTCTGATTGCAGCAGTTAAAAAAGACAATGCAATGCAGACGAAAAATAAATAGGAGAGAAGAACATGTCAAATTATTAGTGAGTGCATAGACAAGACAAAAGAAACATTCAGGATTCCCATTTTTCAGGAAATGTTAAGTGCACTTGCGTTAATCGTTTTCCCTCTTCATGCATACATGTACTTTCATATTACATGTATTTCACATTTGATTAGATACCGTGCCTCACAGTTATGACATTATCAAATACATTTTTTTTTAAATGTGAGTGAACGAGTAAGATTATAGTGCAGGCATGCTTCTTATCATCTTGTGTGTACTGTTTCAATTAGGAATTCAACAGAAATGTATCATCAGTGCTCTAAAATGAAAGATAAAAATGACTACCGGTAGAGGTATTACTTTTGTTCTGACTTCCATTTCTAGTTTGCAAGATAAGTTTATTACACTGAGAGTCAGAAAGACCTGTACTGCCCGAGTTATCCATTCCTTGACATAACAACATTGTCAGAGGAATTTCTAATATAGCACCAGAGGAAATCGTCATGTAATGCCTTTCTACCAGACAAACACAGATTAACACACACACACACACATTGAAGTGAAACTGGGGAATGTAAACAATTGCATATGAATGAGTTCTTATAAATTTGTGAAACAAACAGGAAAGTAGTGATCTATCTTTTAGAAGGCTACTAATGCCTGGATTACATTTGCCCCGGGCGACGTACGATAAATTAGACATCGTAGGAGGCTACGGGCTACGATGTTTGTGTTTACATTATCTATGAGCATCGTGCCATTTATTGTATTGGCCCTCGGGGGCAGGCCGGGGCAAATCCATACAGAGGCTGCTCGGAGATTGTACGGAAATTGTGCAATTTGCATGCAGTAGCCGTGCAGTCTCCGCAGCCTCCGCACGGAAATCATACGGAGCCCGTGCAGCTTCCGTGCAAAGGTTGCGCGGAGAAGGCGCGGTGACCGTACAGCAACCTTGCGATAGCTGTGCAATTGCCATGCGAATGCCCCATGAGTCTACAATCTCCGTACGATTTTCTTTGCCCCCATGTTCACCAAAAAATCGTACGTTTGGTGCACAATCAGTGCGAGGCCTCCGGGCGATGCCCGTGCGGGGGTTGTGCAATGCCACCTACGACAAGTATACGGGCTACGGGCTTACAATTTTTTCAAATTTGTTTAACTTCTCACGAAACAAAATCGTAAAGGCTGCGGGGCCCCTGAATCCGTACGAAAATCTCACGACCGCCTCCTGCCACCGCACAGAGGCCGCACGGAAAAGGGGATACGAGCAGGATACGGGCTCCGTAGACTAATCACAGGCCAAATGTAATCCAGGCATAAAAAGAAACCAAGCTAACCACGAGGCAGTCAATTGTTAGTCGATTGTACTGGTATTTTTGCATGATTTAAGATTATCTACTTGATCCTGTATATACATCTTCTAGTTTTTCAAGGAATGTTGGTGTTCATTTCAGATGATGTCATAGAAATGTACATTTCGATGTCAAAGTTCTCTATGCTATAATTTCATGGTTACTTACACACACTAATTCATTTAAATTTTTAATATACATATATATACATACATCTTTCACATAAAACCTAATTTGCAATGCCATAAGTCCAATAGTATCTAAACATTAGTAATTATTAAGTACACAAATGTATAAGAAGGCAAACTCACACTGTATAGCAATGCAAAAAGGAGTTATGGTAAAAGAGAGGGAGGTTATAATGAAACCCACAGAGAATAAAGAATTGGCATACATGAATGTAGCATGGTCCTAGTGCAAGTTTAACTTCACACTTTCACCCAAAATGAACAAAGAAATTCTTTCAAAGGCTAATTAATCGGCTTCCCTTCTATAAATTGGAAATAGACTTTTCTCTTTCTTGCTGGAACACGTCATTAATGAAGAAGACTTGTGTACCTTAAACCAAATATGTTGATTTTTTTGTTTAATGTACGAGAATGCAATGAATTTTAATTTTAAATGTGTGGTCAATCTGATGGCTTAAAGGCTTACTTTTGGTAAGATGATTCTTACAATACAAATAGGCAAAAGCTGTGAAGCAACTTTTAGGACCATAAAGCAGAAGAGAAAATGCCAACCCACAAATAAGTAACAGTGACTTTGACAGTGCCAGTAAAGGTGATTAAAGAAGGTCATTCAATATTTACTCTGGTGACATTTACTCTTGGATTATTTCATCAAACATAGCAGGGTTAAGGCTCCGTTTACAATTAGATTGTAAGTTAGTATTACAGACAGGTCCAGAGTTGAAGATGGTTAGATCTTGATAAGTATTCAAAATTTCAGAGGAACGATTCAAGCTGGAGTACTGTAAAACAGAAAACTGTTGTGGCATAAAAATATTTGTGAATATAAGTGACAGCAAAGTTCACTGCAAAAAACTTTTGTGATTTGCAAGAATTTATTGCAGTGTCAATTTCAGTTGTGATTCTATCATTTTGTGGCTTTAAAAAACCTTACCCACTTGCAAAATTTGCAAACATTGCTGTGTTACAGTGTATGTCAAACAATCCTAAAAGGCGATTTTAACGTTTTTTTAGACGATTTTAACATTTTTTTTTATTGTGACTGACACTCATCCACCCCAAAACTCTGTCTCACCCTGTTAGTATCTCTCTTGGGTCCACTCTTCTTCCTCTCCATTCTATCCTTGACCGTTCCTCCCAGCGTCACTCCTCCGTTCTTCTCTCCTCCTTTCTCGTAGCTGCTGCTCTCACTGGATATCCCACCGCTGCCACTGTGAACTCCACCGCTGTCCTCAAGGTCTCCTGCAGACGGCTCAGAGTCCGCCGTGGGGACCTTCTCAAGGCTGATGGGCAGGGGCAGGCCACCCATCTCGGCCAGGACACAGTCCTGGTACAGCTTGCTCTTGAGGAAGCGAGAGTAGCTGTCAAACTTCATGAGCTTGAAGATCTAGAGGGAGGAAAGGATGGATTGATCAAATATTAGAAAGAGAGATAGTGAAAAGCCTGCTTTTATTGTTTACTATAGTGCAACAATATAAAAGGGCATGAATGTGCAGAACTATATATATATATATATATATATATATATATATATATATATATATATTATTTTTAAAAGTACAGCTATGTCTCACGTTCCTAGACCATTTTCTTCATGCCTATATATATATATATATATATATATATATATATATACATATTTGTATCGAATACAATTTGATATATTCATATAATGAACATTAACATTCATTCCTAAAAAGTAAAATAAATATATGAGATTTTAACAGACGCATGTTCACATATAAATACAAATGCAACTTCAGGGCACTAAATTATATCTTCACCTGAAATTTCTAATAGGATTTTCTAAAGCATGTTAAGAAAGATCTCTAACAAACTTTTAAATTTTCATTTTTACTTGAACAATTAACTCATACATTACCTTCACTACAAGTGAAAGTACCAATGCATGCACTTATCATCTGTAGACAACTTCATACATTGAGATATTTAAAGGTAAAGTAATTATTTTCACCTCCAATACATCAAACGTTTTCCTTTCTGCACTATGACCCGAGGTTGCCCTAAGGAATGGGATTACCTTGCAAGCGCAATCATGATGTACATTTTCAAGATGCCATTCTAATGCAAGCCAATATTCAATTGCTTAGCCTGAACTTAATGGTTTTCCCATGGACCAATGCAGTTTCTTACTCTGAAAGCAAATTGGTATCTAAATGTATAATCTACAAGAGTGGTGTGGGCCCTGCCTATGAAGTTATCACATATACCGGTAGCCCTGGTTGCTGCACGATTGCTTATTTTGCCCTCTTTGCCGCTTCTCCCAATGTGGTTAACATAAACACATTCTTTCGAACATTAAGTTTTCATGAATATCATCTATCATCATGTTAATACAAAAAAAGCCTGCTCTCTAATGCTTTTATAAAAAATAAACAAATGGTATTTCTAAGATTTATGACAAAATTGTAAAAGAAAATTGTTTATTGTATCAGTTTTGTGGAAACGAATCTGGTTTACAAGAAAAAGTGAAATTTGGCATTTGTTTATTTGGATGATTTCTCCTTCGTACGTGCATACTGATCTGATTCACAGATTCACTTCTAAGCATTTCCTTATTATTTACCTAGAAATGTGGGAAGAAATTAAGAGGAACTTTTCAGCAAACTAATGGCACCATGAATGCTAAGGCCAAAGCAACTTATGCTAACGTACAGTTTGACTAGCGGTAATGAATGTAGCATGTATGTTCCAAGACAATCTCAAATGAGTTTCATGACTAAATATTTGGATAAAATATTTGAGTGAGTGCATACTAGTACTGCTGTATTCATGATAATTCATATATCAAAATTAAAATATCATTTTCTAAAAATTAAGCTGGCAGATTCAGGTATAATAACTAAAGAAGGAAAATTTTACTATAAATAAGTCATAAGTAATAATAACATATCTTTCTCTACTGCTATATCATTTTCCCTTTTAAATGCAAATTTGAATATATTTGGAGCATTGCATTAAATATAAATATACATGTGCACCTGATATATCATACAGTGATTCCTGATAAATCTTGGTGATGATATAATTAATTGTGTGCTAGGTAGTCATAATATATTACACTAAGAGCTACATTAAGCTATGGTAACACAAAATCATAATCCAATACATATCTTTCCCTATAAGTGGTTCCGAGGAATATATCCAGTACAGTACTGTATGTATGAAATGATAGTGGACAATGGTATTGGATGTCATGCTGAAGGCTGCACTTCCTTTTCCGGACTACTATAGGCCTTGTTTTGCTTGGGATTAGTTTCCGTCACCGTTGTGTATGTATGCGCATGGAGAACGAATGTCTACACACTTACGTGATTTTGCACTTCTAGGACTGACAGCTAATTGTAATGTGGTAGAACAAAATAGAATGAAATATGCGTTCTGGCTAGAGAAATTGCAATATTCCTTGAACACACAATACTTCATGTATCCATTAATCCAGTAATTCAGTAGCACAAACAAACATGCAAATTGTCAATTGTCTATTGTCTGTGGGGTATATCAATTCATATCCCTTCTCTTAAGATATTCAATAGCGTATTCATATCTACGCTCCTGTAGTAATGCATTAACTCAATGCATTTCACATCATATTTCAAGCCACATCGAATAAAGATTTTTTTCTTTTATCAATAAGGTTTGGTTGAAAATGTGTTAATTTGAGAAAAAATAGTTATTGATGAAAAATGAGAAGTGCCTGCCGTACTTTAATGAGCATTTTTCTGTGTTGGGTACAAACTAAAAGTAATTTTATGACTGGATCTGTTCCTGCAGAAAACAATAATGAACAGGAATGATGAATAGGCCTATTGAAACATGATTGATCTAACCACGGAGGACACGGAAGGGAAAGCGAGAACAAGACGATTGCAATTTGTTGGCACAGATATCTTGAAAGGCATGTATTGTTGGGATATAAAGTCTACTGAGTACTGACACACACATATATTTCTTTATAGGGGTTATTACTCTGTTGTTCCAAATATGGGGACACACACTGAAGTGTCGGAACAATAACAGTGCTTGCTTTTTTAAAAGCAAATTAAGGGCATTTGCATAACCTTTTTTAACTTTTACAAAGCCAGTGACGCAACGTTTGCAATGAGGCAGCAGAAACATAGACAATACATCATTTTGTATATGGTACATAGAACCTTTGGACAAAACAATACGATGCATATAGGCAAATGATAGACTGTATATTTCTGGTAACTTTCATTTGGTGACACAAAAATGTACATAATATGAAGGACATTGAATGACAAATCATATCAAATATGAAAGAAAATGGCATTCAACAAAGTGATTTCATCCATTTGAAACAGGTCGCAAGTGGGCAATTCCTCAAAAATCATAATAAGTACACGTTCACCCACATCCAATTGAAACGTGCGTTATAAAATCAACAACTTTCAAGGGGATGATGACAAAAGCGAGACTCATCACAACTTTGTGAGAAACTGCCCAGTACGACAGGTTTGACTGCATTTTCAATAACGGTGACCTTTAACCTTTGACATACCTGTAGTTGTTGCACTTTGTACATTTCTGGCGTTGGGTTCTTCATGGCCCCCTCAACCAAGGATCGTGCGCTACTGTCTAGGTTGACAGGCATAGGCGCCTTGGTCGCCAAATGTTTCGCGTAGATCTCCTCGGCTGTCCGTTGAAGCTATAGAGAAATGATGAAATTTAGTTTCTGATGAAAACACATGTAATTTCATTGAGACTCCTTCTACTTAAACAATTTTGATTGCTTTGAACTGATTAGGTTATGTGTTACTCAATAAGAATCTCATTGGAACTAACTGAAGTTTCAAATTTAGCCTTAAAATAATCGAGATTCATCTCAGTAGCATAACAAATAGCTAGAATATATCAATCAAATCAATCAGCAAAGAAAAAACACCCAGGAAAAGAACAATTAACATTTCTGATGAAAATAGTTGCCAAGGAATAAAACTTGAAGTTTAGACAAAATTACAATGGTTTATGGGTCAGTTGCATAATAAGATAGTCATGAAGTGATATGCATTTGGCAAAAAATTGATTTACTGACAACTTTTCAAGATGTTAGTCAAAAATAAATATTATCATGTTGTTTTACCTCTTTGTGGTCTTTGATTTTGCTCATCTTTTCACAAGCAATCCAAAACATGATATTCTCATCACTGAACTCCTTCTTTAAGAATTCCTAGAAAGAGAGACAAAACATAAATATAATAAAAATGCAATGTTTCACCCCAAAAATCCAAATATTTTAAACCTCCTCTTGCATATGTCATTGAAACTCCTTTGTGTCCTAAATAAAATACCTAGAGCTGTCAACTTTTATCAGAAAACTGTTGGGATACAACAGATGAAAATCAGCATTTTGTTGAGATAATCTGTCATTTCTCAAAGTAGCCACAGAAACAGGATCTTTATATTCAGTGTTTTGCATGGAACCTTCAGTGGTCTTCTCAAATTTCAGGATGACATTCTGAAAAGGGTACTACCATAGCTTTTGTGTGTAGACCTATCAAACTATTGAATAATTGCATGTCTATGACATATGAATACTTCAAAATATATACTGGTATGCATTGTAAGTTTAAAGGGCAAAATACTCAAGAATCAAAACGGTGTCACACATTGCTTCATGAATAAATGTATTGTATGTGTACACTGCAGGCTCCTAAGAAAACCATTCCTTCCGATTCAACCAAAGCCAGACATTGCACATGGTTTCATAAACTGGTCTACATATATAACATGTACCTTTCTACAATAAACTCAGACTACTGAAAAGGACATTTGCAAATAAAACCATGAACAGAGTCAATACTGAGATTGGGATCTAATTTAAAGAGAAAACATGAAACCACCATAATATAACCTATAATAACTGTATCTGACCATTTTCAAGTTGCAAGGTTCTGGTACAAGACATAATATTCCGTGTATGTTGCGCTATTCTGCTCCTGGCTAATTTTGCCAAATCTCAATCTCAGAATATCCTGTTTCTTGAACCATTCACATTAAAATAATTTCCCCCTTTTCCTTAGAGAGGCTGAGAAAAGGGGAACATAGTGTAATGAAAGAGCTGCTGCTAAAGTATTTAATTTCCTCAATATACGATGACCTCCCCGGTATTAATAAATAAAACTTTCAATTCTGGCCAGTGTATTTATTGAAAGAAATTCGTCATCACGCAGGATTACGTTATGCAAGTGCACTCTCTGAAAATTGAAAAAGGTTAGGCACCTGCAAGATACATAGCCTTGCTAACAAGAGAAGAAAATTTGTGCAAAGCTTCAATAAAATCTAATAGTCTGCAAAATAAACTGCACTCTTATCAATAAAGTATAAATATGCAAATGTTTTGTAGAGTACTAAGCTGGCTAATAAGAGCAGGAATAAATGCTGAACATTTTCTATTTAAAAAACTGTGATAATTCTACAAAATACACTGCATTTTTTCTTCTAAAAAACAGAAAGATGCTGGTATTTCGTTGAAGATACTGTTTCACTGGTAATAACTTATGGCGAGAGTGTGATATGCTATGTTTTTCTTTAATAACTTGCTGTTAAACAATCATTCATTCCAATATTTGCATACAATGTTAGCTTCTGCATGGCAATGAGTACTGAAAGAAACACAAATCAAAGTGAAAGAGAGAAAGAAAAAAAAATCTTCAAATTGAAAAGAAAAGAAAAATCTTCCAAGCTTACTGTGAAACATGCCAAGCCTAGTTCATCGGTCAGTAACCTCTCAAAGTCTACGGCCCAACTGGACACTCTCCCTATCGACGGGTCCAGCTCAGCCAGGCCGCTACCTTTGGCCGCCAGGTTGGGGTTACTTGCTGAGCTAGAGATACCTCGGCCATCGTTATTCAATTCTGTGGGACAGAGGAAGAGAGGGTATGATCAGAGAGAGACAGAGGAGTACATTTCATCTATCAAATCCATCCTTGTTTTAAATCACATTATTTTAAAACAGAAAAGCTAAATATCTGAAATTGTAAGATCTTAAAAGCTCATTCTCACGAATTGGTAGATCCTGATATCAAATGGAACAATCGTATCATCAGAATAATTAGAACCTTAGTAATACTTTTTAACACTAAAACTTTAAAAATAAATAAAAGAATGCTGCTAAACTGAAGAAGAAAACAAAAGAGGGAACAATTCTCTTACCTGTCTGCGATGCTGCCAAAGTCTGCTGCGGAAGAGAAAAAACAAACAAACAAATTAATTATTAAACATAATATATCTTACATGGAAAAGAAAGCATGTTAGACTCATGTTTCTTCCTGAAACTGAAACTGAAACAGGAAGGTACATGATATTTATTTCATACAAACAAGCACGAATTACGAGTATGAAAAAAATATGATCTATATAGTGTCGAAAGTCCACACCATTAGTTTTTGTCAATGATGAAAATTCAATTGAATAGTTTGCTCACTTTGCTGTCAAACACATGCCTAATGGTCATTATTACAAATGCATGAATATGATTGAAGGCACCCAAAGACTTCACGGCTGGACGTGTCCATTCACTCATTACATAAAATGGTCAAATTGCATACTATTGTGCATGATTTTTTTTATTTTATTGACATACTGGTACTGAAAATGAAATAACTTTCCACAACGACTATTCTCCATATTTACGTTAAAGAAACAAATGAAACATCTTTCTTTATCTAAAAAGCAATGAATAATTTGTCTGCAATAGCACAAGAAATATGAGTGGCAGGTTACTGGCTTTTCAACAGCATATGGGCAGATAGTATGCCTAAAGTTATATTCATGTCTCCATAAAATTCTTGATAACACAACAAAAATCAAAATACACATCCTTGCGTTCAATTTCTTTTCACCAATAAGCTCAGCAAAGTAAAATATACACACAAGAATATCCAATCCAGATAGAATCCAGGATAGGGAATCGGCCATCTCACATGTATTTCAAAATATTAAGTCCACAGATGTTCAGAAACCTCAAGATGAAAAATGAGAATATTACTTGTGAAGAACATGGCAGCATTTCAACTGAAGAGGAATGGCTTCACCCACCCTTTTGATAAATGGGTACCACCCTATCTACTTAGAGTATGAAGTTAACGCAAGCTACAGTTTGTCAACAAATACGGCTTTGCTTTGGTCAGTGATTTGTTTTATTAATTAGTCATCCATGTCCAACCTATTGGAGAGTATAAGGGTTCAAGTGGTCAAGTATCAATGTTGTGGCATTGGCATAGTTTGAGGATTAGAGTTCTTGATGCTAATAAATGAAAGTGGTCAGTTTAATAGTCAGTTACATAACACATTGTACAATATACATGTAGGCTTTTAAAAACAAATATTGTAATCCTCACTGGAAAGTTTCAGACAACCAGACCCCCACCCCAATAAAATCAAGAAATATTTCTCTTTAGAATTCAATATAGTACATAAAATTTAGGCAAAACATGAGTGAAAGGTATGTAGGCCCTTCATCAACAATCCTAAGTGAAAACAAGCATGATGGAACATTTAAGTATCTCATCAATGCTTGAAAACAATCCCGGATCAATAAAACGCCTCTTGCAGTATCTATAAATCCTTGACATTCAGTAGAAATCATCTGTGAAGTTGATAATTAAATTTGTATCCTGTTCAGACATAATCAATGTGAAGGGAACACCCAACTATCAAAATCAATTGTCCAACGATGGTATTATGGCATATATGTACATATTGTTAACGAGCAATAACCAGACGTTCATAAAAACCTACCGTGCACATACATTTATATGTTAGGGCGCGTTCATGCTTGATTTTGACGGCCAGAATCAGGCATCTGTTACGCGTTTAGTTAAAAACACGGTTGCGTCTTAGCTCACTTTTGTAGAATCACCGAAAAACGGCGATCATGATCGCCGATCGTAAACTCACAAAAAGATGCGTTTACAATTTGTAAACGCGTTTAAATGGGGTCAACGCACTGACCTCTAGTGGGTCTACGTAGCATGCACAGTGAAGGTTTGCGAGTCCAGCTGGAAGACCAATTAAGGCCACACACGGAGAATTGCCTGGGGAGCCAGAGAAGTAAGCATGAACACTACATCGTGGAACTGCGATCACGATGAGCGTTTACGATGAGCGTTTCAGATCGCTCATTCTGCCTTCAAAATTTAAGCATGAACGCAGCCTTAGAGTGGTACACACAGTGATAAAAATTAAAAATATTACATTGTAAAACAGAAACAAAGCTTGTTTATTCAAGTTTCTAAATTTGAATGCACGTTTTATTAATGCTTGCCATAGAATAATCACAACTTAAATATAAACATGAAACAGATCATTTACAACAAAATATATAGTTTGATATAAATGAACTAAACATCCTGCCACCTCACTGATGCACTCTACATCTACTGGTATATTAAGTAGGAGGCCTATAGTCTATTTTAAAATTAAAATCTGTGAGCAATACAAATACGCTACATTGTATTTTAGGAACCAATGGACAAACATAATATCCTTATTGATATAAAGGCAATAGGTTACGTTCATGCAACATATGTACCAGCAACTACTGTTCTTCGAACAAGTTGTTATACCAGTTGAAATCATATAACTTTTACCCTGGACTTTAGACTTTACCTACACATGTAACCCTAATGCTTTGCTAAACCTAACCTAAAATCCAAACCTAATGTTTGACAAAGTAAATCGTAGAGCAAAAGATGCTTGAGAAAATGTCAGATCAACGATGTATACCTCCTTAAACGAACTAGTCTGAGGGCTGCCTCGCCATGGAAAGAAGCACGACATCGTGTTAGAAATCCATAAGCTTCTCACTTCTCTAATTAATAAAAAGATACACCGGTATCTACATTGGCGAACACTCCCTCCGAATCGTACAACAGTACATCAATCTCTTGCAGCGAAGAAGAAATTTGGTCGATTTCTCATGAAACGTTTGTTTGATTCCTCACAAAAAAGACTCCACCTTTTCTGAGCACTGATCGTATATACCATGCATTGAACTACCGGTACAGACTTAAAATTGATTTCCATGCATGTATGTATGTGTATGATGACCGACAGGTATTGCAATATCAAACTGGAGCTTAATCCGAGAGAGGAAATGCCCGGACTACCGGTGAAATACAGTCTTGCTTGCAAAAACAATATATGTTAGTGGCAGACCAGCCAGTGAGGATGATGTGGGCTTACAGACAAACAAGGAACTCATATAGTTGATTTATATTCTAATTGAATAAAAATTACACCGAAGGCAAAACTAATCATGCAGAGAATAATTGGTGACTTTTCCCTTTTCTGATAGGCATGTTTATATTCCAAGGTTTCAATTCTCTAGGTCAACAATCAATGAGATGTAATTATTAGAATATTACATAAACAGTGGGTATCAATGGCATCTAGGAAACCGATATCCTATGCAAGGATGTTACATGAACATCATTTCTATTTTCTCATACTTTGTTCACACCACCAAACCGACTTTAGACCGACTCCAAACCGACTATTTCTGGGCCATTGACGTAATGCAATATTTTTGTTCGGTCTTGTGATGTGACTAACAGCCTTTTCACACACAGCTAAAATTCATTGTATCTAGAGATGATTAGTATAAACGTGTTTAACTCAACAGTTTTAAACATGTTTATAGAAAATTTTCCCAGTGTGAACATCGTTTATACGATGTTGGGATAGATACGAAGTCGCGATCCATACGCCCCTAAAAGCAGGCTGCAGATACGAAGTTCGTATCTAGAGAGCTTGACATTTTGTGTGTGAAAGGTTATTCGTGTTTAAACGTGTTTCAGACTTGTTTAAACTGGGTGGAGCGTGCGTTTGATTGATATGACATGACCTTCAATGCGCAATGGCACTACTGCGCATTTTACGAGCAGTAGTTAATCACGAAACGATTAACGATCGCACCAAAATTTCTGTGTGTGAATGATGTCGTATGTTCAGGTGATTAGTTTAAACACGTTTATACTAATCATGTTTATAGAATTTTAGCTGTGTGTGAAAAGGCTGCTAGATAATGGCCTGAGCCTTCTAAACCTATTTAAAACCTAACTTTGTAAATCTGGAATATGTTTAACAATTTCTAGGACCCTATAGAGAGATGGCTACTTCAAAGGTTTGACTGTATAATAATTTTAAAGGACTGGATTTACTTTTAAGAACAATGATGTATATTCTGAATACTTAGTATCCTCCAAAAAATCAACAATTTGCCAGGTCAACCAAAGAGAAAACAGATAGTAAGATGGGGTTTCATTTACTGGATAATTAAAAAGTCAAGAAAAAAAAAAAAAAAAAAGAGAATGGAAAACCAGAACTTTTTTTCCCATTTACAAATGAGATGCCTTGTTTAACAGTTTTCACATTCAGTTTATGAGGTTTTTGAGTTTTCAAGAGCTGTAACAGACATTATCAGAGCCTTTTTGTTCACTGCTCCCAAACGTAATTTGTTTGTTGTTGCTTGCTTATTGCTTTTGCTCAAAGAAACCTTTATAAGATATGGCCTTCATCATTTACTACACTGTATATCTAATTGTCATTCATTACTTAATTCAGCACTGCCATATGGTGCATGAAATTATGAAACTGATTTACATTCCATCCATCAATGTTCTGTAGAAGTGGCTCTTGTAAATGATTTGATAATGTTTCCCACCAGCATATTCTCGGTTTATAGTCGGAAGGACTTAAGTTTGTGTAAAATGATATGAGTAATAGCCTTCTGCCTCTGAACAGTTGATATCATCAAGGTGAAATGAAACAAAGTTTTATGAACCCTGATAATGGTAGAATATTGGGGATTTTTTTAGTATCGTGTTTACAGCACATCAACAGGATGTGAACTTTTGAAATAATAAAAATAATAGGCATTTCTATAGCGCCGTCTATCTAGAAATTCTATTCCGAGGCGCAATTATTATTACACCAGCTTTAGTCTAGCTGCCATTACAGCGCTCCAGCATTTCAAGGAATTAATTCCTGCCAGGTACCCATTTACATCACCTGGGTTGATAATGATAGTGTAAGGTTTAATTTTACCTATCCAAATGGTTACTCGTTTATTTTACATTTAGAATCCCACCGCTGCCACCAGTTATACAACAGTATAAAACCAAATACTGAAGTGACATAAATGCTGTAAATTGTTAATAATGGACATATTTCTGG